TGATGGCATATCGAAAACGTTTATGAAATAACCTAAATTCTCAGAAATGACATTTTTGCCGTATTCTTAAACAGATGAGGAAAAATGATGATAAATTATGTAAAATCACAACCTTGACAAAAATTTTTTCGTTTTAACGCAATACTATTCCTGAGAATTTAGTAGCTACTATTGTGAAATTATATTGCAGTACTGGTGACGCTTTTGGTCTCTGGAAACATAAGTCTAAAATCCCGAGTAAGGTCGATCTTCACCAATTTGATAACCAGGTGAGAATTATATTTTAACAAATAAAATATGTTTTTCTACACCCTTACTCTAACAATACACTTATATGACCATAATCCGTTTCATAATGATATCCATTATGATACAGATTTTTCATAACGATACAGATTATCAACCAATAGAAACCCATAATTTTTCAATCAACAATCCTGTTTCTTTGTTTGTCCTAGATTCTAACCTAAGTAACTAATTGCTTTATTTGTCAAAATCAGTTTTCATATTACCTACCTATATTATCAAAATGTCTGAAAACAGCGATATAGAAGGAATACCATCGACTCCAATATTTTTAAAAGATCAGATTAATTACAGTTGTTATATTCAATATAAATATAATTAGAATCTTTATAGTTTTCATATACCTATCATAATACCATTAAGTTTGTGTTTTTTTTTAAAAAATATGAGTTAATTACTGTAAATGTGTTCAATACAAATATAATATTTATAGTTTTTCATTATTTATCGGGTTTAGAAAAAATAGCGTATGCAACTCTCATGTAATGGTTATTAATACACTCGCATATACCATACAAAACTCGCCTTCGGCTCGTTTCGTATCCCGGTTAATGCTCGTGTCTTAATAACCATCATTACATGATCGTTGCATAATATACTATTTTCAAATTTGACTGTCATGGTTGATTGAATAATGAAATAAAAATTCCAATGAATGTGTTACTCTCAGTATATTGTCTTTTAGTTTTATTTTTGAGCTCTTTTGGATAATAAAATTATTATTATATTACAATTAGGTAAATTGATATTGGTAGTTGCTCTCATCTGCTTACCACTTGATGCATATATATTGAAATGTAGGTAATTGCGAGTAGAGTAGTATCTACAGGGTTGCTCGTGAAAATATGTTCATAGATAACGGCAGCAAGGCTTTGAAGTTTAAAAAATTGGAGCAGGCAAATATGAATAACTGTACTGTTTCATGAGATAAAGGAGGACGTTACAAGAACACTGCTATTCTCACATAACTCACCAAAATTGTGTTATAAAAACAACTGAAAATAAATAATTATGTGGGTTATCACGAAGGGACGGATACAACAATGGATTTTCAACCTTACAAAGCATCACCAGGTTCAAGAATTTGAGTAAAATCAGTTGACACAGATGTTCTGATAATTTTACTTGGCAATATGCATAAAATTCCTGATTCTGTTAGTTCAGGGACAAAGAAAAAAGTAGTAGTGTCCCAAATTGTATCAAATGCACGAAAATACCATTGAACTTGGGATTCAATGTATGCCTGAGTCTATCTGATTTCCATGCATACACACTTACACAGGTTCCGAATACACGGCTGCGTTTTACAATAGAGGAAAAGTTAAAACGTTTGAAGATTTTTCGAAAAAACGAGATATACCAAAAATATTTTGCTTCATTAACTGACGAAGCCGACACTTTTCTTAGCGAAAAAATGGACGTTGTTGAAGAATGTATGGTGGCTATATATGGTATCAAACATTGTACTGAAGTGAACGATGCAAGATATCAAATTTTCCAGAAGAATTTTTTCGCAAAATTAGATAGTGAGAAGTTTCTTCGAAAAAGTCAGAAATTTTGACTCAAAATCATACCACCATGCTGGAAACCACTGAAGCAAAAATTTTTACCCACAATTTATGTCAATTCAATGTGGTTACATGCAACTGAAGCTAATTGCATTAAATTTTGTCCAGAATATTGTGGTTAGTTTCTTGATGATCATTTGATGGAAATGAAACACCTTCAAAAATAAATGATATTTTGCAAATAACCGAGAAAGCAAAGGACGAAGCTTTTTACGACTATACATGTGTTGATAAATTTATTTTTGAAAATACTTTTTATTTATTTTGAGGGCGTTTCTCAATTATGCTCCAAAGTAATTCTCTATATATAGTATAGTATAGTATTTTCTTCCTTTTCCATACTTCGAATAGGAAGCATGCGTAGTTTTCGCACTCTATCATATTTTACAACTGATATGCTGCGTCCTCCTTTATCGCATGAAATAGTTTGAGCAACGCTTCCTAGTCACACATATTTGCCTGCTCCAATTTTTTAACTTCAAAGTCTTGCTACCGTTATCTAGGAACAGATTTTCAAGAGCAACCCTATACTACCTGTTTGTCTGCGACTACCGGATACCTAATAGGGAACAGAACAATTACATATTGCGTATGTTGTATACTTTCGTTTAGCAACCACATTTGAAAAAAACAATTATTTTTTATAATTACAATTTTTGATAGCCATGAACATTTTTTTCACTACAACTCTATTGGTACACGTTCACAAAAATATTTTATTTGTTGAAATATAATTTTCACCTGGTTATCAAAATTCTGATTATAACATTAACAAACAATCTTATTTACATATATACAAAACAAAAACATTCTCCCACGTGCGGGAGCAGGGTTTGGGAAGGAAGGGGGTTATCAAATTGGTGAAGGTCGATCTTACTTGGGATACTTTACTTCATCTAGTTGCCTGTTTGCAATGCAAGCTGCGGAGAAATACAGAAAACGATTACTCATTTGGTGGTTGTTTTTGAAGCTTGGGTATGCAACGTACTGCCGTATGGGCTCTTGCATTAGCAAGGTTTGAGTTTTTTATGGATATCGTACAGATGGCATCTTTAAAAGGGGAGATGTCCATGTTTACTAACTCTCAAGTTTGTCCTTTCAGGACTGTGGAGTCCAACAAAGAATTGATGGTAAAGCCTAATACCACTTATGCGACATATGGCAATTTGACATAGCACTGTATAGTGCTGGATCATGATGGCTTTGTTTTTGTGTTTCCGTTTCATCTATCCTACTACTATTAAAAACTATCTTTTACATGCGGCTTCGTTGGGTGAAGATGTAAATAAAAAATATGTGAAAAGTAAAAAATAATAAGTACAATTTTATTTCGGAAAATGGAAATAGTATAAAGCTAAGGATTTTTGACAAGAAATATAAATTTTCCACTGGTTTCATTAACTACTTACCTGAAAAGTTCATTAATAGTAATGATAGAAACGGATGATGCCTTGTTTGTGTTAAGGTATAACATCATGATCATAGTAGTACTAAAAACCTCACTTCGTGTCTTTGGGCGGAGCAGTGAAAATTATTAAATGTGATACTCTTTCCGACCTGCAGTTCATACTTTAACTTGACCTCTTTATAGGAGCCACGCTAGGTCAAGGTCCTACAGTAAATCAAGTCGTAAAATTACGGTTGACCACTTCACGATTCTCTCGTTAACAATACTTAGAATGAGGTCGAAAAATTAGTGTCATAAGATCAATTTAATACCTTTAAGTATACCTGATAAAAGGCGCATTTAAATTAAGTGATTTGGTTTGTTAGAAGAGAAAGCAAATGTTACACATTATCGTAAATGCAATGAAACAAATGAAAACATTCAATTGACATTTTTATTACATACGGTTCGTTAAATCGACCGATTTAGTTGAAATTAAATCATATTTGCAAATTGTATTTGTTTGGAAATAACTGCTATTACATTCACGTCATGATGTTTTTAATTGAAATTGGTGTTTTAATATTGAATTTTTCTTGCAATTGTTGTAAAATAATTTTTCTATAGTTTTTCCATTCGAATGTGCTTTTCAATTTTGCGTGTCTATGGAAACAGACTTAATTTTTTTTTTTGTTGCGAACCAGAAAGTATTTCGGATAGTGTAACGTGAATATTGGATTACTTAGAAGAAACATATACATTTTTTTTACGAAAAACTGAAAATCAACTGAAGAAATTCAAATTCCTGACCAATTAAATAATGATAGAAGAAATTCAATATTTTTGAAAAAAAAATTTTTTGCTATTTTGTTGTCTAGAGATAATTATGTAGATAGAGTTTCGGGAGTCGGGACTTTTTTATCGGAAATTTCCTCCTTTTCAACGAGCTTTTTTTAAATTGCCTAAATATTAATATTTTCTGAGTTATTAACGAAAAACTAAATACCATTTTTTTATCTTATTTTGTTATTAACAATTGCAATTTTTCACCTGCACTAAAATCCTTCAAAAACATTTTTCTAGAGGTGATAACGAATCGAATGAACTATCGCTCATATTTTTAGGACCTTCATCTCTATTTTTCATGTTTTTGAACTTGTTGATTAGACTATAGTACTAGAGAGCCAAAGCCTCGGTAGATAATAACATTATCGTGAGGTGGATTAAAGCGCACTACTGGATTAAAGGTAATCGCATTGCCGACTCTTTAGCCAAGAAAGCAACTATTGCCCAGTGGCGTAGTTGCCCAGTGGCAATTACGGCCTGATGAATTTGACAATTGCGGAACTAGCCAAACGTTACAACCATGTTCAATCCCTGAAGAGATAGGATGAAATCAAAGGAGGTAATCTTGCCAGGATCACCCTGGGCAACTCTGGCAAGCTGGCGTAGAAGAAATATCTGGCGATGACCAGGAAAAATCTACGCTACGAGGAAATTACGATATCACGAATTTTTGTGATATGAAGAAAGTTGATACGATTTTGCTATGATTCTTGATTGATTAATTCATTCGAAATGAAGATGACAGATTTGCAAACTAACTCAAAATGATTGATATAAACGACTTGTAGTCCTTCCGCTTCATAGATAAGGATTTCATGAGAGAATAATTTCATTAATTTATAAAAATAATGACAATTCTTGAATCATTATTAAATTCTATATTTTGATTACAGGTTGAACATAATGAATATTTTCCTAGTAGTATGGCTACCATCACTACATTACCTAACGATAAAAGCACAGGGAGATATTCCGGATTCCAATTTAGTCAAGGATAAAATAGCTTCTAAGGTCATAACTGAAGATGGATTGACCTTTGGAGGCGATTTTGTAGATGTAAACAACAATTTCCAGTCGACGGGTGGTCAGCCACAAACAATTCCAGGGATTTCAGATCCGGTAAACTCGTTGACTGATGTTCAACAACGCAACTACCAGAATACCGGCAGTATTAATTTGGACAATGGTCAGTACGTGGAACCATATACTATCGACTTCAAATACCACAAATTCGAAAAAATGACAAAATTTTTAAGACAAACCACGTCCAGGTACCCGTCTCTGACAGCGCTTTATTCGATTGGAAAATCTGTTCAAGGTAGGCTATTCAATTCATTTATTTAAAAAGGTTTTTCATTTGAGTTTATGTTCTAGGTAGAGATCTGTGGGTAATGGTAGTCTCCTCATCTCCTTACGAGCATATGATCGGTAAACCAGACGTTAAATATATCGCAAATATGCATGGAAACGAAGCAGTTAGCAGAGAGCTCATGCTACATCTGATTCATGTAAGTTTCTATATGTATGCGCATGATATTCAGTTTCTGCATTTTTATATTTATTAATAAGTCTAAAACAATCTCTCTAGATATTAGATTTAAAAATGACACAAAATTATTCAAATAGAAAACATTACATTTTTATTGGCAATGATAAATTTTGCTTTTACAACTATAACATAAATATGATTTATGCAGCTCTGATCCTTTTCTGTAAGTTGCAGTTCCTACTTGGTTTTAGAAATATAACTGGTTTTGGAACAACAGAACAACAAAAAATAATAAATGTTCGTGCTATATTTTGATGACTACGTGTAAAATTTATGACGCATAAGATCTATGACATTTCGAAAGAATTCAGCTTTACATAGAAATAGCTAAAATATTCATGAATTAACTGCACAACCAGATCTATTTTTATTAGTCAGATGTACCTAACTGATATTGAATCTGACCGTTATGAGTGAATTTCGATGTCCTTATTTAAATATGTGTGATTGTTGTTTCGTAGCGGATTCTTTCTAAATGACATGAATTTCTTTCGTCTTTTGAATGTTATACGGGTTTCAAAAAATCCTAAATGAGCTTTTTATATTAAGTGAGTGATAACTTTTTTATCACGACAATGATTTATGACAACAACGATTTGCTAGCAATGCTGGACTTCTCAGAGTGTTAGTGCTTCACCCAAGAAAGACCCTATTTTCTTCGGTCATGAACTGAATAGGGTACATATTGAAAGGAATATAGAAATAAAAGACCTAGGAGTTTCATATAATATTACATTAACATTCAAGAGTCACATAAGAAATATTTCAAGAAATACAAATAAAATGTTGGAGTTTATTATCAGGCAACCTAGAAATTTCAGCAATATCCATTAGATCAAACTACTGTACTATACATTGGTTAGACGTGAATTGGAATTTGAATCAAATATATGGTTTGGCGGGTATCACTTCACATCATATATGAATTGGATAAACTTTACAACAAATTTTCAAGATATCTCTGCTACAAAAAATATAACGTATGGCCAGAATACCGTTTAGTCAGAACATCTCACTTGAGGAATGAATTCAGGATACTACCTACCTCTCCAAAATACGCGCAAAACATGTGTAATATCATTTCTTCACCGACTTCTTAATGATAGACTAAACTCACCTCATCTATGATCGTTAGTTATATTTTACTTTCCAACTAGAAGGACAAGATTAAATACGATGTTTTATATACAGAATTTCTGCCCTATGGGTGTCCCACTTGCAGGTATGTTACGTCTCGCAAATGAATTGAATGTAATAATCGAAATAGATTGGACAGATTCCCTAACAAGTTCAAGGAAAAAAGTCATTATATAACTAGTGGCATGTCTTCGTAAGATCATCACCCTTTTTAATCGACCCCATCAGTAACTGACTTATTTTTTTCTTTTTTAATGTATTATATTGTAAGTAATATTAAAGCCATCCTTGTAATTAGACCTATGTGGTCTGTTTGAGTGAATGAATAAGAAAATAAAAATTGACAAAAATTATACAGACCAGCAGGCACTTGTACTTGTTATCATCAGACTGTAAGTATCCATCACAAATAGTGATTACTTAGGCTCAGTAAACTAGTTTAACTCATTTACAAAGTTTTGTACCTGTAAAATATGCAGCTTTGATATTTAATGAGAATTACCTGACCCTGTATAATTCAATATAACCATATGTTATGACAATATAATGCAAGATTACTTACCATTTTGAAAAGTATTTTGAAATGAAATAACTATTAAGACGACTAGCAAACCCGGCGAACTCCGTTTCTCCACCAGATGGCTTCGTTTTATGTAACATTTCGTTTGGTGATTAAAAGATGAAGAAACATTTTTTTTTGTTTTATATTTGAAAAGGAAAAATTTTATTTCATTTCACAACAGTAATGAAAATGCAAAATTAAATGAATTGTTAATGGAAACCAATTTAGTGTTTGAATATTGTACCTGTGATTGGATCGACCATCTTCAACGTGATGTCGTATCCGTCTTGCCCTTGCCAATAAATGATTGGATATTGTAACGCATCGTACAAACGATGTGTCTCGTTTACACGATGCATGATATTGCTTCTTCGCTGAACGACAATGTCTCGCGATTTAGTTGGATCGCCAACAATAATTGCAGCAACATCATTAACGTTGGGTGCATTGAATCTTCGCACATGTTCACCTGTTGGGGTACAATCCGCTCTTATGGCAAATTTGTGGGTATCCGATGGCATTCGTTCCAATGCTGTTTTGAACATATTAACCACATCGTTATTAGCGTGAAAAAATGCTTGCAACTGTTCAATAATTCGTCTCTTTAACTGTTGTGTTCCCTGTTAATTGCACCGCACATTCAGCTGATCCACCATCGACGAAATGAAATATATTTGCAGAAATTGATGGGGTTCATCTGGTTTTGGCACCATTGAACCATGAAAATGATATATTTGTCCTTGTATCTGTAATTGCAATCAATCATTTGTTGAAGAATACGGTGTAACTTCTGATCGTGTGATGGTGTAGTGTGTGGTGTATATGTAGTTGTTATGTGTTGCAATTAATTGTGTTGGTGTGAGTGATTGGTTATGTGTGTTGTATCTTTTACCTTGCAAGTCGGCATGAAGCCGCCTTCTCGAATGATATTAGCTCCAAAGGAAGTCATGCGAAAGCAGTTATTGTATTCAAGGATGTGTTGAAGAAAATGGCTGGAATCGGGATCACTTCCATCGAACAATGGTTTCAGTGGCTGTGGTGGTGTAAGTAATGGATCCAGTTTGACTTTTCCACTTGCGCAGCACAATCCAGCCGTTTCTCTTTCGAACTTTAACGCATTGCAATATCGGCATACAGTCGTCATTGGTCCAATATCTAAATTTTCATCATCACTGTAGTTCGCAGTGGGATCATATTGGAATGCCAAGCGATTGTATGATGCCAATGATCTTCGTGTGCTCACGCGTTGTCTCAATCGGGCATTTTCTCTTATTATATTTTGTCTTTCTTCGCTTAAGTTCTGTGAATACACTTGTTGCTGGCTTGCATGTCTTGTGCGTCGGCCGATGTTCGCACGTCGTCCTCTAGGCATTTTGGACTATGGACAGAGTGGTGAATTTAACCTTAAATGCACGATCCACATAATTTACACAGTTCAAATTACCACCTTAAAGACAAATGCCTGCTGTTGAAATTGAATAAAAATTTGCACATTACACGTGATTGATTTGATGGTTTCCAATTGAAATGTTAGCAAACGAATAACTTATTTTTTTTACTTTTTTTTTCACAATTTCACACTGAACACAATACCGGTTTGTCACATGAAATTAACTGAGCAGAGAACAATGAGTAGCTGTCAAACAATGTATCACGCACCGGCGCCATCTACTTAAAATATTGGTTTGTATTCATTACATGCTGTAAAGGGCCATATTGATCTATATTGAATGCACAATGTATTTAAGATACATAATCGGATATGGATTAATACTGTATTGCTTGAAATCGCTTCGTAAATAAGCCATTATTTTCTGAGGATGGAAATCGTCATTGTGGGTTATCCTTAAGAGATAGACATATACCATCGCGGACTTTTTTGTAGACCTTTTTAAGGTGTACAATACTGTAGTACATATTTTGTAGGGTTCAGCCAGCGTTTGCAATATAAACGCAAAAAATGTGTTCATTTACGACATCACATTAGAAACCTTTAAAATTACCAGTGTTTGTCTACTATATTATGAATGTTATATACTCACTTACTCAATCTATTTAAAAACCGCATCACAATCCTTTGCGTAGTTTTAAAGATCTAAGCATACATAGGGACAGACAGTAGTGATAACTGTAAAACTAACAACTGTGAATAGTCTTATATTTGTGTCTCAATCACAGAAACCTGTAATATTACAGTTAATAAACAAGTTATCAATATTCAAATCTAAATGTCTCCAATCTAATGAAAATGGATCTTTCTGATGTGCAAATAATTTGTGAATATTCTATCCATTTATGTGCAAATTAAACACTTTGACATTCTTCAGATATATGTGCCATTAATTTTTGTCATGGTCATCCAGATTTCGCACATTAAGACTCATTAAATTGAAAGGGTATATTTTTAGGAGAGATTAATTTTTGGGGAAGGAAGCTTTTGGCCTTCTACTTCTACATCTTGATACAAAACATGTGGGAATCTTTATAAGGAATCAATTTCAAGAATTAACTCTATACAGAGATGTGTAGATCATGCAAAGAAGTAACTTTCAGACACAAAATGGAAAAAACCCTCCTGAAACAACTACTTTAATATAAACATTGAATTACACTAAATAAAAATACTTTCGAAACAAATACTTTTATATGATCGCTGAATTATACGAAAAACACTTTTCTCTATACCGTTTGTATTCCCAACATTCTTTGGAATACTTCCACATTTTTTGTATCAAGATGGAGAAATAGAAGGGCCAAAAACTTTTTTCTAAAAACTCATTTAATCTTCATGAAACAATTTTCAGGAGATGTACATTCAATTCTGATATGAATTGAACAGAGTTTAGTGGACCAAAATATTATTTATTCTGCTAAAAATTTATAGATGAAGATATTTCGGCCAACAAATGTAGATGATTTCTGAAAAATACAAGTGGCACTTGCAAAAATTATCAACAACAACAATATACGTCGGATGAAAAGTTATATGAGTGGAATAGTCATTTCATATTCATTATAGTTTATAAGATATTCAAACATAAATACAATACAAATCAATTTTTATTTATACAGTGGGATAATGAAATTAATGCATGAATACTTTATTTTGAAGTGAAATTGACAGATGAAACTTTCAAGATGGCGACTGGACGCCATCTGGAAAAAAATTAAATGGAAAGGGGGTCTTGTGAAACATCTTTTTGAGGCTCCTTACGAATGCTTCACAACCCTCGAATATAATGTCAATATCTTCAACTACTACAAAATGGCGGAACTTTTATTTTTGATAATTGCCTGAATAAATTGACATTTAACTACATAATATGAAGTAATAAGCTTGAGGCCAGTTCAGAAGATGCAAGAAATGGTTGCCTTGAACTTCTTGACATATGAACAGCCTATCCGATATTTCACGCCTAACATTTTCGAACACAGTAACGTCAATATCTCTACAAATATTTATTATTCTCTGCCGTATGTCCCATATTGAAGTAAGTTCAGTTTAGTACACCTTTTGCTTCAAATAGTCCAAAGATGTCATATCTGGCGAGCGGGCTGGCCATTCTGAAGAATCTCGACGGCCAATCCAATGACCGGGAAAAATAGTATCCAAATAGTTTCTTACTTGTCTGAAGTATTGTGGTGGTATACACTATCCATATCGAATTCATTAGGATTCGCTTCGACGATTTCAGGATGAGAGGGTCAAAAGTAGTTTCCATCATACTCAAATACAGTTTCCCTGTTGAATTTTGATCAATAAATAGAAGTCCTAGAATATGGTTTCCCAATATTCCTGCCCAAACGTTAATTTTTCTGGATATTGGGTATGTGTTTCCCGGAAAACGTGAGGGTTGATATCACTCCAATAACGGCGATTTGGTCTGTGAACATTGCTGTTTAAAAAAAATCTACATTCGTCACTAAAACAAATAATGTGCAGATAGGTAGGATGCCGTGCATCTCCAGTAGAAGGAGACACCTCACAAACATTCGCGACGGAATAAGTAGACTGTTCAGGATTTATTACCATCTCACCAATTATTTGCACCTGTTATTCTTCAGGAATGGACGGATGACCTGGGGGATTTTTGATATGTACACTACCGGTAGTTGTGAATTTGGATACAAGTTCCCTCAAATATTTTATACAGATAGGACGATTCGGAAAACATTCATTGAAAATCCTTTCGGTCTCGTGAAAGTTACGCGTCGCACTGAAAATAAAAATCGCTTCAATTTTTTCTTCCAATGGACGAGAATTGACCATTTTAGAGAATGTTGACGTGGTACCTTTCTACTAGTAAAACCGGAAACTACATGAGAATATTCTAACTGAACATTGATGTTCATTGTCGTACTGACATTTTTTGTCGTTTCTATAAACAAAAAATAATTTAACAAACCTTATCGGGTTGTTGGAATTGCCATATGGCAGATAAAAAGGAATATTTATAGAAATATCGATATTAATGTATATGTCTTCAGGAAATTATTAAATGTACCGCAATTTTGTAGTAGGTGAAGATATTGACTTCATATTCTATGATGATGAATCATATGATGTGTCACAAGACCCCCCCTTTCCTTTTAATTTTTTTCCCAGATGACGCCCAGTTGCCATCTTGAAAGTTTCATCAAAATAAAGTATATGGATAAGTATATGGCATTAATTTCACTATTCCAAATTTCAATTTTTTGAGTTGACCCGTTCAAAAAATAAAAGGGAGGAACATTAAAGGCATGCACTGTATATACTCATAAATTATTATAAATTATTATTTGAATATCTCATTACATGCTGTAAAGGGCCATATTGATCTATATTTGGAAAATTATTTAAACATTTTTGGTGGTCTTTAATGGAGACTCAAGTCAAGTAAAATATTGTTAATTAATAATTAACTAGCTTTTTCAATAATTCACTTTTTTTCAACGAGAATCAATTTTTCATAATATTCAGAATATACCCTAATTTTAATAAATTTTCCAATGATTATTTGATAGTTAGAAACAATATTTTTCATGACGTACTTCCTTTAGATTACTCGTCCGCATCCCCAAATTCACCCGCGGAGGCCTATTTTCAGCGGTAAATTAAAATTATAAATAATAGAGATAGAGTTTCGGGAAGTGAAACTTTTTTGTAAATTTCCTCCTTTTCAAAGATTTTTTTAAATTTCTTACTTCATTATAGTTTTGAAATATTTGCAAAAACCTCAATAATTTTTTTACATCTTAATTTCTTTATAACTTTTGCAATTTTTCATGTGCTGAAAAACGGTTATAGCAAAATTGTCGAGATATCATTTCGGATAGAATGAGTCATCGCACGTTTTTTTCCGACCACTATCTCTGTTTTTCACCATTTTCAACTTGTGAACTAGACTAAAAACATAATATCAGCAACATTGTTCCAGTTTTTGATTGCAAAAATAAACTAATCTAGAAATCCTTTAAAAACTAGTGAATACTTGCATTTTCACTGCAAGTCGATAAAAATACTGACAAATGCAGTAATTACTTGCCAATTGGCGTCACTGCTGACGACCATTGTGACAAATCCAATGGAGTTGTTTTGCCCGAGGTTGTTGTCAAAAATTGAAAAGCGTGAAACAAATTCATGAAAAAATCACAAAATGTAGTAAAAAAAGTAACAAAAATAAAATAATAGATCAAATTCACGGGTGGTATCTAATAGATTATTTGTTGTTTAAGATGCGGATCTCAGCTCTTCTGCTCGTGAGCTCTTGGGCTCATTGTAAATATTGTCTCCAGACAGATTATATTTCTTCAAGTCTAATAATGGAGATATCCGATTTCGCAATGGTTTTGGTAAAGGAAAGGTCTTAATACATTCCATGCTTTTTTCTTAGGAAAATACAGTAAATTTTTTTACTTTTCCTATTACCCAAGCGTACTATCTAAAAATCAAACTAAATCAATACTTAACCTATGTGGATCGTTAGATGAAATCTTTACTTTACTGAAGCAGTTTCTATTCAATCACTGGAAATAATGTTGAAACACGGAAAACATGTTTTGATTATTGTTGTTTTTTTTAATGTTATTTCGACGTCTTCATATACAGGGTGTAACTAAAATAATTTTTGCTGCGAACTGGTTTATTTTGGGAAAAAAACCCAAGAGACATTTTTTGTTTAGAATGAAACAGGCTATATGAAATACATTTTTAAATGGTAAACAAATAATAAGACAAAAAGTTACATTGGAAATAAATTTTAGGGATTGTGTTTTCCACCCCTTACAACCATGGGGTAAACCAAATAAATTACTGGCTAAGTTTTTATTTGGTAGTACAAAACGTCAGGTTAATTTCAGTATTGTAACTTTTTCAGTGCTTGTGAAAAAAATTGTTATACAAATTTTATAAACCCCCTTTAAGGGGCTGTATCTTAACAAGGGATGCTCCAATGAAGTTTCTTTATATGAAAGATCTTTTTTCGATGAGGAATCACCTCCTTAAATGTTTTACACTTATTCAGTTACACCCTGTAGATAGCCTAACCAAAATATTAACAAGGTCGCTTAAATTGGACAAGAGTTTTCTATTTTGGGAAAGTAGAATAATCTCTTTCCATATCGACAATATCAGTCAGTGGTTGTTTTTGAAATATTCGCTAAAACATAGAATTGTCGAATTTCGTATTTTGACTGTACGGCCTCCATTCAGAATTATGAAAAAAGGCAGAGAACTTCCGATACTACTTCATATTTGTGAAAATTTTATATAAACCAATTTGCTACGCGACGTTTCGTTCATTAGATTTCGTTATCAACTTTTTTTCAACACTGGCCTTTAGTTTTTTTCATCGATTTTTGTAGCCACTGGAATAACAAATTCAGCTATGTATTAAAATGCAGGTCCGTATTTAAAAACAATAAGTTGACGATGAACGAAACGTCGTATTGCAAATTGGTTTGTATCCGATTATATCAAAGATAAAACGGTATTCAAAGTTTCTCTGCTTTTTTATTTATTTACTTCGAAATGGAGGCGGCAGAGCCAAAAATCTAAATTTGACGATTTTAGTTTCTGACAATTGCTTCAAAAAACAACCATCGATATTCTCGGTGTGAAAATATGTTATTGTGGTTCCCCAAAGCAGAAAACTTTCATCCAATTCAAGCGACCCTGTAATTCCATTTCCATTTTTCCTTATATACAGTGTGACACACTCAAGATGAAGACACCCCTGTATTTTAGTCATTTTTGAAAGCAGATATTTGATTTTTGATACGGTCATAAACCTTGATGGCCGCACTTTTTTCAATACTTAGCTCGAGTGACAGCTCATTGGTATCCCGCGAAAAGGGCAAATTTTCGATATTTTGCTTCGCGTTGGAGATACCGAAATAAGTTGTTTGAAAAAGTTTCTTATAGATCGATTTTGACCCTACATTCCGAATTTCAACGCAAAATACGAATGTCATATTCATATAATTTTCAATTGATAGTTCTAAAAAGAAACTACGAAAATAACAAATTCGTTATAATGAACTTATTTTGATATCTTCAACGTGAAGCAAATTATCGAGAATTTTCCCTTTTCACAGTATCGCAGTAGTCTGGGTTTAGGGCTGTCACTCGTGCTAAGTATTGCGAAATGTGCGGCCCATGAAGGTATACGTCTGTACCAAAAATCAAATCTCTGCTTCCAAAAATGACTAAAATACAGGGGTGTCTGCATCTTAAGTGTCACACTGCATTAGAAGTTATTTACTATTTGTAATACCTGTTGCAAAAAATGTATACGTACAATTCATATTTAACGAATGGCCAACATTTCCTAAAAATGAATTATATAAACTGTCGATTTTGCCTTTATTTACAAAACTATTTCTATGTTTCAGTATCTAGTAACAAATTATGCAACCGATCCATTCGTAAGATGGCTTCTAGATAACACCAGAATCCATATCATGCCCTCGATGAATCCTGATGGGTTTGAAGTCTCTAAGGAAGGAACGTGTGAAGGAGGTCAAGGAAGGTAATATCTCTTGAGTTGGAAAAACTTGCTTAAATTTCAAACATTATGTTTTTACATCATTCAAGGAATATAAATATTAGATTCTTGTTTTCTGTGATGTATTTAATCTAGAAAATAAATCAGTCTAGATCAACAGGGAATCTGGTTAGATATAACAAAAGCAAACCAAAACATTCATCCCAAAAAGTCACTGCAAAATAGAAAATTAATTCAATCAGTAACTTATAAGTTCTGCCTATGAAATAACAAGAAATTTTGAGGAAAATAATGAAATTATTCAGCTTCTCTCTGTAAATGATTAACGTTTTGCAAAACTATCACTTCCCATTCCCAAAACCATATTTTTTTGTGTTAACAAAAGGGTCACTAAATTCATCTTGAATAATCTGAGCATGACGATGGAATATACAAAAGATAGAATCCACGAATATCAAAAATAAAAAAGGCTCTCCAAGGAGGTCCGTTGCCAAGACTCAACATTGACCCCTAAACGTTGTTATCGTTTTATGTCTTTGACTGCAGCTTTCACTGCAAGGATGCCATATGAAACCGTAGCCCCAAAAATAATGCGTTAATGATCAAACACGAAACTGCGCTGTTTCGATCCAACAAGGTATCGTCAGTGGTGCTAGGCTTAACCACGAATGAATTGCTTCAGGTGCCCAACTGTCTCCTGGTATTGGAATTTGAAAAACTGAAATTTTTTGAAGATTTTTACCCTGAATATTCACATTGTATTGTTTTGAGTTGGACTTTTATGTATAGTGACTACACGCTTTTTTATTGCACTAAGGGTTGTTTTGGAATACAATATCGCGGTTTCCGCTGCCATCAGATTTGTTCTCTTACAATATTCCATATTGTTTTCATTAGTTCTTAAAACACAAGACTTATTCAAATATAAACATTATTTTGAATTGAGCCCAGTTTTTTCAAGATCAACCTATATGACACAGAGTAATTGCAGTGACGAATGCGTTAAACCTTGTTCAAATAAAAAATTGAAAGGACAAATAACTTTCTCTCAATTATACAGTTAGTTATCGAAAAGAAAAACAAATTTAACAAGAGTACCTACCTCTAGTTAGTAATTCCTCTGGTCATTGAAATTGCGAAGACCTACAGAACATCGTTTTTTGAGTTGATACATTGAAGTTGGGCTAAAAAGTTAGTAGACTAACATAGAAAAAAACATGTTTCAATAATATTTGATTCTGTTATTCAATACCGTTGCCTTCGAGGGCGATACAACGATTATAGCGGTTATACAATTCTTCGATACCATTTTTATAGTACGAGGTCTGAAAACAGGAAAAATTCGCTGGGGACCAGATAAGGAGAATACGAAACCAACTCGAAGCCCAATACATGCAATTTTGCTATCGTTTTCATTTATTTGTGACACGGTACCATATTTTCGCGATTTGGCCCTTCAAATGCTCTAATAATGCTATGTAATAGTCACTGCTGATGGTTTTTCCTTTTTTGAGATATGCTATAACAATTTTCAATGGAAGGTAACTCATATACAAATTGAACTGAGATGTAACGGTATCAAATCAAATCAAATCAAATTTATTTATTCCATGTTAATATACAATTTGTTGTATGACATACATAATTGATAAATTTCAATTATCTTGAATGAGTAACTTTCACCTAGACTTCGAAATGTCTGTATTGTGATCTGTTACTCACCAAGATAAGAGCTCCGTAAGTACATTTTATAAAATTAATCATGTAAGTCATCATAAACATTTGTTTTTGTTTCCTCATCGTTATCCAAACTATTAAGTACTTCCAGCATATGTAAGTAAATAAGCTAATATATGTACAAATTTTAACATACACCCAAACTCCAATATTTTAATGTAAATCTAAAAAAACATTATATATAATCATATAAACAGAGACATAAACGTGAATATGGAATAATATATCATCATTATATCAGTTTATTGAAATCTTCAGTCTTGACAATAATTATTTTAACCCCAGTATTAGCATAAATATTTCCTGAATCTGTCCATACATTATTTATACCATATTTTTCGATAGCTCTGGCTAAAAGTTTCACTCTTAAACTCGTCAGGTCCTCTCTTATTACTATTCCAGTTCCCTTGAGCATTTTTTTATTGCTGTAAACTTTCTTTTTGGTTTCATGATTATTTGCTTTAATGAAAACACCTCTAGTTTTATGCTCTTCTTTCCTTCCCACTCTGTAACATATCTCTATATCTTGGTCCACTAAATTGATGCCCATTTTGGAATTGATTAAGCGTATAACTTCTTCCTTGGTTCTTTCATTCGGCTTTTCTCTAAAGTTGAATATTCTTAAGTTACATCGTCTTGTATTTTGGTCTATGTAATAAAATCTTTTTTCTATGGAAGATTGATCAGATGTTATTTTCGGTTTTCATGTTAGAGAGTTCACACTGTACACCAGTAATTGTTTCTTCGAGTAGTGATAATTTATTTTCCAGCGTTTTTATTATAGCCTCCGATACACTGTCTACAATTGTTTTTATAAACGCTTGACTACTCAGGCACTTATTTATCGATGAATTAACTGACGATTCTATTTCTTCCCTGATTTCTCGCGTGATAACCATTTTTTTTACGTTTCTATCAAAACAGTTGTGTTGATTAATATACAATATAGCAGCAGGATGATTTTCACCTTCCGATTAGCTCTACTAACCTTGTATTTATTTATTTCAACGGAGCTCGGGTTTATACGTCCGCACTACTCGCGTACTACCATTATCAATGTTACCGTATCAATGTTAAATGTTCCAAAAGTACATTGTGGTGGTAGAAAAAAATTGAATTGGACGAGTACCAGAAAAATTTTGTACGCTATACCATTCATTCTTTCTTTTTTGATTCCGTAAATCTGTCTTAATAGAAAGAGGAGATATAGTCTCATGGCAACGGAGATATCTTCGCTCTATTAGAGAAATGCATTCTGCTCACAAAAAGATTTATTATCTGGACAAAACGTGTGTGAATGCTGGTCACACAGTATCTAAGATCTGGCAAGGTTCTACTGTAACTAGTTATCGTCAAGCATTTGTGGACGGTTTATCGACAGGGTTACGCTAGTTGCACACACACCGATTTTGGACGGCCGACTTTGTACCGGTCGTCCAAATTCCAATAGTGAACCACATGAGGGAACGGGACCATGCATGCCTACCGGTGATCGGCGTCGATCACCGGTAGGCATGCATCATATGGATTCAATACTAGTAGCGCCATCTGTACGTTAGTCTACGAAATTTTCAGCCCACCTAATACATATTTTTCAATTATCCGTTTTGGATCATTTATATTATTGTAAATTTCATTTGATCATCAGGTATAACGCAAGAGGATTCGATTTGAACAGGAATTTTCCCGATTATTTCAAACAGAATAACAAAAGAACGCAACCCGAGACAGAAGCAGTGAAGGAATGGGTATCCAAAATTCAATTCGTTCTCTCGGGAAGTTTACATGGTGGAGCTCTGGTAGCAAGCTATCCGTTCGACAATACACCAAACTCTCGTAAGTTTTCTGACTGCAGGCAAGCATTATGTACCTACTCCCTACTTTTGATGTAACATTATTTTGAATATAATCATTATTGAGTTTTATATGCTGCTAAAAGGAATATGTAGATCTTCAGCTTTATGTTCCCGTAAGTTGAAAATATTTTTTTGAGTAGGCTATTTACGAAAATTCTGTAAATAATAGTGTATAATATCAAGAGGATTTGAGAGACATTTGGGAAGTAACTAAAGGCACAAATTCGAAATAACAATTTAGGAGTCCTCAGAAATGTTTATCATTTTTGAAAAATACTAGTCAATATAATTCCACATCTTAGTACTTTACCTAAAGTGGGAATACATTAATCATATAATACTTTTTGAGATCTAGTTTAGTAAATTTTACAAACAATATTAGAGTCTACAAAAATCACAACATTTAGCCGATGTTTTTTTTTTCATTTTGAGAGTTTGAAACGATGTAGCGTTCCAAGGTTGACTGTCTTTCTAGGCAATAATCAGTGTAATAACTTATTTTTTCGATTTAAAGATTTTTATGATGAATTTTATTTTCAAATCCAAGATGAGCTATTCGACTATTCAAGTAGACTACATATGTCGTTATTATCTATGTCAAACACCAAAAGAAATGAACAAAAGTTTTGTCCGTTTTTATGAGTCAACTTTGAACTGTAATATCTCAGTGAATACTTATTCAATTCAATCGAAAGTGTCATTTGAATCATTTCATTTTTGTTAACGTAACACAAGTCGATTGATTATGTCAGCTTAAAAATTGAGTGCTCGGGATTCGATAAAGTCGCCTGGTCTGCCTGGCAAAGGTTCTACCAGTGAGAAAGTTAACGGAGTGCTTGAAAAGATGCTAGTCGGTTGGCGAGAGATCTGGGTAGTATGTTGGTTGAGGCAGAACTTTGACGCTCAATTCGTTTAATTTTCGAACGGTGAATTGTGAAACGTGCGGACGGGCGTTGTTGTGGAGCAGGATCGGGCCTCTTCTGTTGACCAGTGTCGACTGCTGCTGAGGCAATTTTTGGTACATTTCGTCGATTTACTCACAATTTGACTCTGCTGTGATGGTTGAGACTGGTTTCAGAATTTTATAGTGAATCACACCAGCCGCTGTCCACCTAATGTAACCATGGTCTTTTTTTAGTGAGTTTTCGCCTTTCGAAAGTACCTGGATGGCTCATCGGTGTCCAACCACTGTGCTGAACGTTCCTGTTGTCGTAGAGGATCCACTTTTCATCACATGTGACGATCCGAAAAAAAAAACCGTTTTGGTTGCGCAAAAGCAAAGAATAACAGACCTAAAACCGCGACATTTTGTGTCGATCGTTTCAAATGGTCTAGCACCCATTTTTCGAGCTCTTTGACCTTTCCAATACGTTTCAAACCAACAAAATCCGCCTGAAAGCTGACGCCCAGTTCTTCCACCATCCGCACCGTTGGTGATGGGTCAGTATCCATCAGGGTTCCCAAATCCTCATCCTCGATTACTGTAAATCGGGGCTCATCTTCGAGGCTATTATCTCCGGAACGAAATTTCTCAAACCAACGTCGAACTGTGCGTCCATTAACACTATCATTGCCAAAAGCCTGGTTGATTTTTCGGGCTGTTTCGGCAGCGCTTTGGTTCAATTTTAGTTCGTAGAAAAAAAATTAGTAAAAATCGCTCAACGACATCATATATAGCAATAAGCTGAAAAAAGGAAAAAAAAATTCTGAAAAAATTAACATCATCAATGTACACAAGAGTACACAATTCTTTATCAATCAGTATACACCGCGATAAAGTAGAATAAATATTTAATGAGATATGGAGTTACAAAAACACATGAGTTTAAAACGGACAAAACTTTTGGAACAACCTAATACTAATTGGTGAAATTTATTGAAGATATACATGAGTATTCCATTCAAGATGGTCTATTGGTCGTATCTACAGAACCAAAAAGATAAATTCTCCTAATTTTGGTGAATATGAGAGAGCGCCGTGGATATTTTCATTTCGGCATTGTTGCCACATCTACATGTAATATACATCAACTTGGAAATTTCATATAGAATACCATATATATTATACTATTTCTGACTTTCTATACCCATCTCCATGTCATTTACTTATCTCTCACCGTTCTACAGATATTATTCATTTTGTATTTTTCTAAGATGAAGTAAAAATTCGATATCGCATAACTCAAGTAATACACTTAACTCAAAAATTGATCCAGTATTTTTGACACCCTGTATGTTATTCAATTTTCGAATTCAATTAACCAATGAGAATTATTAGTCTAGTTCACATGTACTTTTTTTTGTAACATTTTTCAGCCCTGTCCAAAAATTACGACCAAGGTGTCATTTGATTCGTATTTTTGCCTAGAAAGTTTAAGGAAAGGTCCGAAAACGCTTGAATATCAACGACTTNTAACACAATACAAACAGATTATTATAATTGGATAATAAAATGAATTATATAATTATAAAATTATATTATTCTCAACTCTGTACGTTAAAGGAAAAAAGCTGGAATAAATATTTTAATTGAAGTTATCAAATCATTACTCAATCAATCAATGTTATTTTGAAAAAAATTTACATTTTTTTTTAATTTTACAAAACTTTCACAATTTTTATTCTTAATGGCAACTTACTATTCTGTATTTTACTAGTTCCGACTTCTATTGTCTAATATGATTCTAATATGATTTGAAATCTATGAAAGAACAAATAAAATTATAATGGATAGCAAAAATAACAATCATATTAAGCAATAAAAAGTGAAATGAAAATACAATAAAACAAATGAAATAATCAAGGTAAAAGCTGAAAATGAACACAGAGTGAAAAAATTAAAAAAAAAAAGAATGAAAATAGGCAAAAAAATAAAAATAATATTTCGTTTTATTTTATTTTCATTTCACGCTTTATTGCTTGATATAATTGATATTTCAGCTATAGATTTAGAATCATATTAAATAATGGAAGTCGGAAACTAGTAAAATTCCTCATGAAACATTGTCAACCACTCTCAAACAGATTTATTATGATTTTGCAAACCTTTATATAGTAATTGATTTTGTCCAAAACTTGTTATATCTCTTCAATTAGATATCAGTTGTATTTCTTGTATTATTTGGATGGCTGTTATTCGAGAACTGTATTTCATCTTCGAGATATTCAGAAAGCATATCATTCATTAATTTATATAAAAATATGAATGTATCACACTCAAAAGTTCAAGGGACTCTTGCATCCACGTTACTTTCGTATATATATATATCATTATTTAAAACTAGCTTTTACCCGCGGCTTCGCTCCCATTTATGCCATTAAATAAGTGGCAATACAATAGAAATGAATCAATATGAGAACTTTATTTTAATGCTTTGCTGAGATTATCAATTTTTAAAAATTATTACCTAACCTAACCTAATCTAACCTAACTTACTCTATTCTACTCTAACCTAACCTATCCCATCCTATCATAACTTAACCTAACATAACCTAACCACCTAAACTAACCTAACCTAACGAACAAAGTGGCTAGATTTTGAGATTTTTTTGACAAACAACTTTTTATGTTACATAAAAAAATAATTTTTTGATAAAAAGTATTCTGTTACTTCTAATAACTCCAAGAACATGTGTACAAAACTTCATGATGATCGGTTGAGTAGTTTTCGCGTGAAACCGTAACAAACAAACTTACATTCTCATTTATAATATTAGTAGGGACGTAGGGATAACCCTCAAAGCCCTATTCTGTAATCTCTGTAAAATTTCTATCTGATTCTTATTTGATGAAGATAAAATTGTTTGACAATAATGAAGTTTTTCCCCATGGTTGTGCGATGAACAATTTAACGACAGTTCATCTATCTACACTTTCGTTTCTGGAATTGTTTTGATATTCAGTAATATTCCGGTCGAGGATATTTGTAATCAAATCACACTCATTTTCACTTCAGAAATTTTTACAACAAAATTGAAATTTGGATGTATGATCATATGGGTTTCATTTAGTCAATTTCTGTTCATGAATGTTTTTTTTGCAAAATGAGAAGAGGATATCAGCTTCCACATAATACGCTTAAATAAATAATTCGAAGAGTATTTATTTTGGATTGATTGTTTTGAATCTTTCTATGATTTCCTCCGTGTGTGTTGATTTATGTTCATAAGGAGTTTGTCTTTCTATTTATTAAAATGGAGAAGTTGAAACCAAAAATAGATCTAGTTGTTTTGAATCAGTTTTCAAAATTGAACCCTTACTCAATTCTATTAATAGTATTTCAGAGTTATTCTTCTCCTTCATTGACTCCTGACGATGATGTATTCAAACATTTGGCCCTAACATATTCCACGAATCACGCTAAGATGAGCAGAGGTGTATCTTGTAAATCATCACAGACATCGTTCAGAAGGGTAAGTGAATTATTTCCCCGGTTCTAATGATCAATAAATTTGACTCAATTTCAACAGGGAATTACCAATGGTGCCGAGTGGTATCCACTCACTGGAGGCATGCAAGATTTCAATTACGTCTGGTACGGCTGTATGGAAGTGACTCTGGAAGTTTCTTGTTGCAAATATCCCCCTGCACACGAGCTACCGAAATACTGGGAAGATAATAAATTGGTGAGGAGATATTATAGAAAATTTTTTGCCAAAAAAATTATCCTATCAAATTTGTCTATTTCTAGTCATGTGTGTCGAAATAACCAATGAAACCATCATTACACTGATAACTACCCATGGATAGTTTTCACGGGTAGTTATCACTTATGTCATGACATTGCTAAGCAACCAACACAATAAAGTTGTTTGACATTTCAGTAATTCAATTTATTTCGAAAATGTCACTTCCTCGCTTTGGTGTAACAGAGGAAAATAACCAATCACTCTAATAGAGCAACTGCAGTCAGTCAACTAGCTAAGAGTGGAGTTCAAGAACAGCAATTGTTGAAAATTACTGGGCACAATAATGGAAATTCCATAAAACCTTATTTGAATATTGATCAGGAACCAAATAATCAATAGTATGCGTGGAAACACCTATGCCGTAACCGAGGCAAATACAGCAAGATCAACGGAATATCATTATACGAATTGTTCTTTTAATAACTGTGTGTTCAATAAATAATTTTGTTCGAATTGCAAAAAATTTTCTCACCGAATATCCCTCGAACATTGATAAATAACTCATAATTTTATCACAACTTCCTCAAGCACGTTATTTTAGGTAACATCCCTCCGCCTTCGGCGTCGGGATGTTACCAAATAACGTGCTTTCGAAAACTGTGATAAAATTATTTCGTTAGTTATCAATGTCCTTGGGATATTATAGCTGATAATTGGTGAAAATATTTTTCTATTTAACTGTACCTTGAATACTACTGAAGTTCTATATCAACACCAAATCGTTATTTTCAACACCTCGACAGGTGTTTCAATAACCAAGTGATCATATTCAAAAGGAAGTTCAATCTTCCTCTTGAAGATGATCACTTGGTGATTGAAACACGTGTTGAGGTGTTGAAAATAACGGTTTGGTTTCGGGATAGAACTCCAGGAGTATTAATTACTACACCAAAGGTTCCAAACAGTGCATTACAAGTACTGTATCTTAGATAGATAGATTGTTAGAGCCCTAATGAGCAATGAGGAGACCTCACTGACCGCTTAAAAATAAATAAGAAGAAGGAATGCATGTTTCGTTGAGTCAAAAAATTGTTTTATATCATGTAATATGTGATGTTACAACGATTCTTTGAGTCCACGAATATATATTTTGTTTTCTAACATCTTCATTGGGTCAGTTAGGTGATTGAACCATTTCAATTCTGTATATTGGGGCAGTTTATTATTTATTTTTGATGGGATAGTTGCGTATCACGACGTATCGGAAATATCCCTTACCATATTCATGTGCCCTGGCATGTTCAGCATATGCTCGTGAGGGTTCTGCACCTGGTGTTAGGAACCTCTTCACTCATCACGACACTACGATAAACTAAGAAAGACACCATTCCATCAGGTCATGATGAAACCCTCAATTTTCGACTTCAGCCTACTCGACCTGAGTTAAACGAAGATCAAGTGCATTGAGAAGAAAAGGTCTTGAATGTTGTTGAAGGAGACCCCATGTATTGGCTTATTTTTATGTTACCGCAGGAGTGATCTTGGAAGCTTTCATGTGGGCCTTTGGTTGAATGGGTTCCAACTCGGCAACAGGGATGTTAACCCCTGATTCAGGTTCGAAAACCAAAACGAGTTCGTCAGCCGCTCATGTAGCTACCTTAAAGAGATATACTTCACAAATCTTCAGGACGATTTGGGATGCAAACTCCTATGCATCATTTTTCGGGTTTTACATCGAGTTGATTAGGCTCCTCCGGTGTCCATTTCACTACATCAAAGGAGTAGAGCAAAATCAGAATGGCAAACATATTTTAAAAAGCAACTTTATTCTTCCACGACAGTTCCAATGACCAGATTTGTTACCTCTTGTAAGTGGCGTTTTTCCACCTCGAGGTAAGTGTATGTTTCTCCATCATCCAAATGGTGCAGGATGCTTCCGTCTATGAGCTGCACATCCTCTCCGTAATCCACACATCTGAGACGGACCGTTGCACATTTACCTATCCCCAATTTCATACCGATAACATGCATTTCACCATCCTTAAGAATTGATGGAGATTCTTTTCTCCAGAGAAGTAAACGAATAATTGAAAGTAGGGAATCGAGGGATTCGTCCTGAAATGCGAATACAGGATACGCTATCATTAAGGATATCATTATTTTTATACAGTTAATAAAAATGTGAACATAAAAATGATAGATGATATAAAAACATGGTTATACATGAACGGTTATCCAATGTGTGTCAGATCCAGTAAGCAATGCTTGCACCGAGATTTCTACAACTCACTTAACAATTTCTTAAAATTATTTACCTGTTTTATAACTCATCGTTATAAACCTGATTGAATTTACTTTCTTCAATATTCTGTATATTGCCATTCCAGAACTTGATTGAAAAGCCATGTTCTAAGTGTTTCGAATGAAGCAATTCACCTACACTGTTGCATGAAAATGTACTGAATGTAAAAAAAACTCCTTCATCATTTCATCGTTTTTTCATTGTCAAGAAGTGAATCAATCTTGACTAATGTTATCCATGATAATAACACTAGCCAACAAATAAGAAAAAAATATTATAATGGCTATACATGAGAGTTTAAAACATCCTGACTGCGACTTCAACATCAAAAATTTTCCATCACGTAAAGATTTAAAGTTACAGTTATTTTTATTTTATACAAAAAAATGTATATTCCCTCATAAGGGACCAACAATAATCCCCCATCATTGATGCATCCAATCTGCCTTGGTAACATTGCTCCATTGTCAGTGTGTCTTGGTGGAACCTTTCCCCTTGTTCGTCACTGACAGCACCAAAATTTTCTGGGAAAAAATTCAAATGGCAGTGCAAGAGACATGCGACATCCCGTTCTGCGGTAGTTTTCAAGTAGTTCTTCTACAATTGTTTCTTAATTTTCTACGTTCTTGTTCCCTAATAACTCTGAAACAATTCTTTCGAAAGAACACCACGCAGCTAAATCAACATTACTTAATTTTTTATCAAACCGTTGGTCACTTAGTAGTTTTCTAATTTGTGGTCCAACAAATTTACCTACCGTGAGCTTTGCATCACTTAAAAGTTTTAATTAATCCCAGTTTAATATGTAATGGAGGTAACAAAACGTTTTTGGGATCAACAAGAGGTATATTCTTCATGTTAGCTTGACCTGGAATATATTTATCTCTCGGAGGCCATTCTTTCACTTGATAATGGCTCTGTGTTGCCCTACTGTTCCAAAGGCAAAGAAAACAGCAAAACCTCGTAAATCAGCCCTGAAGACCTAGTACAAGTCCTATGACTTTCAGGTTACCACATATTTGCCACTTATAAGTATTATAATTTATTGCATTTAGAATAAGTGACATACTTTCGTGTGTTTCCTTCATGGCAACTGCATGTACAAGAGGAATAGAGGGTCTTTTGTTACCATTATGGAGCAGAACGGCTTTAAAAATTGTTTTAGACGAATCTATAAATGAACACCATTCGTCCGGTTTATGGTCAAATCCTATTCTTTGTAACTTTGGTTTTAGGGTCTAGTAAATCCCATTGTTGTAATTCAGACCCTAATAGTTCAGCATTCTCTTTGGACAAGTGGAGATCCCGAACTAGGTCTTCGAATTCAGGTTGTTCGATCAAATGGGGTGTTCTTTCATCACTCTCGAAAAAATAAGGACAGTCATTTTCTGTCACATCATGGGAACCTGCTTGGTCATCATACAAATGACCAAATCTTCCTCCCACTTTGCCGAGGGTGTTGGTACTGGTAAACCTTCTCCATGAAGAACCGGCCTTCTTGCAGAAGGAATATCCGGATAAACAATTTTGTGTTTGCTCTTTCTTGAAAAAGCATACACGTTTGTCATGCAAAAGTAACAGTCGTTGTAATGATTTGTTGTTTCTCGCCAAATCATAGAAGAGCGTTTGCCATATAATCAGTTACTTAGATTTGCTTCACAGGTTTGGCAGTATACGTGAGGAGCCCAATCCCGATTGGGATCACCAACAACACATCTAAAATACATATAGTAAGCTACTTTGGTCATTTGTTTAATTGGCAGTTTCTGCGATTTAGGAGTAAACTAACCACATATATAGCAAAAACTATTTGCGGGACTAACGCAGCCACTTTTCTGTACTTTGGACATTTTTGTACTGTTGCGTACGTCGAGTTCAAATATATGATACTGCGTTTACAGGAGTCAATTTATTTTATTCACAAAGGTAACGCTAATATAATACTCTCAATATTCGCGTGTTTGCTCACCTCGCTTCTCTAATACTAAGTCACTACTACTCGCATTGAACCAATATTGATGATCCGATTGTCAACCTGCTACCTTTAGAGCGGTTCCGTATTTCTGGTATTTTCTGGAAACTTCGAGTATCGGAAGTTTGAGAAGCGGCGTTACAAGTCTCATATACAGCGGAAGCAGATTCGAATACTGGGCAGAGCCGCTGTGTTGCCAGATTTTAAACAATTTCCTCAATTCAGAGGAAAAGAAAATTTGGAATGTCGTGTTCATTAAATTTTTGTGAAAAAAATCATAACTCAAAAATCTTACGTGTTAGGAAATTTTTAGTATCGTTTTCGCATTCAGAGACCAAAAATTAACGAAGATCTGCCTTTGGCATTATAGTCGTAAATTGGCCGTAAACTAGTGTAATTATAGAATTTTCATAATGAATTTTATTTGAAACGTGTTAATTATCATCATGGGTAGTGTTACTGGTATTCATCAAGTAACTGGTCAGAGTATAAATGTTTGACTGATGTTGTTTTCACTTTAGTCGCTGCTGAAATACTTGGCGGAAGCACACAGAGGAGTTCAAGGATTTGTTATTGATGAAAATGGTAATCCAGTTGAAAAAGCTTCTTTGAAAGTAAAATCTCGAGACGTTGGTTTCCAGACAACAAAATATGGAGAATTTTGGAGAATTCTTATGCCAGGAGTTTATAAAATGGAGGTAACCACATATATGGTGCAGCATCATCATCAAAATATTCACCAACACTTTTACTTTCAATTCTAGGTTTATGCTGACGGTTATGTGCCGAGAGAAATTGAATTCGTGGTAGTGGAACAACATCCAACTTTACTGAATGTGACTTTACATGGAGCCAAGGTAATAAGAATTCAGTTTTAACCTTGTTGCAAAATGGTGTTGGTATCCTGTATATTTTGTACATATTTCAGCCATGGCAATACTTCCCACCACCTGTGACCTCTCCACCAAAAACTATTTTATCTATCGATAATGCTAATATACCAGCATTTGAAGATGCTCCTCTAACTTTTCCCAAAGAATAATACATATTGGCTTGTGGTGGAAATGTAAGTAGAAATGTAGAACTGCACAAGATAGTAGATCTGTAGAACTTCAAGCCCATTTTTCATTAACCATTCTTATATTGTTTATAAATATCCTTCAATTATCACCAACTATTTCGAAGAGATCTCAATACCAGTGTACCATTACGTTACTGATCCATAAAATTTCCTATGAAAAAAGTATTCGATTCCACATACATAGAGATCATTTACATTGCCTAGTTATCGACAAACCGTTTGCATGTGTAGATACGATTTAATAAAATTCTCGGAAAGGGTAGGTGACTTCGTTAAGAAAGAACAGTTATACTGTTGCTGAGAGAATCTTTTTATAAAGATTTCAAGGAGAAGCCGAGGACTGAAATGTGATGCTAAGATGAATAGTTTAGATTCAGAAGACCATGTTCCACCAACTTCCAGGCTCTAAAGTTGGCCGAAAGTGTCTTAAACAGGTTTAATTAAAATAAAGCCACCACCCACTATTATCACACTAGAATCCACAATTCCGGAAATTACTTTTCGACAGCGTCTAGTCAGGCGACTTTTGAAACAGGCGTTTGGCCCTGATGAAGTGCCCGTCATCGTACTTAAAAAGTACGCAAATTAACTCGCACCAATATTTTGTAGACTTTTCAAGCTGTCTTACAAGGAAGGGGGTTTTCCTTCTTCATCTTGAGTGATCATCAATATGGTTTTCGTTAACAAAGATCAACAGGCGACCTTCTATTGTATATCACCCATATTTAGAATAACGCAATCGAGAAACATGGAGAATCAAGAGCTGTTGAGCTTGATATTTCTAAGGCCTTTGACCGTGTGTGGCCTGAGGGTTTGCTGGCCAAACTTCGATGCTATGGCTTGCCATATCATTTCTATGTATGGCTCTTCAGATTCCTGAAAGAACGTTCCCTGCAAGTGACCGTCAATGGATATCTCTCGAATACTTTCACCATCAACGCTAGTGTTCCCCAAGGAACCTTATTGTCTCCAACCTCTTGTCCCTTTTTATTGTATATCAACGACTCATAGGAAAAAAACAAGAACCCAATATATTGCTTTGCTGACGACAGCACACTTTTATCGTCATTCCATTTGGATTCCAGGACATCAGCTACGGAGGCACATCTTCACCGGCAGCAGGAGGTTGCATATCTTAATGAGGATCTAGAAGTGATTTCAAATTGGGGTGACAGTAACCAGGTTCAATTCAATGCCACAAAAACCCAAGCATCGGTTTTTTCCAAGAATATGATTGTTTCCGAACTGGATATAATAATGTTAGGTCAGACAATTCCGCTTTCTGCTTCGATAAGTTTGATGGGGTTAAAATGGACATCAATATGCATTGACACAATCATGTCGCTGGAATTGCAAAGACTTCTTCTCAAAAGCTAAGAACACGAGTTCCGAACCAGAAAACTATACACAACTCAGCAACTTTTGATGCTTTATAAATCTCAGATCAGACCCAGTTTGGAGTATTGTTCTCATGTATGGAGCTCTGCCCCCAAATATACCCTGAAGTTGCTGGATTCCATCCAGAAAAGAGCCATCCGCCTGATTCGAGGCGCGAACATCACGTGCAACCTTGATAGCCTGGAACATCGAAGAAAGGCACTGCTCTGAGAGCGCCTTAAATAATTTTCTGTAGTGCTTGTGTTTTGTCCTTAAAAAACCCAGTCTTATGTCTTGTTTGGAATGAAGAGCATTTTGCGATTTGGTGAGAGCGGTCTGTGTGATCAAAGGCGAAGGAAGGTGTCGCACTCGTCCATGCAGAAGTTAGGAGCAGCCGAAGTAGCTCACTATGTCGAAAGCATTGATGGAAAAAGGTTCTTTGTGCCTTCTAAACAATAATACGTGATTTTTGATCACAGTTATATTCATAACTAGGCTACTTGAGAGGAACGTATTTCAATTTAATGATTAGGTCATATCTAAGATTTGATTGTGTTCACCATCACACTTGGTATATACTCGTAAATAACTTTTATGTGAATAGCGTTTGTTACTATTTTGATACAAATTACTCTGTTTTCATCAAAGTTAGTTTTCATAACAGCTCATGTTTTTCAATAACGAAAACTGGATTGAATATAATCTTATTAAAGGCTGAGACAGCCTTCAAAAGACAACTTTTCTTGCACATGGTGATAATTGCAACTTTTTGGACATACTCTCATTTTTTTTAATTACAGAGAAAGGACGGCCATTTTTACCGACCACCACCTCAGATCTTCCATCGTCCAGTTATACAGCAGCAAGCTCAAGAAAGTGGTATATTTTCGTCAATTACCAGTGGTTTTTCAAATTTGGTCAATTATTTCGGGTAAGATATAGACATGTACTGGCAAGTTAGAGTTGAATTTTGTTTGAATTTATTATTTCGTGAAATCAAGAAATTATAAAAAGGAGTAGTTTCTAAGGAAAGACTATGCAACCGTACTTTCTTGAATTGTACAAAAATTACATTCATTCACAGTGACATTCATGTATTTTTATTTATCTTGAGTTGGAAGAGGTTGCACATTTAGGAAAATGTAGTACTTACTACAACACCATAATACACGTAAATGCCTGGGGATTTTCCAGTTCTCATTTAACCTCGAAAGGTTTTATTATTATTAAGGCTGCATGTCGGAGTACCTTTGGAATTATTTATTTATGATAGAATTGCATTGTTTTTTGAGCACTCTTTATTTATTGTTAATATTTTGTACAAGATTACAAAGCGAAAATATTACATTCTGTTATATTATATTCATCAGTAAAAAGACAAACTATATACAACTCACTTCGAGATTCAAATTTTTCAATTTCTTGTTTTATCAATAAGTTCTGATTTTTGTGACGATTAGAACTACTACAACGGTGAATATTTTTTGATCTCTTTAAAACAAAAAGTTCAATATAGTTTGGAACAGAGATGTATTGTTGAATTATGACTTCTGTTTAACAATGTAATAATGTTTTATTTGAAAGAATGTTATATTAAAAATTATATATAGAAATTGAAACCACGTGAGATTTAATTTTCTTGCAGTAGTATTATATAATATCGAAGCAATGTGAAACCAATTGCACAGACTGTTATTAGTGTTTAAGCTCTTTATTGCAATAAAGTACCTATTTAATTGAAATGTTTTTTCATTTATTGAAACTACCACTATTACTAAACATATAAGGTAAGTATTGAAAGTAGATTTGAAGTTATGCAAACTGATTTTACAAAAATCTGCGTTTTTGTGAAATTTCCAAATAACATTTAAAGAAAAAAAATTTAAATAACCGCTCGTCAACTCCATACAAGCAAATGGAAGAAAACATTTTGATGTGAAAAACTAACAGAAATATCCTTCAGATGAAAGAAGCATTTATTTCCAATATTTTAATGATTTCTCTCAATTCTGATGATGAAAATAATCCTAATAAATAGGGTCTCCTGTTCAGTACCATTCCACCAAATTATTCACTGAAATTGCCTTTCTAAATTCAGTAGCTAGAAAAAGAAGTGAAGATTATTCGGAGTTTGAGAATCCAATTCTAAAATATCTAAAATAAATTATAAAGAAATGCCAACCAAATGAAAATGGGAAGGTTTGAAAAACAGCTTGAACTGATAATCTATAGATTATTTCCTTAGGCAGCTGATTAATAAATCATTTTTATGTGCCTATTTAATAGTCGTACATAACTGAATTGGTCAAAAATTGCATTAATAAGTATTACTTTTTTTTCAAATGAACACCCAAAATTATTTTTGCTTTTGAATTTCGATTGAAATTTTCAATACTTTCTATGAAAAGCCCTTTTTAATGCCTGAACCAGGCATACCTGACATATTTTAAATTTTCGCTGTAAAAGAGGCTTATGTATGATTCACTGAAAAGAACCTTCATATGCTACCAAGAGGTAGTTATGATTAATTTTTTTTTTTGAGTATTTCTAATTTTTCTTGTTTCGTAATGAAAATGGTGGTGTTACTCTGAAATATACCCTTTCTCTTTTCTTTCGGAAACGCTTGAAGATTTTAATTACGACAACCTTATTTTAGGCAATAATATTTCGCTTTTCAATATATGGGCCTTATTGGGACATCTTATATGATTATATTAGGACTCCTGGGCCACAATAAGACTAATATGTAGAGTTTGCTATAAAAAAACGACATCACTAAGTTTTCTACTAGGCTTATTGTATTCGAGACAACTGACAGAGTACGATGAGTACAGGGTTATTCTCATGAACAGAAAAAGAGAGAAACGGTTAATTCAGAGTGAAGTTGCCCCCTATATAACAAACAATTGAATTATACAAAAAATCGACTGTGGATTTATTGGTTCCACAGGTATATGGAAAATACCTATATCTTTGTTGCTACAAAGATAAATGATAGAAAATAGAACCACAGTTGAAGAAAGATAAAATTTTACAATAATGATAATTAATAAGTGTGACATGAACGTTTAAAAAATACTCCACAAATAGACATAGATATCTGTTTACGAAAGTACTTTTTATTTAAAAAAAACAAATTGAATATATCAAATTATCTGCATTGAACTTCCAGAGTCAATTTCAGGACCGGACCACTACTATGATGGGGTTATATGGTAGGTGCCTAAGTATGTCAGTGCCAAGGACCGTTATATAACATAGGATAGCCAGATCCCTATACCAGCAACGTTGTCGTGCGTGAACCGAGTCCCCACTACTTTATGACATCACCGCGGACCCGTAGCCGTTGGAATATCGCGGTGTGTGACTGTGAACGCGATGAGACACGTTGTTAAGTGACGGTTTTTGTGTTTATACTTCTTCGTGCATCTAGTAAATGAAAGAATTTTTTTACAGTAAACATGCCAGGACGTCGTTGCGCTGTTTTTGGTTGTAACAACTGCCGTGTGTCCACAAAACTTACCGGAAAAGACATTGTTTACCACAAGTTTCCTAAAGCAAATTATTTCGTATCGGGTACTGTACGAAAAGAATGGATAAGACGCTGCAAAAGAGCGGATAAATGGAATCCTGATACCAGTCAAATTTGTTCCGTTCATTTTACTAGCAATGATTACGAAATAGACCTGAGAAACGAATTATTAGGATTGCCTGTAAGGAAACTGCTTAAAAAAAGTGCTGTACCTAGTTCAAATCTGCCCCAAACCTGTACAACATATGTACCAAAAAATTCATCGCAAGAGGCAAGGTATTTAAAAAAGGTGACACGTCACAAAGAAGAAATGGATAAGATTTTCGAAAAGGAGCCAGAAGCTACTTCAGTCGACTTGAACCTCACCATTTCAAGTGAACCATCCTCATTAGCAGGTTCATCTCACATCATCAGCAACGCTTTAATTGCATCAGAAAATAATATATCCATTCAGTATGAAAAGCTCCGCGAAAATTACTCTAAATTATCCAAAAAAAATGGAAAGTATGAAGCGAAGATTGAATTTACAAAGAAAACATCTTGTTTATTATAAAATGAAAAGTAAGAAAAAAAAATCTCCTCAGAAAGAAGAGGCCCTAAATGCATTGAAAAAACTTTTGACAGATAATCAAATTGCCATTCTTCTAAACAAAAAGAAACGCGTGAATTGGACTACAGAAGAGATTGCTGTTGCTTTTACTCTTCGTTATTTTAGCAGAAAATGTTATGTATTTTTGCGAACTAAACTAAATTTTCCTTTACCAGCATTGTCCACTTTAAGGAGTTGGGCATCAAAAATTACTATAAAGCCAGGCTTATTGAAAGATGTGCTAACTTTTTTGAAAGTAGCTGGAGAAAATATGTCGATCATGGAACAATATGTAGTAATTTCCTTCGACGAAGTAAAGGTTNTTAAAAAAAGAGAAAGTTCACCTTTTGATATAATCAAACTCTTCTGTAAACTGAGGACTGTTATTCGTATGAATTATTTAAACACAAAACAGTTTTTAGACAGTCAGTTAAAAAGGGCAGGTAAACGCAAGATTTGCAGTACCCCAAATTCTGACGTGAAACGGAAATTAGCTAAAAAAATGAAAAAAACTATTATGTAATAATTCTTAAAATTATTATTTATATTTTTAATGTTTAAAAATAATCATTACATAGTAATAGGTATGTAAATGTAGTTAACTTCTTTATTACAATTTATTTTTCAATAACAAAGAACGTATGTTAAAGTAAGCACCCATTAAGAATTTTATTTAATTGTTCTTTCCTAATGTAGTTTTTGTTCTATTTTCGTGAATAAAGTTTGTACTTTCTTTTAAAAACTTTACTACATCAATTTCTCAATTTGTATTGATTAAATGAACGAAAAATGTCCCAAAAGTAAAACAAAAAATATAAAATGTAATATTCGCTCCGTATGTGTAATGGAGAACGCTTTGAGATCGGTCCGCGGTGACGTTACCGAGCGCTACTCGACTGGCGAAAATCTGTAGTCATCCAGCTATCCTATGTTATATAACGGTCCTTGGTCAGTGCTTTCAAAGGTGACTAACGTATTTATTATTGTTGAATAAGTTTCCAATCACGACATTATTTGTGACCATTAATTCAAAAATTAAAATGAATATAGTAAGCTATCCAAAAGATAACATTTAACTTTTCAGTTAATTTTTATGAACAGACAAGCTGATTTTCGGCTCCTCTGCTGGGTAGTTGCGCAATATTGATAAAAAAATAAATCCTTGTGCGTGAGTTTCCTTGAATTTTGGTGTAGTAACAAATTTTTTTCGACAAATAATCATGATACTATTAGAAAAACAATAAAAAGATGTGCCACTCCCTTTTCCTTTTATGATTCTAAAAATCAACATTTTAACTTAGTAGAGGAATGAATCGCGAGGTTTAAAAATATTCCCTGAAACTGTCCCACATTGAAATGAAATTGCCTTTCCGATACTTTCCAACGATATTAAGGAAAGCGAGCTTTCAATTCACAAATCGAATGACCCCTCAATCACAATTTTTTGTGAAGACGAACTATATTCAGTTTTACGAATGGTGTATTTGTATTCCAGTAACTACAGCCAAAACCAGCGTATGAAATCAGCGCATATATTTTTCTCTATGAGTTATCTCCGATACTCAGGATAAGCCTCTGAAGAAGCTAGCCGCTCGCACCAGGCAGCGCAACAACAGGAAAAAATTCTAAAAATCGGCGGCTTTCAATCCCGAAAAAAGTGACACTGAAAACCTCGGCCACGAAATCCTTAACTATTTTGTCAACTCTATGTATTGTTGACAGTTTCATCGATTTTTTTTTACTCGAATATAACATAAATTCACAAAAATTGCCACACATATCCTAGAAGTAAAACAATTCATAATTACGATGCACGGATCATTTCTTGTAAATAAAAGATACGTGCTAGAGACCCCATCTAGAAATAGGCTGTACCTTAATATTTTATACTTGTAATGCTTTGCCAGAGTCTCATAAAAATTTGGGTGATACCGAATTCAAAATTAAACTGAAAAATAGACTTGATAACCCCAGTCTCTACTCGGTGAACGAGTTTTTTTTTCAGATACTCTCAGACTACATTTCTACCAGTAATTATTACTATTACACAGGGTCAACTCAAAAAATTGAAATTTGGGATAATGAAATTAATACATGAATACTTTATTTTGAAAGGAAATTGACATGGCGACTGGGCACCATCTGGAAAAAAAATTAAATAGAAAGGGAGGTTCCGTGACACATCTTTTTGAAGCTCCTGACAAATGCCTCACAGCCCTGGAATATAATGTCAATATCTTCAACTACTACAAAATGGCGGAACTCTTAATAATTGCTTGAATACATTGACATTCAACTACATAATATAAGGTAATAAGCTTGAGGTCAGTTCAGAAGATGCTCGAAATGGTTGCCTTGAACTTCTTGACATATAAACAGCCCATCCCATATTTCACGCCGAACATTTTCGAACACAGTAACGTCAATATCTCTACAAATATTCATTATTCTCTGCCGTATATCCAATATTGAAGCAGCTTCAGTTTCGTACACTCATTGCTTCAAATAGCCCCATGAAAAAAAGTCAAAAGGTGTCAAATCTGGCGAGCGGGCTGGCCATTCTGTAGGACCTTGACGGTGAATCCAGCGACCAGGAAAAGTAGTATCCAAATCGTTTCTTACTTGTTTGGAGTAATGTGGTGGTGCTCCATCTTGTTAGAATACAATATACATATCGAATTCATTAGGATTCGCTTCTACGATTTCAGTGATGACAGGGTTAACAATAGTTTCCAGCATATTTAAATACAGTTTCCTGTTAAATTTTGATCAATAAATAGAGGTCCTACAATATGGTTTCCCAATATTCCTGCCCAAACGTAAATTTTTTCTGGATATTGAGTATGCGTTTACCGGAAAATGGAGGGTTGTTGGCACTCCAATAACGTAAATTTTGTCTGTGAACATTGCCGTTTAGAAAAAATGTACATTCGTCACTAAAACAGATATTGAGAAGATAGGTAGGATGCCTTGCAATGGTTTCCGTCATGATTTCGGAGAATTCTGTTCTGATCAGGTAGTTTGAAAGTTATTATAATTAAAAAAGCAAAAGAGCGAATGAAAAGACAAGTATCAAGGTATCACAATATTAAAAGTTTTATAAAAAATAGAATAAAAAAACACATAGTTACTTTTTTTCAAATTTCCAAAATTTTGAAAATTTTCCGAGATATTAAGAAAAAACTAAAGTCCCATTTTTTTTCACTTAATTGTTTATAACTTTTGTAATTTTTATCAGCGCGTTTTCGGATCTTTCTTTAAACTTTCTAGGCAAAAATACGAATCGAATGACACCTTGGTCGTAATTTTTAGACAGGGCTGAAAAATGTTACAAAACAAAGTACATGTGAACTAGACTATACGTTATGTTGAAAACATTTTCAGCAAGTCACAGTAGGACTCTGCTGTGATGGTCTGGCCCGGTTGCGAAAAAAGTTATGGTGAATTACACCAGCCGCTGACCACCATACAGTAACCATAGTCTTTTTTTGATGGATTTTAGTCTTCTGGAAGTGCCTGGGTGGCTCATCAGTGTCCAACCACTGTTGTCGTGTAGGATCACATGTGACGATCCGATCCAACAAAGAATCGTTTTGGTTGTAGAAAAGCAAAGAAGAACTGACCTTGAAACGGGACAATTTCTGTTGATAGTTCAAATAGTGTGGTTTTTCCGCCATCCCACGCACCGTTTGTGATGGGTCAGTCTCTACCAAGGTCCTTAAATCCTCGTCCTGGGTTACTGTAAGTAATCCCCGGAACGAAATTTCGCAAACCAATGTCAAACGGTACGTTCATTAACACTATCACTGCCAAATTCCTGGTTATTTTTTGGGGCTGTTTCAGCAGCGCTTTGATTCAATTTGAATTCGTAGAGAAAGATTGGCCAAAAATAGCTCAACGACATCACACAGTAATTAGCTGAAAAAAAGCAAAAAATTGAAATTTGGAAAAAAATAACAGCCTCAACGTATACAATACAAAATCCTATATCGATCAGTATATACCACGACACAGTCGAATGAATACTTATTGAGATATGGAGCTACAAAAACACATGATATTAAAACGGTCAAAACTTTCGAAACAGCCCAAAATACACTATAGGTGTATCGTACAAACAAGTGTCGCCCATCCTTGCTCTTCTATAGTTCGATGTTTCAAGATTTGATTTAGAAATTCGTAACTCATTTGATTTATTTTAGTTTCAGCTCCTTAATGTTTTTCTTTCAAATTTCGCCTTTTGTAGTTTATCTACCCAATTTTTTTCAGAATCGTTTTTCATTCATTTCTTGACATTCATTCACAATTTCATTATTTCGGACTTCCATTGTCTAATAATATATAAAATGATTTGAAATCCCTAAAAAACCAATACAAAATAAAAATTTAAAAGAATACCCGAGAATAACTATATTAAGCAAAAAAAAACCTGAAATGAAATTACAGTGAAATAAAATACAAGTGAAATATAGAACAATTAAACAAAAAATTTAAATAAAATTAAGAGATTCCAAACCAAGTTACTTCTCGATGTTTCGATTGTTGTATCCACAATCGTCTTCGGGTGATGACTGGACTAATTCCTTTGAGAGATGACTATTTTTCGGTCATTCGAGTACTTTTACTTATCTCCTCTTTCCGCTTCATCGGTTTAGCGGGATGTGACAGTTTGGCGGGAGTTGGCCATTTTTCGCTTGATTATGGGTTTCAATATGTTGCGTATATCTACGCTAGCTTGGCTAAATACATTTTTGGACAACATGTATGCGGCTTCTTTGAATTTCCTCCTAAACCAGTGTTCATCCCTGTGTATGATCTCAGCTTGGGGCCACTCGATGTTACGTTGATGGGTCCAAACATGCTGCTGGTTTTCCCTCGCTGTGTGTCTTTCTTGTGCTAGGCAATGTGAACTTTCAATGGCCTCTTAGTTTCACCGATATAGGATTTTCTGCACTCACAGGGTATTCGCTAAATGCAATTCTTGGATTCGCAGTCTGCGTTAGGTGGCCTGGTTTTCGTGACGTTGTCACGGATGGTGTTACCAGCTCTGAAGCAGGTTCTGATGTTGTACTTGGACCCAATTCTTGTTTTGCTTTCCGATAATCCTCTGATGTAGGGAAGTGGAAGCACTGGTTGTGACGGCTTCTCTTCCTTGCGAGGCTCTTGCTGTGTTTTAGCCAAAGTCTGCTCCACCATCGCTTTGGAGTAGCCATTCCGTTGAAGATCATTTTTCATGATGTCTAGTTCCTTCTTGAGACCTTCCTTCGTATTACAGAGCCTGAAAGCACGGTCTAATAGAGTCTTGATGATTACTCTTTTGGTTGATTGATGGTGGTTGAATTCGTGGTTCAGATACTGCCCCGTTTGAGTAGATTTTCGGTATACAGATGTTTCTCACTTAGTGTCGGTCCTCTTCACCAATACGTCGAAGAATGGCAATTCGTTGTGGGTTTTCTTCTCCATTGTGGAAGTGATGGAAGGTCTCGCGCTGTGGATGTGTTTCAGGAAGCCATCTAGTTCACTATTCCCATGGTTCCATGTTATGAAGGTATCGTCAACGTATCTCAACCAGACTCGAGGTTTCCTGTGGGCTTCTTCAATGGCCAGAGTTTCAAACCACTCCATATATATGTTGGCTATAACTGGTGAAAGTGACGATCCCGTTGGCAGTTCCTCATGTTGTGTAAAGAATTCGTCCTTCAGTTGGAAATAACAGTTTCGTACACAGCATCCTAGTAATTTCATATTTACTTCTATAGGTAAGTTCCAGGCCCCTGTCTTCGGATAGCTTCCTCTGTATGATTTGAAGTGCTTCTTCAACCGAAACGTTGGTGTAAAGGCTTTCCACGTCGAAACTAATTAGTTGATCTGTGACTTCGATTGCCCCTAGTAGTTCGACAAAATGCCTTGAATTCGCCACAAAAGATGATGTTCTTCCTTGTAATTGTTGTATTTTCGGGAGTCAAAATCTAGACATGTTTTGAGTAGCCGAATCTCTGGAGCTGATGATCGGTCTGATCGGAATATCCTTCTTGTGGATTTTGGGTAGTCCATACAAGTGAGCGGTGTTAGCGATGATCTCTCCTTTTCCGAAAAATAGACATGGTGTTTTTTTTTAAATCTGGTACAACTTCCTTCCTAAGTGATGCAATAGAGTCCGGTACGATCTTTGTGTATTGCCCCTTCTGAAGAACCTCTTCGATCTTCTGTTCATAGAGAGCAGTATCCATCATCACAGTAGCTTTTCTTCTATTTACAGGTAGGATCTTGATTGTGTTGTCTATACGTAGGCCGTTCAGAGCCCTACGTTCTTCATTGCTGATGTTAAATGTTGAAACTGGTTCTCGATCCACCTATTCTCTGATTTTCCATTTGAATTCTTCTGCCTCAGTCTGGTCAATAAAGGAACTGGCGGACTCCACTGCAGTAATTATCTCCGAAGGCACATATGTTGGCGCAATGGCGAAGTTTAAACCTTTCCTCAACAAGGATTTCTCTATGTCCGTGAGCTGGCGGGAACTCATGTTGATGACGTTGGCGGCTTCATAGTTGTCCTGTTTTCGGTCTGCATTTGGGCATTGTTTCCTCACTAACTTTTTCCACTTTCTGTTGTGGGTATTCTCCATGTCTTGGGGGATCGTCAAACACCTGCTTTCAATCTTGGCAAAGGGGAAACCAGCAAATTAGGAATAGCAGAGCATGTTTGGATCCATCAACATAACAGTGAGTGGTCCCAAGCTGAGATCATACACAGGGAAAAACACTGGTTTAGGAGGAAATTCAAAGAAATCGCGTACATGTTGTCCAACAATGACGATTGAGTATCCACAATCGAAACGTCGTGAAGTAACTTGGTTTGGAATCTCTTAATTTTATTTTCTTTTTTTTGTTTAATTGTTCTATTTTCACTGGTATTTTATTTCAGGGTTGTTTTGCTTAAAATAATTGTTAATTTCAGCTATTCTTTTGAATTTTAAATTTGTATTGGTTCTTTTAGGGATTTCAAATCATTTTATATATTATTAGACAATGGAAGTCCGAACTAATGAAATTCGTCATGAAACATTGTCAATCACCTTCGAACAAATTCATTCACAATCTTTGACATTACTGATTAAACAATAAATCACAGTGACTTAAACTTTTCTCAAATGAAATTTTTTCGTATCTGCTTATCATTCTCTCTTGACAACATCCTCAATTCCAGATACAGAGATAATATTCAACGTGATTCTTCATTTCTCTTTCTCTGTTGGTTCATGTCGTAATAGAATGACAATAATTTTAATTCATATTTGAATATAACTAACCATATGAATGGTATAAACTTGAGAGATTTCCACAATTCCTTAGATATATACACTTACGATTCTCAAACAAAATCGTGACAGGGAGGCAAATTCCTTGCCCGTACTGCATACTGAACAATTCTACAATCCTGAAAGCGATGTACTCCGATCCTTATATAAAAGGAATCAGCCAGAAGGAACACCCATCATACTGGTTCAGCTTGCACACGAGAAAATGTCGAAAACTGTTTCACTATTTACCTTATTTTTGTCAGTTTTTGTGATTTTTGTTGAGAGTTGCTTGATCACTAACTGTCCAATAGGTGGCAAAAGAAGTGGAAAATTCAGTTTAACTGAATCCAACATTAAACCAGTAAGTAATAAGTATTAATTCAGTAGTAACTAGGCTCTATAAAGAAAAAATGTTGGGATAGTATTTTAATCTGTCATTTTATATTTCATGGTACTACAATGATAAACGAACAACATTATCTGAACACTGAACATTATCAATATCCTTTTGACTTTTATTTCTCCATCCACTTCGTAGCTGAAAGTGACTTTTATACATGATCTACACATCTTTGTGAAGAGTTCATTTTGAAATTAGTTGCTTTTTTCCTCTCTTTGAAAGTTCACCACAATTTTTTTTATATATAAAGATGGAGAAGTGAAAGCCAGAAGCTTTCTTTGTCAAAAACTATTCTCATCATGAAAATATACCCCTTTCATTCTAACTCACCAAACACATGTTCATGCATCTGCAGTTTCGTAAGAGTGTATCATCTTTTCCTCCAACCGATTTCCTGGAGTCTTTGAAGTCCACTAGATACTCGTTAGGAAAACAAGAGGATTGTTCCGAATTCTTGGGGTTCTTGTTGAATACTCTTCGTGGGCAAAACAATAACAGAATCAATAATCCTGACCGCTCTGGATTGACTGATTCTGTACAGTCTATGTTCAAGAGGTAGCAAAAACGTATATGAATTTCTGGAACTTCAACTAGCGTTTCCTTATATGACTAATAACCAGTCCGTGCAAAGCTTGTTGTTAAATCATCTGAAAAATGGAACTTTCAACTGGTGATGATCGATTGTATTGCCAAACATGCGCCAAACTAACTGACTGTCATAAGAAAATGAGTATAGCTGAGGCACCAGTCAATCTAATAATAACACTGATGATCTTCAAACATGACTCAACCTCTAACGGAAGCACCAAACTCTTACGAAGGTTTGAAATAGATGACCACTTCAATCTAGCATACCACTATTATAATCTTCATGCAGTCATTGTTCACTGTGGTTCTGGCGTTGAATCTGGTCATTATTACGCCTTGGTCAAAGACGAAACGGACTGGTTTAAGTTTGACGATAGTCGTGTTACTAAGTGTTCTGGCGATGTATTGAATTTATTGGAGCCTCTGGAGACACCCTACATTTTGTTTTATGAGAGAGAGGACATTGGCAGATCAAGATCTTCAGATGATGTGGTACTGCAGGTTTTTCCGGGTTTTCCTGCAGCTGAAAAAGCAAATGCGCCACTGGAATCAATGAAGTCGCCCCGGAGCGCCAATTAATTAATTAATTTTTGTTGTTGTTTTATAATTTTATGATTTGTATTTTGGGAGTGTAACTATTAATGTTATGAAAGATTCACCAGAATTTAACTCAATTTATGCCAAATGCTTCGGAAGCAAAACCTTGGCTTTCAAAGTGTCCCCATATTTTCTAACACAATATTCCGAATTACGGTTATCTGAAAAATATCTCATTATTAGTATCAATTTTTTTTAGTGGTGAAACAATCTTTCTGTGAAAATTTGATAGTTCATTCTGGAACCTCTGGCATGAAATGAATCTATTGAAAACACCAGAACAAAATTACGAATTTTCATTTTTGTGTAAAGAACGGAAAATGTCGAAATTGTTCTCAAAAATAGAACTATGAATGATACTTTTTAAGTGCTGCTTTCATAATATGGTCGTTTTTATTGATATAAATGAATAAAAAGGTTTTAGGCTTCTACTTTTTCATCTTCGTACAAAAAATTGTAGGAATTTTCAAAGAAAGGAAGAACGCAATTAATTTCAAAATGAACTATTTACAAATATTTTTCTCATATTTACTAACACAACATTATGAATTACGTTTAACTGAAGAATATTTCAATATCAATATGTCAAATATTTTTCAGTGGTGAAACAAACTATTTGTGACTATTTATTTTTCCGTAAAGAAGTTAAGTAGAAAACCAAAACCTTTCATCCCCAAAAAATTTTTTTCTTCGAAAAAAATATACCCCTTCCAATTTCAATGCATACAATACCGAATTGATAACATAAAGATGAAAGTCTCCACATGATTTTCATTTTATTATTTCATTAATAAAGTCCACCGGAATATTTGTGAAACGATTAATGTCGCCAAGTAATATTGAAATATAGTCATCAGTATTTTGAAAGAGTTGAAGAGTTAAAAGAGTGCTTCAAATAATATTCATCTTTTCAGAATTGTTTTTTCAGTATTTCACTTCTCAGTTTAGGATATACGTTGCTGTAATTTTCCACTTGCAGTGTATTTCTTGTGGACCTGGACTGATAACATGAAGATGAAAGTCTCCACAGAATTTTTATTTTATTATTTCCTTAATAAGGACAACCGAAATATTTGTGAAACGTTTAACGACGTCAAATAATATTGAAATAAAGTCATCAGTATTTTTAAACGTCGTCTGAAGTTGAAGAGTCAAAAGAGTCCTTCAGACTCTTTTGACTTTCAACTTCAGGATTAATATTCATCTTTTTAGAAATATTCTTCCCGTATTTCACTTCTCAGTTTTGTATGGAACGCCGTTTTACTTTTTATTGTCACAAATATTCATTCCTCAATTTATTCAACTAACAATGTATTTGTTTGAATTTAATTGATTCATGCATTTGTTCGACACATTAAAAACGATTGTTCCCAAAATTTGTTCTATTTTAAATGACACTTGATTTAAAATGTTACATGAATTAATTTGTTTGATGGAAAGTTGCGAACAGTTATAATATGGATTCATTGTTTGAAATTTTTGGAAGTAAATGTTTGTCATATATACTTTTTTTGTAACTATCGAATAATTTACTACAATTTCTGTGAAACATGAATAAAATGGTTTGTTGATAATTATAGTACCATGAATTAAAACGATTGTTGATAATTTTAATTCGGCGCTAGCGTCGAACGGATTCTTGCAGAAGCTGAATTTTTAAATCTGGCAACATGATAGTTTAGTGATAGTAACACAATATTCCGTCCGACCGCAGCGCCGAATAAAAATTATCAACAATCAATTCAATTCATGTATCACCTAAAAGCAACAATCAAAACAATTCATTTTTACAAAATACCAATAGAAAGTAAAACGGCGTACCACGCCGTTTTACTTTTTATTAATATTCCTTTGAAATGATCTGAATTATTTTGTTTGTTGAATTTCAGTGATACATGAATTAAATTGATTGTTGATACTTTTTATTCGGCGCCACGGTTGAACGGCGTGTTGTCGTACTATAAATGAACTAGCATGTTGCCATATGTAACAATTGAAGTTCTTGATAAATCCGCTCGATACCAGCGCCGAATTAAAATTATCAACAATCGTTTTAAATGTATCTTTCAAATACAACAAACTTTTTAAATTATCAAAAAATTTAATTTTTTGCCAGAAATTAGCTTTTTAAAAAGACTGATGAAATAAAATGATACTTGCTTGAGAATGTTTTGCACAAAAGTTGTAACCAAATTTTAAATTGAATGCATTAAAGTGAATGTTGCAAATATTGAACACTTTCAATAAAATTGAAATATAACAATCTTTATTATTCATAGAAAAATATTTAGTATGGAAAGTTGATTTGATATATTTTCAGACAAACGAAAGTCTATTTTTATTACCAACAATGTTTCATGGAAAAACTTTGACAGTCATTCAAATATATTCATTGAAATTTTATTCCCAAACTTACTTTTAGAAAGTGAATTTAAAAATTCATTGTAATTCAACAGTCATATAAATAACTAACATTTTATTGAAAGGTCAAAATTATATGCGGAATTGAAACGTTTGTTGAATTTACTCGAATAATACATTCCATTGATTGTTGAATTAAAATGTTGGTTTATTGCTGAGTTGAACTATATGTATATAGATTATTTTTCAGCATAATATATAATAAATTGGCGTTCCATTTTCCAATACTCTGAAACAATATTTTTCTTCGGAATCAATAAAAGCTTCAAGTTATTTCATTACTCTTTTTTATTCAAATAACAATTTTATTCATGTAACATTTTAAATCAAGTGTCATTTAAAATAGAACAAATTTTGCGAACAATCGTTTTTAATGTGTCGAACAAATGCATGAGTCAATTAAATTCAAACAAATAAATTGTTAGTTGAATAAATTGAGGAATGAATATTTGTGACAATAAAAAGTAAAACGGCGTTCCATAGTTTTGACATACGTTCCTGTAATTTTCTACTTGCAGTGTATTTCTTGTGGACCTGGACATACAGGCCAGTGTTTTGGACCAAATATCTGCTGCGGGCCGTTTGGTTGTCTAATGGGCAGTCACGAAACGTTTGGATGTCAAAGAGGAGGGTTTCATGAGAGTGAGCCCTGCATAGCTGGTTTTTCCTCCTGTAGAAAAAATACGGGGCGCTGTGCCACTGAAAACATATGCTGCACTCAAGGTATTTTTAAAATTCGTTCATATACATAATAACAATCGACAAATCAAAATGTGAATTGACCACTGTAACGAAACTTTTCCATATATCAATTTTTGCCTATCGTGGGTGAGGGTTTTTCTAAAAATGTTCGATGAAATGAATGTCGAGCGATTCCATTTTCTATTCAACTCAAATTAGGAATATTGTGTAACCTTCGTTGTCGTAGATTGAAACGGGTTACTTAGGAACCAAATTATGGGCTGCCGTACTTGCTCCTCGGAAGACCGTAATCAGAGATATAAAGGGTGTAGTGGTGTAGCCTTGCGAGAGATACACCACGATATAGTTCACAATATCGACTTGAGGTGGTAATAAGAAGGCCTAAAATGAGATTAAGGTTTAGAAGGATATACCCTTTAGGGTATTTTCGGGAAGTGGGTTCTTACCGTAGTTGTTGTGTGGCCTGAAGATTGGAATTTGACAAGAGAAACGGGTACTTAATAAAATCCCCAATACTGTGGGCGAGTTATTCCTTTAGATAACCCAAATATAGTTATTCCCGTATTGAATATTTTGGTTGGTTTCTTCAAATCCACAAAGTGATGAGCTCAAAATTCTTGCTCCAGAGAAGATAACCAAACTCAACTCTCATTACCAGAGACAAAACCCTTTTCTTTTTCCTTTCCTTTTTTTTCCCTATCAACGTTATTCAAGGTCGAATTATTCTGATTGTCTTTAGGCACAAAAAACTGAACTGAATTGTTTTGAATGTTATACAGGGTGGATGCTGTGCATAAATATATGATTTCAATACATTACTTTTCTGTTATCTTTTAAATCCGCTCTTGCATTTTGGGAACCGTAACAATTGTTCGAGAAGTTATTGATTTGATCATCAATTTTCAAAAAAATCGAAATATCCAAGTGTGTTTGAAAGTGATTGACAATGTTCCACTGTCTAAAAAGATGTCAACAGATTCAAAAGTCATGGTAGCACAAATAACATAAAAATATTTAAATACTAAAATAATCGGACCTAAATATTCAGTTGAGTTAGTTATGACAGAGGTTATGTTAAAAAAAATATAATGTGATCTGAAATGAAAATGAACGGTTAATGGGTTATGGTTAATAATAAGTGAAATGTCAATCATATAAAAATAATAAAAATATGCAATAAAATTACAATAAATAGAAATATTCAAAATAAATCATAAAAAAAAAACGAAAAAATTAAATGGTCCAATTTCAAACCAATTTACTCCACTACCTTTCGATTGTTAGTATCCGCAATCGTTTTCGGGTGATAACTGGCCTACCTGATAGTGGGATGATTCATAGATAATTTGGGCGTTTCTCCCCTTCCTATCCGGTTCAGTTAAACGTAGACTGTTTTGCCGCTTGATTAGAGGTTTCCGTATATTGCGTACTTATCTCCACATGTTATATACGCAGCTTCTTTGAACTTCCTCTTGAACCAGTTACATCAAGAGACCCGAAGCTGAGAATGATCCCATCTTCGGACCATTTGATGTTATGTTGAGGAGTTCAGTCATGCTCCGCTATTCCCGATTTGATAGTTTCTCCTCACTGGTGTTTTTCTTGTGTTCGCCACAAACTTTCAACGGCCTATTGGTTTCAGCAATTCTGGAAATCGCAGTCCGCGTTTGATGGCTTTTTTTTGTGAGGATATTAGGGATTGTGTTCCAGAACCTGAAGTAGGTTCTGATGTTGTACTTGAAATTCTCTCCAACAGCTCTCTGACTGATGGAGGGATAGTAATGGTTAAGACGGCCTCTCTTTCTTCATGTCTTCAAGCCAAAGTCTTTTTCACGAACTGTTTGGAGTAACCATTTTGCTGAAGATCTTTTCTGATGTGACCTAGTTCTTTGTCGAAACTTTTCTTCGGGTTACAGAGCCTGAATGCTCGATCACTTAGGGTCTTGACGATTTCTCTTTTGGTAAGTGGTTGGAGTGGTGATTCAGATACTGGTTTTCAGTGAACTAATTTTTCCCACTCACTGTCGGTCTTAATCACCATAACGTCCGAAAACAGCAAGCCCTTGTGAACTTCTTTCTCCATTGTAAATGTAGTGGATGGTCCCACGCTGTTGAGGTGTTGCCAAAAACTGACCAATTTCGTGTTTTCATGATTGCATACTAGGTGTCATCAACGTATCACAACTAGATACCTATTTCGATAAAACCAAGGGGTCATTGAAAGTCTGTATTGGCGAGCACAAAAATTACCTAGCGACAAGAAACTAGCAAATCGTAAATAGCGGAGCATGTTTGGACTCATCAGCATAACATCAATGATAGTCCAAAGCCGATCACTGGTTTAAGAAGAAGTTCAAAGAAGCTGCATTTGCAGGCCAGTTATCACCTGAAGATGTGTGTGGATACTAAAGATCGAAAGGTCATTAAAGCAACTTAGTTTGATATTTTTTTCTTATTTTTCATTCTTTGGCTATTTTAATTTATCTTGATTATTTTATTTTATTGTAACTTCATTTTATCGATTTATTGTTTGTATATAATTGGTATTTCACTTTGTTCATTTAGATCCGATTATTCAAAATTTTTCCAATAACTTTCAGCCTCATTCACAGATTTTGAATCCATTTTAGACAATGGAAGTCCAAACTTGTAGCCTTTTATAATATATGTCTTCTGACCCATCCATCGTAATGTGAAGATGAAAATTAAAGTCTGTTGGAAAGTGTTTCTTGAGATTTTTTCGGGTTTATGATCCTCCGAAATAAAAAACTAAATAAATCTTAATCAATAGAACTTCTCAAGTAGTGTACTTTGAATAAGTTAATCAGTGGTGTGAAGAAAAACGTCATAGAATACTGAAATACAGTCATATGGAATTTTTTGACCCATTGTTCCGTATTTATTCCTTTTTCGGATTGTAAAATAGGTTATGAACATATACTTGCCAAATAATATATTTTTTGTTACAGTTTCGTGCCACACGGACAGACAATGTTCAACTGACCGAAGAATGAGACCACTTTCAGAAAACGCCGTAGAAATGGATATTTATAATTTGGTGAACAACTACCCTTCAGAGCTATCTATTGAAAAATAATTATTCAAACATATATTCCAAATGTAACCTCTCAAATGCTACCATGAAAACTGACGACCAAATTAAAATTATACACAGAATCAACAGAATACAAAAATGTTAATTTTTTCAAAATCTTTCATTTTTTGTCCACTTTTCGAATATATGAGTATGTCCTATCTTTCCTTTCTTTAGCAGTATCTACTGAGTAAGCTACCATATTTTCCATTCCCGACAAGCAAAGAGAAGCAAGCATTAATTAGCATTGTTTGTCGAATTATTGAGTTTTTTTTTCAAAAACTACACCTCACGATTTGATCTACACAAATTTGTGGAGATCAAATCGTGAGGTGTAGTTTCTGAAATTACTATGGATCTTCATCAAGTAACGGCCGAATCAACCAGAAAATTATTGAGATTATTTCTCTCAACAACATAATTATTCATCATCTAAGAGCAAACATTATTTGGAGTTTTGTTTCCATGATCGAGGGTGACTTATCACAGACATTTTTCGTCCTCTGGTTTTCTTTGCAGCTTTTACTCCAAGGTATCTAATTGAAACCAGAGTTCAACAATAAAGACTTTGTAATCCAATATAAAACGGCCATAGACCCCATCTACAATGAACACGAATTCATTGTTGGGCTCATCCGTTCTAGAATAACAAACCTTAGTGGGAATCGGCAATGACAACTCTCCTTTACGAAGGGATTGATAGAAGATCCGATCCACGAATAATAATTAATAATAAACGAGGCTCGTAGATTACTGAGTATTCGTCTTCGTAAGAGGATATGTCATCGCGTTTTTCTGCCGCTTGTTCATTGGGAACAGTTAAGTCCAACAATGCATTCGTGGTTCAACCCAGCACTAGTAAGACCTTTGGCGAGTCGAAACAGCGCGGTATTCGATCCCGCATCTTGTTTTTTGAACTGTGATTTCAACTAGTTGCCTTGTAGAGAAAGCTGCAGAAAAAGACAGAACAAATCCGGTTTGGCGGAAGATGCAACTGACGTTTTGCAGAGTCTAGTTTATCTTCGATATATTCGTGAATTGATTGATCCAACTGACAGCATCTTCGTGAAAGGAATGGCCATCACTAATTCCTAATATTTGTGACTATGGTTTACCATGGTAATAATGTTCCCCAGAGTTTAGCGTTCGAATTATAACATCTAGATGTCGCTTTCTTTGTGGACTGGATAATCAAAGTGAATAAATTCAATTAAGAAAAGACTAATGAATAACACAATTTTTAACATGTACCTCCATTTTTTGGAATAGTTCCAATATTTCCGATATCAGTCGTATGAGGATGAGAAACTTTCCAATAAGAAGGTGCACTTTCAGTGATTGTCCTGTTCATACCATCTTCACATTTTTTGAATCCCAAATATTTTAAGCGAATCGAATATGATATGTGAATCTAATATATAAAAATGGATGTTTGTTGGTTGGTTGGTTGGTAAGTGATAAACTTCTACATCGCTCAACCGATCGTGATGAAACTTGATTGACATGTATAAGTAATTTTTCATACAGAAGGATTTTAGGCTATCAATTTTTCTTTAACTCGCCACTAGATGGCGCTGTAGAACAACTTTTTGAAAGCACTGTTCTATAACGCTTCGTACGCCTAAGTTCGTTGATTCTGATTCTGTCAAAACATTGGAACAGCAGCGATACAGCAACAGAGTAGTATATTTCATATATAAAAAATGGTGACTTGAATTAATTAAACAGGGGCAATACATACAGTTTTTTTATAGATTCGTTCTTTTTTCGTTAATCATATGAGTAGGTAGGCATTTAATTTTGATTAATTGATCAATACTAAAATCATTACCGTAATGATTAGGTCATTGATGATAGTTCACCCAGCCTGATGTTGGAATAAGTTTACATTTTTTATCGAAACGTGCACCAAAAATAGATAGTTTTTTCGGTGTGTGAAAAGTTGAACTTGAAACAGAACTGTTTCTATGAAAGTTTCCGTACTAACAGGTATAATTGATATACAGGCCGTATCTTGTGGTGACATTATTTTCTAAACCATAACAGATACGAAGACGATTAAATGGGAAAAAAGGTAACTGTCATCGGGAACAATACGATGGTCGACGAAAATTTACGGGAACTCTCGCCCTTGCCTAAGCAATTAATTCACAATCCAAGGGTATACCACATTTGATATTTTTATAGCGTTTCATTTGAAATAATACTATTATCGGTGCCAACAGTTTCAAATTACGGTCCTGTCGTTACTTCTTCTGTAAATTATTTTGATTTCTTCAAAATATAATTCAGATAACCCAATAAACTCGACAGGTAGGTACCCCAACACAATGAAAATTCGTACTTTTTCGTTTTGGAAATTTATGTATTGCCATAATCCTTCTTTCAAGGCTTATTTCTCCCTAATTAACTATAATTCGTGATATTTTCATAATTCTCAATTCTGGAAGTAACGAAAATATCACTTTTTGGTCAAAAATTCGATTGTTGTATGATTTGGATATGATAAAATAGCATCTCAATTCATTTACCATTTTAAACGCGTAGGCTTTGCTTGGTTTCTATGGCAGGAAAAATGAATGCGTTGTTGATATCTGTTAAGAACTGTCAGACGTTTATGAACATATCAAAGATGCTATTTAGTAATGCAAAATCGAAAAGAAATCTTTTTTTGGCAAGGAATATGTATGTTGAGCTATACCGGATCGTCGTATTTCGAGCATACAGTTTAGACGATTAGAAAGAAATTTGAGGGACTATGGTGACAGAAAGAAATCAAGAAAATGTGTGGTTACTGGAAGTGTGAGGAATCAAATAAAATATGGGTAAGCAAATATTACCACATAAAAAAGTGCACAGTGAAAACATACTTTTTTCATTTATGATTGGCCAGTTTCAAAAATAATGCTAATCAAGATTGTTCTTCACGAGAACTTGCCCACAAAATGGGGATTTCTGTAAAACCCACCAAAACTATTAAAATAAAAACAAATATAAATGCTACAGGATACGCACCTCAATGAAAGGGATTTCGGAAGGAGAGTACGATTTGCGAAGTAGTTGAGACGTAGAAAAAGGGAAGTTCGAAATATTTGTGTAAAAATAATATGAGCGGACGAATCAAAATTCACCAACAAAGATTGGTTTAACAGAAATATCCATTATAGGTGGAATAATACAAATGAACATTTACATAGGGAACAAACATCCTTGGCCCTTTCTTTCACGATGATCATTTGAATTGTCAAATGTATCTTCATTTTCTGTTCAATGAACTCGATGGATTGCCACTGAATATCCGCCATGAAATACAATATTTTCAACAGGACGGCGCTCTTTCCCATAAAGCAGCAATAGTAAGGGAACATTAGATGCAGTATTCCCAAGAAGATGGATTGGAAACAATGGACCAATTAACTGGCCAGCTCGATCCACAGATCTTATTCTTTTAGATTTTTTGTCTGGGGACACATAAAGGATAAAGTTTTTTCAACACCAAGTACAGATATCGACCATCTCAAACAAAAAATAAGAGATGCATGTATTAGTATTACACCTATTATGCTAGAAAGTTGCCACAGAAATTGTCTGGACCGGCAACTTATGTGCATTCAACAAAGAGGTCGTCAATTCGAGCATTTAATGTGGATTGCCATGCAGCTTTGATTTTCCGAATTGGTTTCATTTTTCCCAAAAATTCGTGATGAAATAAACTGTTTTTCTGTTTGATTGTTGTCACTGATGATGGTGGTTATTTCAAATGAAACGCTATAAAAATATCAAATGTGATATACCCTTGGATTGTGAATTTATCGCTTTATCAATATCTGTAGTAAAAAAGACAGGTCCGTATTTAAAACAAAAAGTTGATGGTGGCCATGTTGACACGAAACGTTTTATCGAATATTTATTATCACATCATCATAGTATACAATAACATTTTCCTTTTCCATTTTTTGATATTCTCCGAAATAACAATTCCATTCGAAAAAAAACGAAAAACAGCATTTTTTGTTTTCCCCGTATAACTCGAAAAGGGCGAGAGTCCTGGTAAATTTTCTTCGACCATTGTATTGTTCCCTATGACAATTACCTTTTTTCCCATTTAATCGTCTTCATATCTGTTACGGTTTAGAATATAGCAATGTCACCACATGATGAAAGAAACTGCCTGTATATATTATATTCTTCTTATTGTGCGAGTTCTCCGATTTTAGAAATATTTGATGATTTCTTCATCTTCGACAGTTTTTGCTTAAACCTACGACTATAATTTTTCACAACAACTAACAGTTGAGATGTTGCACCATCATCAAACAATAATATTATTTAATGAAACGCTTCCGGACATTCATGGAAGATTTAAAAGTCTGCTTAACATCAACAACAATTCCATCCTACGATGACAATCGTAGAATTTTTAACAAAAAATAGTTCATATCCTAAATGATCTTACCTCTACGAGAGAAATAAACAGGGTTTTGAATTAAAAGAAGTAATTATCGTTGACTTTTGCTGTATTAAAAAAATAGAGAAAATCACATGCACATTATGTTAACTGGTTCAGGCCTACTATGATTCTTCTGTTGGACTTATACTCTTGAGGTGTTGGAATGCAGACACCAACGCTGTGAGTTGTATGTTCTCATTTGCTCCAGAGCAAATACGGTATTCAATTTCAGCCATTTTGTCTAACAGATCGGTCATCAAATCGAACGGAAACTCAACTGAAAATAAATATTAATAGAGAGCAATGTTTTTAAATGACAATCAACTCACCTCTGTGTACATATTTGTGTACTTCGGTTATAATATCATGTAGAGCCAAACCTTTAACCACCTTCAGTTCTTTTATATCTGGAAATGTTCAATTAAGGAGCATTTACGATATTGACAAATGAAACATAAACCACTGGAGAATACCGATATTTTGAGTAAACGACAGAGAAAAACTACTTCTCGTCGTTTATCTGGTAATGAAAAATAAGAGGTTCACTTTGCCCAATTGGGCGCGTCAAGGAATACAATCAGGCAATCATCTGAAGTCCTCAGAAACAATTCAGATTTTGATGATTTTTTTCAAAATTTTGTTTTTTTTATGTTGTTAAAAATCAGGAAACTTTTGAAGAGGTGACTGAATATGCATTTTGAAAATAAATCTTTGTATTTTAATAAATATATCAACAATAGACCATAGCACCAACGTTAAAGTTTGTTTAATGGATGTAACCATGATCGAACTGAAGCATCTGAGATAAATCGTAGATATATAATTTATACTTCAATCGATTATTTATCTGAAGAAGACATGCCTTTAAAGGAAAACATTTAGAAACCAGCTGCATATTGCTTCATTTCGATTGGTTTGTGCAAAGGCACAAATATTTAAACGCATGTGTTTGACATGGCATTTTTTGAAAAGTTACTTAATATTTTTCAATTATGTTTCGATTGTTTGTTGATTCCAGGTCAGAAAATCCTGTCTGAAATAAGATATTTTTGACAGTTTCACTGCCTTATCCTTCTCCCATTTCACATTAAAATTAGTTGAAAAAATATGGTAGTTTTACAGGATTTGTCATTAAAAAAAGAACACAAACACTCAATTTTCAAATTGCGGCCTATACACTTGAATAGTTATTTTTATTAGCCCCATTCTTCGGGAGGAAACAAAATGAGTTGTATATGATAATTTATTCCTGAATGATTGGACCAGAAAATGAGAACACAACATAGATTGAAGTTAAGTATTGATAATAGATGTGATTTGCTTACAAAAGGTCCAACAATAATTCAGTTCAATTCATATCGATTACCTAACTGCTCGTTTCATCATTCAGGATCAAACAAAACTGTCATTTCATTTATCTTTGAAGACTCTTTTCGCATTTGTTCTTTGAAGTTAATGGGGTGGAACGTTAGCAATTAATTCTTTCCTCTAAATGTACCTCTTTACGTGGTTCCTCAACTTTGAAAATTTCAGCTGCTGCACGAAATTTCCGAAAATTAATAAAATTTCCAAGGAAATTATGTTCCCTTTCATTATAAATGCATGAATGCATGGACGAAGAAGACATGACTTGTTAAAATATTGTGATATTTCATTGAGATGGTTTTTTATGGAAAAAACTCGTTACAAGGAATTATTTTTGTCCTGTTTCAAAAGCGCTTTTCATCATCAGGTGCTGAAGCCATCAATTCCACTGACACACCAATATCCTCTGCTAGAACAACTGCATCATGGAAGTTACTAACTGGAGATGATTGTATGATTGCATGATTCACATATTGATTTTTGAAGAAGAAACTTATAAACCCAATTATGTTCTGGCTGTTTCCTAAAAATTTTTCTTTAGATGTATTCAGAGGCATTTTTTCTTCAAATTAATAATTGATTAGAGTATAACTCATATATCTTCTGTTATATTATATATTCTGGCATACTTATTACCTACATGAATATTCAATATACTTTTGTTATATTTCATTTTGGAAAAAAAGGTTCTGGCTTTTTACTTTTCTATCTTTATACAACAAATATGGTAATCTTCCAAACAAAGGAACAAATCAATTAATTTCAAAATGAACTCTTTACAAAGATATGTAGTGTATGCAAAGAAGTAATTTTAAGACACAAATTGGAAGAAAAAGCTTTGGATTACACGAAAGGGAAAACTTTCCGAACATCTTTTGTATGAACATTGATACAATAAATTCTTTTCAGTGCCTCTAAACGATATAAATAATTCTGAAAACTGTAATCAATGCTGTAAGCATGTTTGGAAAACAATAAATTTTATAAAATCAACTTTAATAGATGATTCAAAGATGAAATCCACAACCAGGTTATTCCATTAAGAATCTTATTGAATACAATATAGCTTTCTCTTTGAACACTTGTTTTTAAAAGATATGCATAATTTTGAGTAATGCCATCATCCACAATCTGTGAAAAAATCAGAAGTTAATAAGAGGAGTCTACCGTTAAAAATAGTTTCTTCTGATGTTGGAAACTACAACAAATATGACTGATAACTTATATTTATAAAAAGGAAGAAAAAGTCTATTTTCCTTTTATAATATGAAACTGTTCTTATTCTTATTTTGTTCTCGGCAAAATTATAACAAAACAATTTGCCGACTAATCTGACATCACATTTCCTACATTTATATAGATGTCTTGATAATTTTGCCTATTATAATATTTCTCTAAATTCACCATGGAGGTTCTGAAAGAAATCTAATCAGCTTTTGTTTGTTCTGGAGTTGGCAATATAATATTTACTCTGTACTTTGGTATTCAAGGATACTTCTATAAGTAGTTTGAAAATCCTCATTTAGCAGCCATTTCACAATATTCTCAATATCTGTCCTCAACGGATGTCCTACGCAACTATACACATTGTCCTCTGTAACATTTTTATAGGCCAACCAAGTACTTTGTAGAACGTTCAGCACTTTACGCATATCACCATTTGCCAAAGTTAGCAGAGCATTTTTTCCATCTTCTGTTATGGTAACCCTACAATAATACAAACATACAGAAAAATATATATACAGAATATATATGCACTGAAAATATGTCAGCTTGAGAAAAAGCAAACTTACTTTTCTTCATCCGCTACGTAGCTTAATCTTGGTAAAATCTGATCTGGTGAAAGTGGGCCAAACCTGAATCTGGTACAACGAGACTGCAGAGCAGGTATTATTTTACTCAAATAATTGCAGATTATGCAGAATCTAATGTTCTCAGTGTATTTTTCTATGACTGAAAATAAGAATATTTAGAAAGTTATAGTAAACATCTAACACATCATATTATATCTTATTAGATAGATGAATCTTTATTGAAATAGGATATTCTAATACAGGGTGGGGCACCGAAAACTAAACAGATCGAATATCTGAAAAAAATGCAAAAACACGTCAATTTTAAATCCAAGAGGGACACATCTTATCGTTACCTCAACTGTCATACTTCTCTCCCCACCCCTTGTTCACTTATACAATTTGATTAGGGAAAGTACTAAGGGTGACACAGCATTGAAAAGGTAATTCCATAAGGAATTCAGACATGTGAGTGTTCACTACTTAACTTTTCATTTTGGCGCTCTATTGCAGGAAAAACAACCGTTTCGTTTTCTGTAGTTTTGGAGCATGTCTAGGGTTATTTGACAACATTCGGTAATAATACGTTGACGTAACTCTGCTAACGATCTGGCTGAGTGGCGTATATTTTACTTTATAAATGGCCCCACAAAAAGTAATCTGAGGGGGGGCATTCAATGCATTCTCTTCTTCCCATCCAGTGTCTGTGAAATCTGTCATCCACGTATTGACGAACCGCTATAGCAAAATGTGGAGGAGCTCCGTACTGTTGGAATATTAGGTAGTCCTCGGTTATCGTTTTTTATTATGTTGGATCAACGGTATCTTCGAGTAATTCCAAATACATATCCCCAGTCAAATTACCTGGTAGAAAAAATGGTCCGGTAATACGATCGCCAAATATTCCAGGTCAAACATTCAATTCTTGTGGAGATTGCGTATGTACTTGGTAAAACAATCTTGGATTGCAATCCGTTGACATAAAAACTGCATTCATCCGAAAAACAAATATTGAAAACGAAATTTGGATCTTGTTTAGCCAGTTTACTCATGATTTCACAAAATTGTATTCGACGATCAACGTCGTCTTCGTTAAATTCCTGAATCAGTTCAATTTTGTATGGATAGAATTTGTGAGCTTTCAAAATTCGCCCGACGGTACGTCGACTTACTCCAGATAATTCGGCAAGCTTTCGTGTACCAAGAGTTGGATCCGCAGCAACCTGTCCTAAAACTGCTACCTCCACTGCTTCGTTTCTTACTGGGTTTTCAATTTGACGTGTTTTATTTGCCACAGAACCTGTTTGTCGAAATTTTGAAATTAGTTCCAAACGTATTTACGATGTACGTTTTTGTTTGGGTGTTGCTCATTGAAAATTCTACTGGCTTTGTTGGCACATTCATTATTTCTTAAATAATATTCATTTATTTCTAACCTATTCTGAATAGAATAAACCATTTTTATTTCACTCGTTAATGTACCTGACGTACTACTGTCAAGAAACTGACACAAATAAGCACTGAAACAAAAGGTTTTTTATTATACCAATACATAGGCGTAGTAAGTCAATTTTTATTCCAAAGGTACGAATGTCATCAAATAACTTCAGAAATGCTCAAAAATATCAGACGGCGTTTCGAGAATAACATATAGTCATTTATGCAGTTCATGGCGAACACTTTGAGCATCTACTGTGAATTAAAGTAGTAATTTTATGTAATTGTTTCAATTGTTGTTTTTTTTCTTGAATTTTTCACATTACCTTTCAAATAAAATGTGAATTGAAAAACGAAACAGTTGTTTTTCCTGTAATAGAGCGCCAAAATGAAAAGTTAAGTAGCGAACACTCAAACGTCTGAATTCCTTATGGAATTACCTTTTCAATGCTGTCACACTTAGTACTTTCCCTAATCAAATTGATTGAGCGACCAAGTGGTGGGGAGAGAAATATGACAGTTGAGGTAACGATAGGATTTGTCCCCCTTGGATTTGAAATTGACGTGTTTTTGCATTATGCTCACAACACATGTGTTTTAAAGAATTCGTTTTCGGTGTCGGGTTAAATCGAAATTTCGTCCGTCATTTTGGAGCCACCATCTTGATTTTTTGCATTGAAAAACAATTCATAACTTTCGACCCTGAAAACCACCACTTATCAATTTTGAATCAAATCGGACCATAATTGCAAATCTTGTCCGCCATTGTGAAGCCGCCATCTTGTTTCTTCCCTAGGAAAACTCCATAATGCATTGTCACCGAATTTATGTCAAATTAGCTTACGAATGAGGTATCATAATTTGGAATACGTAACAGTTTTTTTCCCGCAAGAAGGCGCCAAAATCGAAAGTTAGGTAGCTAAAATTAACATGGCTGAGTTCCCTATGAAATTACCTTTTTAACGATGTGTCACACTTACTACTTTCCCTATTCAAATTGTTTGGGTGATAGTCACCGAGGGATGGGGGAAGAGGTATGACAGTTGAAGTTATGATAGGAAGATGTCCCCCTTGGATTAAAAATTGACGTATTTTGGCATTGTTTTCAGAACATATGTGTTTTGAAGATATTTGATCTGTTTCGTTTTTGGTGCCCCACCCTGTATACACATTAGCTAAAAAGTATAAAGTAAAAAAGGCATGTAATACATATAGAAATTACTCAGATTATATGACAAAAACAAGTTCAATGAAACATGAAATATTCTATAATTCTTCTGATTTGAAAAACATTTTTAATTCTATTAGAAAACTGGGTTAAAACTAATATGTATGTTATTCTCAATATACTTGTTTGGAAAAAATGTTCAAAAAGTGAAGCCAGCAATATTTTTTAATAAAATTTGGTATACCACATTTTGACAGGGTGACCAGTCCAATGGCGATTTTAAATTTTTCCTAAAAAAACGCTAATACGATTTCTTGTATTCAAACCTATGAAAATATTCGCAGCATGCCTTGGTCTTTGTAGAAAGTACAGTTTTTCGAACTCTACAATTCAAAATAAAGTTCTTAGAAATCGGAGAAAAGATGGAAATTTTTGGAAGGTGTATCGCTTTCAAGTGAGTCACAGTGTATATTCTATTACAAATTATTAAATTTATCCGGAAATGTTTCTTTTTTGAGCAAATATCATATTGTTTTGAATCATTCCCTGAAAAAAATAACACCGGCCGTCGCTGGTCGTCGTAAATCGACGTTGGATGCCGCGTCGCTTCGATAGTCTTCTAGCGCCTTCCCTATCGGCTTCGGGAGACTTTGAATAACATATATAAACACTTCCCACACGTATATCGGGGAAGTCTAGTTGGCAGTTCGTTATAAAGCTATCTAATAAAGCGATAGACATTTGAATATTAGTTTGAAATTTTAGTTGAAGTGTTTAGTCGTATTGTCAGCGTAGCAGTGAAATAATATTAAGTTTTGTTGTACTGTGTAATCAATTATTGGCAAATCCATGGGGAAAACGTAACAATCAAGAGAATTTTCATAATTCCGATATTATCGTAGAATAATATTAGTGTTTCAATAAAAATAGTGGTATTCAAATTCAGAGTCTATGCGAGGAGAAAGAGAGTAGATTAAATTGTGCTGAAGTTGCCAATTTTTTAATACTATCGAATGACCCCAAAAAATTTACTCTATCTTTTTTATTCCGAAGATATGAAACTATTGAAGTATATTAGTCAGACTGAATCCGCTATTAAAACTCGAATCAAAGATCATGCACCTTTACCTCATCTTGAAGGCTTTCGAAAATCTGGAACATTGAATTGTAGATCCAAATCTATGAACCCGACACAAAAACGATTTTGAACAGTCCCTAGTTCACTCTATTAAATCATTCTTTTGAAATTAGCGGATAATTCGCCGAAATTGTTTATAAATGAAAGTGAAATTTTTCTCTGTTGGATATCAATTAATATTTAGGAATCAGTATAGTTCATCTCCTGAAAACTCCACTTGATTGGTGAAACATGCGTGAAGAATAGTGTATATCGGAGCAGTGTTTGTGTTGGATCCATTCTAAGCCAGAATTTCCAGCTCAACCTGTCAATCTCTTGTTACTAATGTTATTATAATTCACATTATTCATGTCAAAGTGAATTCTAGTATTCTGTACCCAATTTATTTATTTTTTTTCGTATAGATGAAGGCCAACCTAGAAAACGTTACATACAAGTTGTTCCGGATTCAAAGTTGGAGTTCGTGCAAATGAAAATAAAATATGGAAATAGACAGTTGTGCTGCGTACTCTATGCTAAGTTTGATTTCAACTTTTTCCTTAGACTAGAAAAATTTATTCAGCTTCGAAGTTTTCACAGAATGAAATCAAAATGCTAGTAATATTCAAAGTTCATGTATGGCAAAATCAAGGAGATATTGCATTAAGTAATTTTGCAAAAAAAAATCAATTTGTTAGTGATATTAGAGTTACTCCTATTTCCCTAAATCTGGACCCTGCATTACTAAAAGTTGAAAATTTGCCGTTTTCATTGAAATCAATTGTCAATGTTAAAACAGTGGAAACAGTAACTCATCCAGTGGACATCACTTATCGTTTATGTCGTGCATATATTGATTTATGTAATTATTTCGACTTCAGTATTAATACCGGTTATGATGACATAATATATACGGGAACAAACAGGGCGAATAGATTATTATTACTACAAACTATTTCGAGTGCTCAGTGAGAAAATTGCTTGCATAATGTTAAATTGAACTCAGTATATGACGACCTGGGAAGGTTCTATACTAAGTAAATTTATATACATCCAGTGTTTTGGAAAACGAAGTGAGTGCCGAAATGTCATCCAGATGTCATCCAGAAGTAAAATTCCATTTCGAATTCTCCCATATAGAATAAATACCTCAATGTTCATTCTAATCAATTGTACACTAATAAATAAACATGTTTGAGTAAGCGTCAAAAAGTATATCAAAACGGTTCACAAAGATATATGTATTTATTGTATTAATATTTTTTGAACAACTTTCATCAAAAGTGGCATGTTTAATGGTTGTCAAGAGTATTAAAAGATGATGTTTACGAAGTTTGGGTTTGAAATATGTTCAACACTAGTGTTGTTAAATTCTGATATTGATACCTTGCGATGTTTAAAAGCCTTGTAATATATTTGAACTAGCTGAGTTGACAATTTCATGGGCAATTAACATTTAATTCTTGAAGTGAAGAGGACGATACGCCGGAGCTAGCTATTGGGATCATTCTTTCAGCAATGGCTTTTTTATAAGAAATAGATTAATCTTTGTAACCCTTAACTACTGTTGTAGACTTCCATCCTCAGTGCTTCTTAATATCCGTTATATTTACTCCTGATTCTGCTAGCAAAGAAGCAGAAGACCTTCTGAAACAGTGACATATATATTCCTTTGGTTCAGGGTGGTTCAGAAACTCAGTAGTGGTAGTGTTTATACCAACTGGTTTGGCACTGCATTTATAATTTTGGTATTTCAGAAAAAAAACGTTGATTGATAACAGAAGGGAGTAATGCTACGTATTTATTAAAATAGTCAATGTTTTTTCCAACGATGCAAAAAGAACGATCTATTTTCGTTTTTGTATTTGGAATTTGAACAATTAATGATTTATCCATTTATTTAATATTTTCTATTAATAAATGGCACAGCTCTTCAGGCCGGCAGTCTCCATATATTCCGAAAATAGTAACAACTTTTATCGTCAAATATTTTTCATCTGGCGCCTCGTTAATAAACCTCTAGACTTGTTCAAACTTGAGAGTTTTTGATTGTTTGGGCTTATAACTTTCATTTTTCCGCTTTAAGAATGCTATTACCTTGAAATATTTGCTTGTATTAACACCATTTTCAACGAGCACACTCGACTTTATCATTGAAAACTTGCTCCACAAAGTTGACGAATTCCATAGTTTTGATTTCTCTTCTAGATAAGAAAATTAGAATAGGCGATGTCGTACTGCTGTGCCGAGTTCTTTGTTAACAATTCAATTGAAGCTCTTTTTGCAACCCTTCAATATCGTCAGGAACACACAATTCCTCACTATTGTTCTTCATTATGCAAGACATTAAACACCAGCAAGAACTTTAAATGTGACTTTAAATAGAACGCGTGAGCTGTAAACAATACTGTTTGTTGGTAACCAGTTGCTTCGGTGTCACCTGACACGGTCACTTCACAGCAAATGCGATAACATGAAAATAGTTAACTGAAAAGAAATGTCAAAATGTGTTTTTATAGAAATATTAAATTTAACTATTTTATTATGAAAACAGGACAGTTGTACAATACACTTTGCATGATATTTGTGTTAAAAGTAAGTTTTATTTTGTTCGTGAAATTGCTCAACTCGCTACGCTCGTTCCGAAAACTTTTTCACTCACAAATTAAAACCATAAATAGCTATTACAGTATTAACGGAGAACAAAACACTGATAAGATGTTTCATAAAGAATTGAAATGCGTAACACAAAAGTTTGTTTTCATTTATTTTGTTATGAAACTTCAACTGAAACTAAGATACCAAATAATACTCGTGATTCATACATTAAATATATTATACATCTTTTCGAGAGAATATTTTTTGATGACTTTAGGTTTTTGAAAAGTGAAATTGAACTATATTTGTCATCATTTGAGCACATACGATAGAGAACGGCAGATATATCGAACAAATCAAAGCTGTCGAAATTGATATAGTCTGCGTCACTGTAAAGAACAAACTGTAGAGTCTGTTTGTCCGGTAGTAGTAATTTTCTGCGAACGCTCCTTTGGACTGGAAATAGATGAAGACTGCTTCATAGTAGGTCGTTTCTGCCCATTAAATCGGCCTAACTCTACCCCGGAATGTCTGGCAACCAAATCTGTTAAACAAGTACTAACCTAAAACAGAATAACACATTCATATCAATCGTAACTTAATTATACAGCGTAAAATATATACTTTTCTGTTAACAGGGAAATATTAAAGTTTTAAACCTTTTAAGTTAAAAAAAATACATGTCTACTACTTTTTGAATGTAGGTAATTATAATCGCAAGCTCTGTAATAACCATGACAAAATGTGACAAAAAAATACAATCACTACGTGTTTTCAATAAGGCCTCAATTTCATATTAGTGCTTAACGGATCAAAATTCGTCCTTTCTTCAATGCAACACTAAACACAAAATCAACATGAACTATCTCAACCTGATAGTTACTTCGAACATACAGCAAATCACTTCCACAAAGCTCAGCTTTGCATCAGTTGTAAAAATAGCAACAATATATTCAACAGTTATTGAATCACTGATTTTTCAGGGTTCAACCAACTTTTCATTCATGTTGACAATATGGTAACGAGTCACCGATAGATTGGCGAGACATTCGTTCCAAAAAATATAATAATCCAGTCATTTTGGCGTTTTAATGAAGATGTGAAAAATCGACATTGATGAAAAATTGGATAAAAAAGTTATAAAGGTCAAAATATCAAAAAAATCAGTTTTTCGCGAATATCTCGCTACCTATGGCTCGGAGGTCAATAAAGGTCGTTATAAAAATTATTCCTTATACGATTATCTATAAAAAATGTCTCTTGCATTTTTCTGTAAAATGAACCGTTGGCATGAGAAAAACTCAGAAATCAAAAATATATCAATATGTATGGCAAAAAAATGATACATTCAATATTATCATTAACAAATATATTCATTATTTATCAAACAATTTTGGTCAAAATACTGTTGTCATTTTTTATGGTTAGGGGGAAGTCCACTAACGCCGGACGGCACGTAGCGACGGACTATCGCGCTATCTCGACAAGTCACAACGCGTTCGGTTCAAAAATCGATGGGAGGAGCGCGGGGAAGGTAATACAGGGACAGGGGACGCGGCCACCAGACACTGGCGGTTATCAATTTTTGCCGAGAAAACAACGTTCATGTGATGAGCTCACCACCACACACCACCCACAAGCTCCAACTGCTGTCATTTAAAGATGCTTTTAACCAACGATGCGACATGTGGATGAGAGCAAACGCCGGATCTCGGATAACCAACTACGATATTGCTGGTTTGGTCAAAGAAGCGTTTACTAAAGTAGCTCAGCTGGATATTGCACAGGAATTTACCATTTGATAGGCATTCATTTTCTGACGTGGATTATTTAGCTGCAGACATGACCAATATTCCGCTAGAAGAGCCAGAAACTTCCTTAAACGTACCAAGTTGCAGAGGGGAAGTTTCCGTTACGTCCTGTGGTGCACAACTGTCCCAACGATTTGGTTTCAGAAGAATCGACAGTCACTCCTACAGAATCTATCAACGAACCAATAATCAGCAGTCCCAAGCCGTCGACGAGCTTTGATCCAAATGTGGTTCAGATTGTCCATAAATTGACACCATTGCCGGATGCTGCCATAAGATCAGCGATTCGGAAGAGAAAAAGTGAAAGAAGCGGAATTCTAACATCATCACCCTACAAAATTGCTGCTGAAGAAAAAGAGAATGAAAAACCTCAAAGAATGAAAAAAAGAATGGGATCCAAGTTCAAAACAACAATAGAAGAGAAGGAGAAACGAACCAAAGGTGTGAAGGCCAAAGGAAAAATTGACATGAAACGAAGAAAAAGAACCATTATTAACTCAAATATGTAACATCGGAAACATAACTTGCGTAGTATGCTTAGAGGACCACGACGAAGACTGGATACAATGCTCTAGTTGTCAAGAGTGGGCTCACGGAGCATGTGCCGACATTCCTGAATCAAAAGATGTGTATGCAACCGATGTACGGCGTTTCAATAGTGTCCGGCGCTAGGGGTTCAAAGTTGAGTCCGTCCGGTACTAGGTGCCAGTGCCAAAATTTTTTTAACTCCGAAATATATCTAAGCAAAAGTTGTATTTTTGTTCATTGATTTTGATTTCATAATTGGTTGACTTAACTAATATATAAATAAAGTTACATTTCTCGAAGTAGTTTTTATTTTATTTTCTGAAAACCTTAGATGTCCGCCACTAGGGGACTTCCTCCTACTCCGATACCAGTAAAAATATCAAAGCGATGGAACAACTAAGACGAACCGCACTTCACAATGAATCGATGGAAGTTCCTATCAGTCAAGAAAAATGTGTATCTAATCGATTTAACAAAAGAAAATTAATTGAAATGCTCATTGAGAATTTCGAAAAAGTTGGTATTTCTACAAGACAATCACGTGATGATGCTGATGTCTTAATAGTTGAAACAGGAATTGAAAAATCAATAAATAATACTACAATTATCGTTGGCGAAGACAGATCTATTGGTACTTCCAATAGCACGCACACAAATACTTGATCAATCTACATTCATTTTTTTAAGAAACCAGGGAAAAAGTTGAAACAGAAATATACTCTCAACAAGTATCCACACTGCAAGAAAATTATTCTGTTTCTACATGCTATGACCGGATGTGACACAACTTCAACACTTTTTGGGAAAGGAAAAATTAAAGTCATGAAGATGTTTGAAAAAAGACCCGATTTAGACAATTCTGCAGAAATATTCCAACAAGAAAATTGCGCTCGAGATGCCCTTATCAATGCTGGAATACATTTTCTACTAGCAATGTACGGTGCTCCAAAATCAGAAAATTCAATTCACAATTACAGATACTGCAGTAGATAATAGATAATCGTATGAGGAATAATTTTTATAATGAACGTTATTGACCTCCGAGCCATAGGTCGCGAGATATTCCCGAAAAACTGATTTTCGTGACCTTTTGACCCTTATAACTTTTTTAGTCGGCACGATATCAATGTCGATTTTTCACATCTTCATTAAAACGCCAAAATGAAGGTGTATACCAAAATTCAGCTCAGTAGGAATTTTCCCGCAGATAAAACATTAAATGACTGGACTATAAGTCGATGATGTCTTATTATGAAGAAGTACAGCGGAACAGGAGAACAAGTAGTAATCCTGGAGAGGCAGTCCCACAGAAATTTAGTTTAGAGAGCGGTTTGGTACAAGTGACGAAAATATCCAGGTTTCATCCAAATATGTGTTTAAATTGATGGCATTATGTGCTTTTCAAACAAAGCATACCTTCTTCCTAATAATTTCTATATTTTTCACTGTCTTTCATAGACTTGTCCACTCAACGATTGCTTTTATTTGTTTTACTTAAAAAACATTTTGTTTCATATATTGGTAGGACGGTATCCTGGTGGGTTGACGTGGGTGATCAGCTCCACTCAGTCAATCGACCGATGTGCGAACCGGTGGTTCGAACCGCAAGGCAGGACGATTTATTTTCACTTCCTATCGTCCAACCCGTATGAGAAATCACACGTGCAAATATAAGACCTTGTTAGTCCTTAGCTCGCACAAGTTTCTACTTTTGTATTATGTATTTTCCTCGAGGTATTCTGCATGTAGACAGATGAATGAGAGATGATAAAAAATGGAACTCCTTTTTTTTTCACAATTTTCATTATTGGATGTAAAAAAATTCGCAATTGAAAAATTATTTCAAATGGAATTCAGTGTAAATGGCAATGTATGACCTCTCAAATTGGAGAGTGATGGAAGAAGTGATGGAAGAAGAATTGGTGCTGACATATTAGAAATCATAGATATTTCGAAAGCAAAATTGGCTAACGGTTATATGCTCTGTTGGTTAGAAAACTATTTCACGAATATCTCTAACAATTTCAGAATCCTTGAATATACAGTGTATGCAATTTCAAACCGCAAGAGCCTGTTATTTTGGAACCCATAAACCGATTTTGAAAAATGACAATTTAAAATTATGTTACTCGACGAGCTCTATCCAAATGTGTTGACATATGTAAATTATTCTCATTTCCAAGGCTTACTATGACCTGCAAAATGGGTAGAAATCTCGAGAAAGACCACTAGGCATTTTCTTTATCGGAAAAGTGGATACCCCATTCGATTTGGGTATATTTCAAACATCTAGATTCCAAGTTTCAGCCCTATATCTCATACAGGGTGTTAGTTATATGATGACAAATTTACAAATCCATTATTTTTTGACTGACCCTGTATGAAAGTCTATGAACTTTACACAAAAGATGAAGAAACCAATCAATGAAATAATATTTCGCATACTCAGCTACAAAGTTATATAGGTTGTGATCGTTTCATGGAGTTGTCTCTAGTTAAATTAAAATCAACAAATCAAAAGTTGAAAACGTGGTTTTAGTTTTAGAAAAATTACCAACATCAGAAATAAATTAAATGATAAATGGAACAGTTTTTTTCAGATGTTGGACTTTTGACTATATCCTCCTTCAAGCTCTATACATTTTTCATAACGTCGTCTCAAATTCTGACGGGTCTTCCTCAATTGGCCTGGTGTTATTTCACCATAGTTATACCTTATCCTCTCCTTCATGGTCTATTTCTATAAACACTTTCTTTCAAATATTCCCACAGAAAAAATCTAATGGAGTCAGGTCTGGTGATCGAGGGAGCCAACAAAGAAAAGGGCTGTTCCTTCCAATGCATCGTCCTTGAAGCTTTTCAGCAAGATATTGACGCACAGCAATCACATTGTGAATGAAGGCACCGTCTAGCTCAAATATAACATTTCTGCGTTCTTCAATGAATTAGTTCTCCAAGAATTTCGTTGTCAAAAAATTATAAAATCCTCCATCGTTTAGTGTGTTTTCTAAAAAGACTGGACCTATTATCCGGTTTTTGAATATTTCTACCCAGACATTGATTTTTTGTGAATATTGTCTTTTTGCATTTACCATCCAGTGTGGATTATCCCTTGCCCAGTGCCTGAAATTCTGAGTGGACATTGTACCGTTAGTAGTAAATGTCACCTCATCGGTGAAGAAAATATTGCCTAGAAAGTTAGTATTATTCAAATATTCACCTTGGCAGAATAAACAGAATTTTAAGCTTCATTCCTCATCGCCTCTTTTTAACGTGTGCATGATTTTCGATTTGAAGCAAATAACTATTTTTTTTTAAACATGTACGAATTTTAGATATACTATCGTGTAAATCTCGTGAAATCTGCCGCAAGCTATTTTTCGGGTTTTCTTGAACATACTCTAAAATTTGTCCGTCTATCTCTTTCGGTACATGTGTTTTATTTACTCTCCCGGTTCTATTGAATAACGTATTGATCCTGGAGACGGTTTTAGGGTGAATTGGTTCACGATCTGGATATCTTTTGTTGAATTCTTCCGCGGCCACCGTTGATCAAGCATTATCGCCAACAAAATCCAATCTCAATTCCTCGACTAAGTTGAGATTTACCATTTTAAAAACTCGCAAAACCCTTTTATAACTTTTTTCGCCAAATACTTGTGGAAAGCGTTTAAGGATACCTAACTCTCAAAATTATAACAACGAAAAACTCTCAAAATTATAACAACGAAAAAAGAGACAACTTAACTTCAAAGCCTGCTATGAAACCAGCGCCTGGCTTATTGATCTGATCATATGAATATGCTGTATGAAATGAAATCATGAAAATTTTGCCAAACTCTGTCACCGGGTTGGGATGAATGTTTAAAAAATTATATGAAAGGGTATTTTTATAATCGCTGATTGACTATTTATCATACCAGAAAATCAAACGATATGGATAAAACATTTTCAACTTTTGATTTTTGGTTGAACTAGGGACATCTATCTGTACATGATACGATGTACATCGTATTTGAATATTTCATATGTTCCTCATTTCAATGGCTACTTCACTTTTCCTTTAAAGTGTACAGTTTGTTATACAGGGTAAGTCAAAAAATCATGAGTTTGGGAATTTGCCATCATATAACTAACGCACTGTATGAAATATTGGGCTGAAACTTGGTATATAGGGGTTTGAAATATGTCCGAATCGAATGGGCTATCCACTTTTCCGATAAAAAAATGCCTAAAGCCATTCTCAAAATTTCGACCCGCTGAGCAGGTCACAGTAGGCCTCGATTATAAGAAAAATTCATATCTATCAACAAGTCTCCTTAAATTCAAAAAGTTTATCTGTTCAAATTTTAATAGCTAGTCTCAAGATATCTACAGGCCGTTTCTTTTATCATAACAGATACGAAGACGATTTAATGGGAAAAAAGGTAACTCTCATCGGGAATCGTTTTTTTTTCGAATGGAATTGTTATTCCAAAGAATATCAAAATATGGAAAAGGAAAATGTTATTGTATTCGAAGTGTACTACAACGATGTGATAATAAATATTCGATAAAACGTTTCGTGTCAACATGGCCACCATCAACTTTTTTTTTAAATACGGACCTATCTTTTTTATTACAGATATTGATAATCCAAGGGTATATCACATTTTATATTTTTATAGTTTTTCATTTGAAATAACCACCATCATCAGTGACAACAATCAAGCAGAAAAACAATTTATTTTATCATGAACTTTTGGGAAAAATGAAACCAATACGGAAAATCAAAGCTACATGGCAATCTACATTAAATGCTTGAATTGACGACCTCTTTGTTGAATGCACATAAGTTGTCGGTCCAGACAATTTCTGTGGAAATTTTCTAGCATAATAGGTGTAACACTAATACATGCATCTCTTATTTTTGTTTGAGATGGTCGATATCTGTACTTGGTGTTGAAAAAACTTCATCCATCACCAGACAAAATATCTGAAGAAGTAAGATCTGGGGATCGAGCTGGCCAGTTAACTGGTCCATTGTTTCCAATCCATTTTCTTGGGGATATTACATCTAAATGTTTTCTTACTATTGCTGCATTATGGGGAGGAGCGCCGTCCTGTTGAAAATATTGCATTTCATGGCGGATATTCAGTGGCAATTCATCTAAGAAGCCATCGAATTCATTGAATAGAAAATGAAGATACATTTCACTATTCAAATGATATCGTAAAAGAAAGGGCCAAGGCTGTTCCCACAATTCCCAACCAAACATTTATTCCGAACCTTTGTTGGAAATTGGTAAATGTAAATGTTCTTTGTATTATTCCATCTATAATGGATATTTCTGTTAGACCAACCATTGTTGGTGAATTTTGATTCGTCCATCCATATTATTTTTTTACAAATATTTCCAATTTCCCTATTTCTACGTCTTAACCACTTCGCAAATCGCACCCTCCTTCCGTAATCCCTTACATTGAGGTGATGAACTTTGCGTATCCTGTAGCATTTATATTTGTTTTTTTCAAAATAGTTCTAGTGGATTTTACAGTAATCCCCATTTCGTGGGCAATCTAGATTAGCATAATTTTTGTAACTGGCCAATCCTGAATTAAAAAAAAAATGTTTTCACTGTGTAACTTTTTCTGTGGTAATATTTGCTTATCCATAACACTTATTTGATTCCTCACACTTCCAGTAACCACACATTTTCTTGTGTTCTTTCTGTAAAATGCACCATAATCCCTCAAATTTCTTTCTAATCGTCTAATCATTTGGATGTTCAGAATACGACAATTCGGGTATAGCTCAACAAAAAAAGATTTCTATTTGATTTTGCATAACTAAATAGCATATCAGTCCTTTCATCATCTGAATACATCTTTGATATGTTCATAAACGTCCGACAGTTCTCAACAGATTCAACAACGCATTCATTTTCCCTGCCATAGTAACCAAGCAAAGCCTACACGTTTAAGATGGTAAATGAATTTAGATGCTATTTGGTCATACCAAATTATACAACAATCGAATTTTGACCAAAAAGTTATATTTTCGTTACTTCCAGAATTGAGAATTATGAAAATATCACGAATTATAGTTAATTAGGGAGAAATAAGCCTTGAAAGAAGGATTATGGCAATACATAAATTTCCAAAACGAAAAAGTACGATTTTTCATTGTGTTATAGGACATCTACCTGTCGAATTTATTGGGTTGTCTGAATTATATTATTAAGAAATCAAAATAATTTACAAAAGAAGTGACGACAGGACCGTAATTTAAAATTGTTGGCACTGATGATGGTAGTTATTTCAAATGAAATGCTATAAAAATATCAAATGTGATAAACTCTTGGATTGAGAATTAGTTGCTTTATCAATATCTGTAATAAAAAAGACAAGTCCGTATTTAAAAAAAAGTTGCTGGTGGCCATGTTGACACGAAACGTTTTATCGAATATTTATTATTACATCGTCATAGTACACTTCGAATACAATAACATTTTTCTTTTCAATTTTTGTATATTCTTCGAAATAACAATTCCATTCGAAAAAAAAAAACGAAAAACAGCATGTTTGGTTTTCCCCGTATTACTCGAGAAGGGCGAGAGTCTCCGTAAATTTTCTTCGACCATTGTATTGTTTCCGATGACAATTACCTTTTTCCCATTTAATCGTCTTTGTATCTTTTAAGGTTTAGAATATAATATAGCATTGTTGCCACATGATAAAAGAAACGGCCTGTATTTGCATTACAGTAGGCTATCCCCAACAGTGAGAAAATTGGACGTAGTCAAGAATCCGGATACCGGTGATCCGTGCCGATTAATCATTCTTCAATATGTTTTATTTTTTCGTCTTTCTTATGATTCTTTCACCTCTTCAAAAAACTCAATTTTTCTGTGTATAATCGCTATTTGGATGTCATCCTTCTTCCTGTTGTCATACTCCACACTTCCTGATGTCATACTCCATCGATAACTTGATCGAGGACCTATTCTGTTTGTAAGTTTTTGATTCGTGTCTTGAGTCAATAGATTTGAAACACTAGTTTACATTTTTTTTTTCTGAGATGACGAGAAACTCATTCAAGTAGACCTGTTTTTCAAACGTACAAGTAAATTAGTAATCAATGATTCAATAACTTTTCATAAATTGTCGCCTTATTTAACGTAGCTTTTTATTTTCAATAAAAGGGTGTTATTATAAATTACCTAACAAAGATTCAGAGTACAGTTTTTGCACCACTTACATTTTCACCAGTTTTAGCTGATACCAAAAAATGTACTAATTGAGTCTCAGCAACAAAACGTTTGGTTCTATCCAATCCCACAGTTCTTTTATGTTCGGAATCGTCTAAAACGGGGCAAATTTAAAACATACATATACTTTCGGGCAACAAAACTCACTCTTGTTTCCATAAACTACAACTTCTGTTGGATAATCAATTGCATTCTTGACAATATTCAACCAAGATACTAAATTATCAAAACTAGATGAACTGGTAATATCATAAACGAGAACTATCATCTGGAATGAAATGTTGTAATATTCAATAAATTATGTTGGAGTATATTCACATTGGCATTGAAGAGGTAATTTTTCAGCATTTGTCCAGTAACTTGTATCCCTCCTAAATCGAATATTCTTATAGAAACTTCTTTTCCTTTCGATAATGTCAGTCTTTTCATATAAAAGTCAACTCCAACAGTTTGACTATAATGTCTAGAGAACTCATCGTAACAATATCTTCTGATCAGGCTTGTCTAAAATATGGAACAAACAAAAGACGTTTATGCACTACGAAACTTGAGTAATGGTGGAACATTAAAATAAAAAATATTCAATACAACGGTTACTTTTTTCTCAGTTAAATTTAACATTTCAAATATAACTCCACAGAAAGAAGTCAAGGGATGGGAGACTCGGGTAGTCAGTCATTGAAGAGGGTCATGCGTTCTATCTACAGGGTGTTAATTAAGTATGTACCATAAATTTAACAAACGATTCTTTAGGTAATTTTAGGACGAAATGTTCATATAAACATGGGTCCGCAAATCCTTCGTTCTCAAGATACAGGGTGTTAAAATAAAAATAAGAAAAAAGTTATTCGTAAATATCTTAAATATCTTTTACCTAATTTTGTTGTAATTTGGCAATGGTATTTATAACATTAGGGAGCTAATTTAGCCCGAACGTGATTCAATTTATTAAGTCCAGTGGCGCCTCGAGCGGGATTTGAAAGAATATTTTTGACTTAAAAATGTACGCCACTGACATTTGTGCAATTTTTTTTATTTCTTTGCATTAAGCAATTAAAAATACAACTTTTTTGTCTCTTGTTTTTAAGAAAAAAAAGTCGACCTAATTGCATGTTCCTGAACCTCACAAGGAATAATATGGGGAATTACATGTTTCTTTTGGAAATTATTATTTTTACAATTTTCCATTACTAATTATGTAACAATAACAAAAAATATCAATTAACATTAACATCTAGACTAACGAATTGCACTAAATTAAGTGTTGGAAATGGCCTCCTTCGGCCTCAATACAACCGTATAGTCGCCGCATCATTGAAAATACTTCGTACTTCATCATACATTGAAATACTTCTGAAAATACCTGGCGTATTTTTCATTATATCAAATGAATTAATGATTTTATTCCGTAAATCCTCTTCACTTTGAATAGCAGTTTTGTGTAGCAACGCTTTAAGGTGTCCCCTGAGAAAATAATCTAAGGGATTCATTTCGGGCGAGCGAGGTGGCCATGGTTGTGGGTCTGCTCTCCCAATCCAGCGATTATGGTAATTTTCATCCAAAAATTGCCGTGCCACTACACTAAAGTGTGGTGGAGCACCATCGTGCATGTACCACATACGGAATCTTTCCATGAGTGGAATTTCTTCTATAAGTCCAGGTAATACAAATTCTAAAAACCTTCGTTATTCTTCTTCATTAAGTCTAGGTGGAAGGAAGTGAGGCCCAAGGAGATGGTCACCGACAATTCCAACCCAAATATTAAAAGAAAACTGTTCTTGAAAATTATTTTCTATCAAGGCGTGTGGATTATTTTCGGCCCAAATGTGATTGTTGTGGAAGTTAATAATTGAATTGCAAGAAAAGCAAGCTTCATCTGTAAACAATATTCGACTTAGGAAAAAGCTAGTCTTACAGGCAAATCTCTGGGCAATAGAGCTTGCACACGCTGCATGTGATAGGGTTATAGCTGCTGGGCTCTTAAAATCTGCCACACTGTGACATGGGTAATATTCAGTTCTTCAGTTATTTTCCGACTACTGGTATGAGGATTTACTTCAATCTCATTTAAAACAGATTCTTATTTATGGTATTTTCAGAAGAGTGCGAAATTCAATGATGCGGCGGCTAGACGGTTGTATTGAAGCCAAAGGAGGTCATTTCCAACACTTAATTTAGTCCATTTCGTTAGTCTAGATGTTGATGTTATTTAATATTTGTTGTTATTGTTACATAATTAGCAATGAAAAATTGTAAAAATAATAATTTCCAAAAGAAACATTTAATTCCCCATATTACTCCTTGTGAGGTCCAGGGATATGCAATTTGGTCGACTTTTTTTCCTTAAAAACTAAGCAAGATACGAAAAAAATCCAAGAGACAAAAAAGTTGTATTTCTAATTGCTTAATCCAAAGAAATAATATAATAAAAATTGCACAAAAGTCAGTGACGTACATTTTTAAGTCAAAAATATTCGTTCAAATCCCGCTCGAGACGCCACTGGACTTAATACATTGAATCACGTTCGGGCTAAATTAGCTCCCTAATGTTATAAATATCATTTCTGAATTACAACGAAATTAGGTAAAGGATATTTAACATTTTTACGAATAACTTTATTTTTATTTCAACACCCTGTATCTTGAGAAAGAAGGATTTGAGGACCCATGTTTATATGAACATTTCATCTTAAAATCACCTAAAGAATCGTCTGTTGAATTTATGGTACATACTTAATTAACACCCTGCATTAATCACTGAACAACAACCACTAGAAACTGGTCTGATACATTACTTTATATTCATAAGCACAATTGCAAAAATTTGATTCATCCAACCATAAAATACAAAATGAAAATCATTCATATTCTGACAGTAGGTAATGGATACACCAATGTCTATATTCTACCAAAAGACAAATTGGAATACTCATATGGAGTGTGACCTGTGTGTTCTGTGACCTCGCTCTCTGAAGGACATTTATTTCTGCATACAAGATGAGCCTTCTGATCATCATAGTTTTCTGTGTCAGAGCACATCTGTCATAGCGAGAGCTGTATTGATACTTCTAATATTTGATCAGAGATCGTTTCCCATCCAAAAATCACAGCATTCAATCAAAGTAGCGCATATCATAGAGAGGCACGGCATACATGTATTCCTCCAGGAGTGTTAGCTTTTTAGCGCATTACTCTTTTCAATGACGGGCAAATGAAAACCAAAACGACTTTTTTTGGGTGTCATCGGCATCGACTGTATTGGTCATGCAAACAATATGAGCCCACTGATCATCATATTTTCTGTGTCAGAGCACATCTGTCATAGCGAGAGCTGTATTGATACTTCTAATATTTGATCTGAGATCAATTTCCATCCAAAAATCACAGCGTTCAATCAAAGTGGCGCATATTATAGAGCGGCACGGCATACATTTATTTCTCCAGGAGTGTTAGCTTTTTAGCGCATTACTCTGTTCAATGACGGGCAAATAAAAACCAAAACGACTTTTTTTGGGTGTCATCGGCATCGACTGTATTGGTCATTAGCCTCGTGACCTGGGTAGGCAATGCTAATAACTGCCCGAACCACTTAGGGAGCATCATGGCTATTCGCAGTCCGTCAGCCGGTTAACGTTGCAGAATCGTCCAAACTTCAACTAGATAAATTCTCTCGAAGTTGGTATCGAACTCACGACTTTCCGATCGTGAGTTGGGCTAAAACGACTTAATGCTGTCTCTAACTGTTCCACTTGTGACTAATCCAGATTTTCACTGTTTCATTACAAACACATTGTTTTGATTCACGGCTCACATACCTAACTCGTTTATTTTTAGCTTTGGATAAAGAGACATATGCTTTTGTAATTGTTTCTACCAGTTTCTACCAAAAAATATTACAGCCAAGGATTTTCATTGCAATATTGTTTTTTTTTGTAACTTGCAACTTGTTTTATTTTCAATAAATGTAAAAAATGCTACTAGTTTGGATCAGCTGGTATATCGAATGATTTGAAAGGCTGGCTATTGAAGAATCCTCCTACAGGAAATATCCTGCCTGTGATGGAATGGAGGAAGAACTAGTGAAATACCAGTGATTAGTGTAAAAAATCTGACTACAAACAATTTTATTCGAAACAGTACCTGAATTTTACAAATCAGACCTTAATTCATCTCCCAAAAAGAGGAACTATAAGACTGAACTCTCCAATTTTTCGAAAAAGAATGATAACTTATGATACATCATTGAAATGATAAAATCTGGTTCTATTCAAAACAGAAAGAATCCAATGTAGCGTCCATAAGAAAAAATAAAGTTGATGATGGTGGTCGGAAGACGAAACGTCGGAAATCAAATCTGAAAACACCATTATGTAGCAAGGAAAAATTGCCAATATGGAAGTGCAATTTATTTTCGAATCTTTCGGAAAATGAAGCCAGAAAAAAATAAAAACCATTTTCCGAAATTTCCGGATATCTCCAGATATACGCGGAATTTCACAACTTTCTCAACGGCAATGGGGAGGATCGAATTTGAAACACCCTGTATACATTGATGCTGTTAATGTTTTTTTTCAAATTTCAATTTTTCGCCTCTTTTCACCTTATTACTTATATGATGTCGTACAGCGACGATTTCATATTGAACCAAAGCGCTGCCGAAACAACCCAAAAAATTAACCACAAACAGTGCGTGGGATGGTGGAAAAACTGGGCGTCAGCTCCCATGCGGTTTGTGATGGTTCAAAACGTATTGGAAAAGTCAAAAAGCTCGAAAAGTAGGTGCCCTACGATTTCAACGATCGACAGAAATTGTCACTTTTTGAGGTCTGTTCTGCTTTGCTTTCGCACCACCAAAATTATTTTTTCTGGATCGGATCGTCACGTGTGATGAAAGGTGGATCCTCTACGACAACAGTGGTTGGACACGGATGAGCCACCCAAGAACTTCGCAAAGGCGAAAATCCACAAAAAAAAAGACCATGGTTACTGTATGTTGCTGGTTACTGTATTCTCACCAGTAGAACTTTCGCCAATCAGCACCGGGCAAAAATAACGGCCTTTGTCGACTTCATCGAGTAGACAATTTTTATGCTGACGGAATTGATCGACTTGTATTGCGTTGGCAAAAGTACACAGGCAGCAGCCGGCATTGGTCAACAGAAGAGGTCCGATCCTGCTCCACGACAACGCTCGTCCGCACGTTGCACAAATCACCGTCCAAAAGTTGAACGAATTGGGCGTCGAAGTTCTGGCCTCACCACCTAGACCACTCGCCAAATGACTACCACCTTCTCAAGCAATTCGATAACTCTCTCACCAGTAGAACTTTCGCCAATAAGGACCGGGAAAGAATAACGGCCTTTGTCGACGTCATCGAGTAGACAATTTTTATGATGACGGAATTGATCGACTTGTGTTGCGTTGGCAAAAGTACACAGGCAGCAGCCGGCATTGGTCAACAGAAGAGGTCCGATTCTGCTCCACAACAACGCTCGTCCGCACGTTGCATAAATCACCGTCCAAAAGTTGAACGAATTCGGCGTCGAAGTTCTGGCCTCACGCACCCAGACCTCTCGCCAAATGACTACCATTTTCTCAAGCAATTCGATAACTCTCTCACCAGTAAAACTTTCGCCAATCAGGACCGGGCAAAAATAACGGCCTTTGTCGACTTCATCGAGTAGACAGTTTTTGAGTTGACGGAATTATTCGACCTAATAAAAACATTCTCAACCAGAATCTTCAACAGAAAGATTAGGCCAAGAAGTTAACAGAATAAGATAAATATGATTATCTGAAAGTAGCAAAAGAACTCCGAAGATGGAGAAAACTGAAGTTTTCTTCTGGTGTTTGGGAAAAATACTTGATTTGGATTTATTCTACGACAGAGATTCCAGTTTTGCCTTTTTCCAAATATTTTCAATATTTTATTTTAGTTTTAATCACATTTTCTGTTTTTTATCTCTTTTTTATCATTCTTTTCCATTTCAGCTTAAAACAATTTGCTTTCTTCTGAGACTTGGTTTTGAATTTTACACTCAACTCATTCATCCTAAAACACTAAAAAATTAAAACTCAGCAAAAATTCCATGCGAGCATACAGTATGTATAAATGTCGATTGACCTACCTTCCCTACATTACCATCACCCAAAAATACAACTTTGAATTGTTTTTCAGTTATTTCCTCCTCCGAGTCAGACATACTTCTATCAACTTATTCACGATTCGTTCTTCCTGTAGGTGGCCGTGAAATTTACCATATGAATGAGCTAAAACCTAAAGTGCTCTCTTAGAATCCGGCGGATAAATACTTTTGAATAAAAATCGCAAGAAAGCGAAATCCGTACAAGTGATACATATTCATCAATCTTCGTCGAGGTGGGCTAGCGAAATCCTCATCATATATAAAGGACATCATATCCTTGGAAGTCATCCAGACTCATATCCGTTAGAAATATGGTTAGAAGTGTTCCATTGACCATAATATATTTGTTCATTTTTGTTATGTACGTTGAAAGTTGTTTAATAACAAATTGTCCGAAAGGTGGTAAAAGAGGCGGAGAATTCAGTACGAGTGAATCAAATATAAAGACAGTAAGTATAAACCTCAACAATTACAAAATTTCATATAAAATAAGTGGGCAAACTTAGAGACTGGCTGTAAATCTAAAAGAACAATTCGTTCAGGCCTATCTCAACTTACCTACACTGTAGGTTAATGGACTGACACCTATCAGAAAACAACTACTTCCCTGGCTAATACCACGAAGGGCGTTGCATTATATCCGACAGGTGTCTGTGCAGGATTTTTCACTGAAGTTATTCCTGCATATGCCGTCGGCGATACAACTGCCGCAATAGATTTTCAATTATTTTAATACTTGCAGACCGGTTTCGGGCTGTTTGGCCACTCATCAGTGCAAGATAGTGACTATCATCAACATAAAGTCGATGATTTCCGATAATTGAAAATCGAATTCCTTCAGAGTATCATTCCTCGAACTAGGCTGAAGCGGACAACAAACAACAGGTTTGTCATCGCCCCATCTGCCTGTGAACGAGGTAACCAACCGCATATCCGAAATTTGCCAATTCTTCGAATAAGGAAAGAAAACTTTTCACATATAGTCCAATAATTGAAAATCGATTCCATCAGTTGTATCGCCAACAGCATATGCAGGAATAACTTCAGTTAAGAATCCTACACTGACACCTGTCGGATATAATCCATCGCCCTTCGTAGTATTAGCCAGGAGTTGAGAGTGGCCTGACTGAATTGTTCCTTTAGATTTTTGGATGATTTGATTTATAGCCAGTCTTCAAGTATGTCTACTGACTATATGTGAAAAGTTTTCATTCCTTATTCGAAGAATTCGGCAATGCAATTCGGATATGCGGTTGGTTACCTCGTACACAGGCAGATGAGGCGATGACAAACCTGTTGTTTGTTGTCCGCTTCAGCGTAGTTCGAGGAATAATACTCTGAAGGAATTCGATTTTCAATTATCGGAAATCATAGAGTTTATGTTGAATATAGACACTATACACATTATAGACACTATAGACATTAACCTACAGTGTAGGTAAGTTGAAAATGACATGAACGAATTGTACTTTTAGATAATTTGAATTTCAAAATTTTATAATTTATAAAATTTACGAATTCAAATATTTTATGGAAACATTAATTTGTTCAAACAATTATAAACTAACACTAACATTTTATGACTAGATTTCAGATCATTTGAACATCCTTCTGTTGAAATAAAAAAATTAACATATTTTACAGTGTATTTCTTGTGGACCAGGACACACTGGCAAATGTTTTGGTCCTAACATATGCTGCGGACCTTTTGGTTGCCTATTGGGCAGCCCTGAAACGGAAAGGTGCCACAAAGAAGGATTGTTTCAGGAGACAGAGCCATGTATAGCTGGTTTCTCTACATGTAGGAAAAATACAGGGCGTTGTGCCGCGGAAAAAATATGCTGTACTCAAGGTATTTGGACTTTTTTTCTAGTTTCTAACTGACTTTCTAACTTTCTGTTTTTTACCACTTTTATAAAAGTGGTAAAACACATAGAAAGTTTCACTTATCTTTTGTTCATTATGATTTCATACCTCGTAGTAACAGCTACATTCATCAATTTATTGACAAAGAAAATATTCAGCACAAAGTTTTGTCTATAAAAAAGTTTATGACGTCACTTGAGCAATTATCGAACTGTAGAATTTTTCAGGATTGAATGATAGGAATGATTCTGATACAAATAATAGGGATCTATGAATTAGAAAAATAATGTATGATCAATTGAGATACAAATAAATGGAGCATCACTGCCGACAAAAAAGTCTGGCATAGTGACGGATAAAAGACTTGCACAAATGTCCATTCTAAGAATTACTTGTTTTCCATTAGACATTTGCCAAATCATGCTATGTAGAAAAGCTGAGAAAGATGAATATTTTCAATTTTCATTTGACTTTCGATATTTTAAATTTTCATCGGACCATTTTGATTCAATCAAAGATTTTTGGAATCATAATAATCATTTTCACGAAATTGTATATTCGTTATATTAGCTACTGTAGTAGAGCAATAAGTATCAATGTAGAAGACATCACAGTGAGAGGACTAGAACATAGTTCTAGATACCCTGATTAATCACCTCAACACTAATGGATTCTACACAACTGCGTATGCAGATGACATAGTTATCTTGCAGACCGGCAAATTTGTGAACGCACTGTGCGATAGAGCGCAGGATGGGCTCAAATTAATAGAAACTTGGTGTAAGAAACACTCACTGTCGATCAATCCCAAGAAGACTGAGATGGTCCTTTTCACCAGGAAAAGAAGTTTATCGGTCTTAAAACCTCCAGAAATCTTCAAAAGCAAACTAAAATGTGTTTAAACATCACAGGAGCCATGAGAACAACACCAACCGCGGCAATGGAATTAATTACTGGTCTGATCATTCTGGACCTATACGTTAAGGAGGTTGTGTTAATGGCAATTTTACGATTACGCACGGCTGGTGTAAACCTCGAAGTAGGAATGTGTCGATTGAGGCTGAGCCTCAAGCGAGAAGCGCTTAAAGCGCAACCTCTGCTGCAGGCAACCACTGATGCAATTGTACCCAGGTTTGTGTTTAATAAACCCTACAAAATACAAACAAAACAGAACACTGAGTCAGAAGGCTCAAAAATCAAAGACTGCTCAGGATGTGGAGTGTACTCCAGCAGATCACTAAGCCTAAGGATTAAGTGGGGAATGGGAAAAAGTACCAGCGTTATCCAAACAGCCCTATTAGCGTTGAACAGACAACGTGTTCTCAGGACTAGTACTACAGTGCCACCAAGATTTAGCCAAAGCCTCGGTAGATAATAACATTATCCTGAGGTGGTTTAAAGGGCACGACAGAAGTAAAGGTAATCGCATTGCCAACTCTTAAGCCAAGAAAGCGGCTGGACTAAGAATTTTAGGACCCAGTGGCACCTACGGCCTGATGACTTCGACAATTGCGGAACTAGCCAAACATCACATCCATGCTCACCAGAGATGGGATGAAATCAAAGGATGCAATCTTGAAAGGATCACCCTGAGCGACCCTGGGAAGCTGCCGCCGAAGAAATATCTGGCGATGACCAGGAAAAATCCACGCCTAACAGTAGAATTTCTGACTGGCCACTGTCAACTAAGAAAACACCTCCACAATATGGGTCTAGTGGACACACCTCTATGCAGGATGTGTGGCGAGTCTTGGCCTACACCTGCCGATATAAAGGAGATATTAGCTACTGTCTGGGCAGATAGGAAATGATTATTTTCAATAATCCGCGTCCACAATAGATTCAATATCACCTGGAGGATTAAATCCTTATTAACAGGATATAACAAATTATTGGATTTCCAGCTTCAGTACTGACCTGAGATAATCCAAAAGTCAGGTGTTCTTTGATGCTTTTATGTCTGCACACTGAACGAATTCCAACAATATAAAAAAGGTCTGGTAACTTCATACATTGCCAAATCACAAAACAAAGTCCTAATCGACGTTTCATTATCACATATGTCAAATCAAAACCAATACATAGAAAATAAAGAAGTCCACATTGAGTTAGTAAGCTACTACTTTAGAGTCCTCTAAAGAGTACAGTAAGATATGAACTTTGTAGCAAGCGGCATTGTTTTTTATAAGAACCTAGACCTTAAGAAATGGTGTAGATCTTTTTCTCTCTCCACAGCCGGGCTTTTATTGTCTTTATTTATTAAGTAAATTTGAAAATATTTGTTATCTTTACAACCAAACTGAAAATTTAACTTTCTAGATGTTCAATATAACAGAAAGCTTCTTGTGCCCACTTTATTCAGAACTAACCTTGATGACTATCCAAAAATCTCCAAATATTAATTTTTTCAAATTCAGACTTAAAGCATTACTTATTGAGAAAAACTGTTACAGTATTGAAGCATTTATGTCATAATTCTATTTATTTACAAGGGTGTTTTTTTATAATTCAATATATGCATTTATATAATTAAGTTATTTTGTATTCGTAACTTATGAATGTGTTCATACCTATCTTGGAAATTCCTTTTTATTTCAATTAAGACGTTTTTGTCAGTTACTGCTTGGGTGTTTTTATTACATTTATGCTTTTTAATTGAAAATAAAAAATATTATCAATAATGATATATGATGATTTCAGATTCATGTCATAGAGACACGCAATGTTCGAAAGAGGAAAGAACGAGACCATTATCCGAGAACGCCGTAGGAATGGAGCTTTACAAATTGATCAACAACCCTTCAGAATTATTTATCGAAAAATAATCAATGATGCCAAATTCTTTTAAACACAAACGATCAAGAAATCTTGCGGATGTAAATATTTGAAATGAATAAATAGAATAAAGATTAAAGAATGCATTACTCACCCGTTTATTAAATGAATTTTTTCAAAAGGAAGCAGAAATATTTTTCATATGGTCATTTAGGAATAAACTGAGTATAATAGGGATGTTGCTAAGGCGATTAGTAGTGACCATACAAACATAAAATATATTTCATGCATATATTGTCTCTGAACTGAAAGGAGAGTTGTTGTTGGATTTTTTCGGAGAGGTTATCAAAATAATGAGGAAAAATTCGAACCTTATATTCAATTAGCTAGCATTCAATTAGACATAATACGTAATCACAAATATTCTCATAATATTTATTGTAAAGATTCTGATATCACTTCCTATTTAAGATATAACTACCTAAAGGAAATATTCAAACCATCCACTTAATCAACATTTTTCAAATAAATCCATTAGAAATGTTTGTTCGCCTAACATCTGAGGTATCACAAGGTTCTAATCTTGGACCTCTTTTATTTTTAATTTTCATTAATGACTTGGCAACCTCTTTGAATATTCCTAGCCTACTATTTGCACACAACCTGAAACTATATTACGAAATCGACGACATTACTGACTGCCAACGTGTACAACATGAATTAGATGTAATCAAACTTTGGTGTAATAATAATCGTCTACAACTGAACGTATCCAAATGTTAAATAATATAATTTACAACAAGAAAGCGAACTTTAATGTACGATTATTCAATCAACAATACTACAATCAACCGCGTACACGAGATAAAAGATCTTGGTATAATGTACGACAGTAAATTAACATTTACAACACATATAAAGAATATGACTCCTGACGCAAATAGGATGCTTGGATTCATTTACAGAAATGGCAAAAACTACAAAAGTATTGCCACCTTAAAATTGCTATATTTTGCGTATGCCAGATCTAAGTTAGAGTATGGCTCTGTGTTATGGAATCCAGTTTAAGACTACCAAAAAACATCAATTGAGAGCGTCTAAAAATTGATGGATAATACCCCACGAGAGGCATCGATCATAACATTTTGTTGACACGATTTGATACGACATATTTGGAAAATAGAAGAGTTATCCTTGGTATAAAATTTCTGCATAAATTACTAAACAACAATATTGACAGTATGGTTTTATTACCCGAAATCAATTTCTTAGTACCAAGAAGTGAAGGTCGACACAATCTGAAATTCTAATGCGAAGTATCACGCACAAATATAATACTACGATCACCATTAAATTTTATGTGCTTCAATAAAATCTGCGAACATTGCGATATTCATTTCGACTCTCTGAACGACTTGGTATCATGTATCTACAATCATTTTTAATAATACTATAAATAACATTTGTGTCAGTACTGCTACATTGCATGATTTGCAACTTTTTGTGTTATATACTCAATTTTTCGTTCCTCTTTTGAAATTCTACATATACAAATATTTTATATATACTTTGTTTTAGCATTTACTTTCATATAGTTCTATATTCCATTATTTTTAATATTTATTTCATATATACTCTTTACAGAAACAACAGAACTATCCAAAACAGCCAGTATTACAAGCAACCTTAACAATCTGAGGCAATGAAAAAAAATTGTGGACTGTTCAGATGACTGAAAACTCTCACTTTCAGAGAACAGCCTCCCCCCATGCCCCCTTCCGGGTTGAATGCTCCGAGATAAAATCTTCCCCACACAGTTACTGTGTGCAGAATATCCCATCTCGTCCACCCCCGCTCCTCCGAAGCGGTCCTCAACCTACTGACAGGCACATCAGCAAGATTGACATCTGACCTACTGCGGTCGAAAGCCAGCTTTTAGGTGCTTTTACTTTCTAATTTAGTTTTTTATTGAATCGTGACTCTACTTGAATGTAATTATTGCATGGGGCCCCCAAAAACTAACCGGAGACGAGTGTCTTTAGATCGCGAATAGGTGTTTCTCAGTGAATCTGCAAAATTGGGTTTGGATTCTGGTTAAAAAAATTTTATACTTACCGGATCCGCCTGATAGCGACTCTCGGGGGGTGGTCTCTTCGAATAATGTTTTCCAAATGAATGTAATCTATATCTAATGTAAATCGCTAATTTTGCAGAACCACTACTTCAATAAATTTCCGGCAGGACTTGTGCATCTTCATAAGAAAACTATGGAGAAATTTTCAGGTATCAACATAATACTCAACTGAAGAAACTACATTTGTCTAAAAAATGTTTACACATGCACCCAGAGTTCTGAACACATGTCATCAGTAGTATCCTGTATAGCTTGCTGAGGCCTGAGCCATCAGTGAAACATAACTCGCTTATCCGTAATTATTACTTTAGTTCACCCGCAGTCCACCTGAAAATGCTCATGACAAATGTTAGGTAGATCATAAATCTCTTCTCACAATACTTTTAGCAGAACCTTTTGTATTGAACTGGCATACAACATTTCACAAAGTGATGTCAACTGATCAATCAATAAATCTATATAATTTTATCCTACAGTGATATGTTCAAGACAGAAAAAATACATATGGGTTTCTTAGATAAAGTACTTGAACTTGTATAAAACAATATGATGATACTGCATTTTTTTCTACTTACCTCACAGGTTATGTATTCTTCTAAAGAACTCTTTTCACTATAACATACTTTATTTTGACTCAAAAAATATATACACTGAAACTCACCAAACCGTTTTGATAGGTAAACGAAAATTCAGAATATTTTCTTCAGATCCATGAAATTATGAAAAAATATTTAAAAGCTAGACCGCCAAAATAGAGTTTTACAATGATATAAATCTGCGATAAAACAAATTACCAGCAATAAAATTATCAGTGATAAAACTGATTTAACTTGATTGTATTCAGCTGAGAATATTTCAGAAAATAATCTTTATAAATATCACTTGATCTGAAAATGTTTTCAGAAAAATGTCCATTACCGTGTTATTTTTGAGCAACACCAACCGAGCAACCAGCAATAGATAAAACCTGCTGGTTGCCCACCCGGCCTATCTTTGTTGAGTTTTATCGCACTTATTTAGATTTGCTTCTTCCAGTAGTTTCACATACCTACTGGGGAATTTTCAGTAATGACCTAAGAGGTCCAACCATTATTATTTTCTTAGACCAGTTAGCAATTATGATGTGTAGTTAGGAAGGCTGATTCAGCATATCGTAGCTTGATCTGAGTTTGATGGGTTAGAAATTTATCCTCGACAAATAGGCCTGATATTTATAATATTGGAAAAGTAAAATAACACTCCTGATTAAAATGAGAAATGAAATAGGTATATTCACAACTCAACATCGTTTCGTTATTTCTTCTTACTAGTAGTGTAAAATTGAACAATAAAACTTTATTGAGAAGGAGGTGTTTCAATTGTTACCAGTTTTTGGAAAAAAACCTGTTTGGTTTTCTATTTCTTTCATGATATATAAAGAGTGGAGAACTGTTAAAGATTGGAAAAAAATATCCTTCGCAGAAAAAGTGATTTCAATGTTCAATGAAACGTACGTGTTTCAGATAGATATTTTCATGTTCCTAATCCACATATCTTTGGAGATTCCCTTCTCTTTAAATATCAATGAAGAAGTAGAAAGCGATTTTTTTTTGCAAAAAGAAAATACCGAAAATTCTGAGTGTGGTAATAAGTCTCCATCGCCAGAGCATCGAAATTGGAAGAAGTTTTTGGAAATGATGCTGGAATCATTCAATTTAAAAATGAAAAAAATGACAGCAGCCTAAGTTTTTTGATTCAGTCGTTTGAAAAATCCCAGTAATCGAAAAACTCTTAAAATTTCTGGAAAAAACAAAAAACCTTTCAAAACCTGCCAAATTTTGATAACAAGAACATTCTATGACGTTTCGAATGCTTTCTTGAGCTGGGACGGCTGAGGTATGTAGGCCTTCATGACATTTTTTTGTTTGGTTAAATAAATAACTTCTTCTGATTTTATACAAAATATTCTCAATATTATTTATAAATTTCATTATCAAAAACATTTCCAAATAATTATACTAGCAGCAGCCGGGCTTCTACCTGCTGCCTTCCATAACTAAGTAAATTTACTCAGGCATTTGGACAAACCAGATGTAAAATGTCAAGCGAACATATTTATTTACGAGTATATACAAGTTTTTGTGATTTGATTCCAACTGCACAAATTTTTCAAATCTCTACAGATCTCTATAGAAACATTTATTGAGAAACGTACCATACGTTGTCGACAAAATTGAAAATATTTGTCACCATAACCTAACCAAATACTTCACCACATAGTTTGTATTGTTAAAGCGTCAATAAAGAGAAAAAAAATATTTGGCTATAGGAACTGGGTATACATCTTCTCTCATTGTGATTTAATTATAAAAGGCTCCAAATGCACTACTTGAAATGTTACGAAGTAAATAACCAACTCACCTCCTAAGAACTAAATATTGTACAATGTAGATGAAGGGTATGTAAGTAGATGAAGGGTGAATTTCTTGCAAACAGAAATAATAATTTTCTCGTCAATAAACTATAATGAAAGTATTCTTTAAATGACATTTTTTTTGGAGGACTCTATATTTTATACTGTCTTTTTTATTTATAACCTTCCACAATTTGAAAAAATAAAAGCTAAATCAATAGAGAATCTGCTGAAGTGTAGTAAAGAGCAAACTGAAGAGTTACTGACTAACTGGACTTCTCAGTAGTTTATATCATGCAGTAACTTTTCGGGGTGAACTTTTCAGTTTACACTTTACTACACTTCAGCAGATTCTCTATTGATTTAGCTTTTGTTTTTTCAGATTGTGGAAGGCTATAAAACAAAAAAACAGTATAAAATATAATGAAAGTCAATGTCATGTGCTTCAAGCCCTTAGAGATACTCAAATAGGTAATACTGACTTATTATCATACTAATTGTTCTTTTTTCTAATAAGTGCTTGAATATAATAGAACCAGGTAAAGACAATCTATCGAATGCAATTTACGACACGAAAGAAAAGCAGTATGAGAGAGGGGAAATATTTTAGAGAGTATAACTTCAGGCCACGACTCTTGTCTACAAAATATGTACAAAAAGCAAAACCCCTTCAGGTAAGAAAGTTCATTGTGATAAGAATCTATAAAAAAATCACTCACTTTCAAAGGTCTTAATGCCTGAGAGGGATATTTTAATGTAACTGCTGACAATTTGAATACAATACAAGTTCTGGAAAAACTTGTAGTACCAAAAGTTTTGTCTGCTTGTGCGGCAGACATCTTCAGTGGTGTAGGCGTTAACTTCGAGGACGGAGATAGTCTCACAAACGACTGATTCGAATACAGATCCAATGTGATAGAAGATCTAGTATTTGGTTAGCCTAGTACGGTTCCGTGAACAAAAAAAATATAGCATTACCATAGTAATGAAGAATAACTTACCTACTAAAAGTGTCAGTGTAAAGTTTCACGTCGAAAAGTCAAACCCAGAGTTGCACAATGAAATTTTGAAAAAAAATGATGTCGATCCGTATTTAAAGGGGTTAAGAGGTAATCAAATTAACGAAGATAAGCTAATACCCTTGGTGATCAATGTCCTTCCTATGTTACTGTGAAAAATTGGATTGTGAAGATCAGTGTCTTTATGTTAGGTATCCTGGTGATGAATAATTACGAAAATTAGAAAGATTATTTTCTCTTACATTCAAGGTGGACTGTATGGCAAAATAGATTATCAACAACCAAAATGTGACAGCAATGGCCAACTACTTATTAGAAAAATGTACAATGATTAGGAATATACGCCGATGCTAAATATAAATATAGAGATCATAATTCATACACAAATAATACTGTAACATATCAACATAGCCCTTTGAAGGAAAGCAAAATATTACAAACACTAAATGTTTGTTTACAACTAAAGAGTTGAATATTTCACACTTATTGCATGTGACCTAGTCTGAATGGTTTGAAACTCAACAATTTTTTTTATAAGATTAAACATTTTTGTACAGTTGTGATGAAAGAAATAAACTTCATTCATGTCATCAAAACTATTGATTCTAGTTGGGGAAAAAATATAATCACCATTGAGGAAAATTTACTTCAAATACATTCAACTCTACATTAAATAATTCCGAAATATTTGTCAACTGATCTAAAAGTATATAGTATCGAAAGCCTTCTTAGTTCCTCTCCTTCCAATCCAACCCTATGGTATCAGAGACATTTTACCACATTTATAACAAACTCAATTTCGCTACTTTCAATACTCAGAGACCTCGTTAAAGATTACAGGGTTTAAATCTTTTTCTACTGTACAATATGATCACGGTTATAAAGTGCTACCAACAGCTCATTCTACGTCTATTCAAAAGAGCATGTTCCAAAGTGATATTGAAATTACTGCTAATCTGAAAATAATAAGTTCTTACTCCTTCGAAGAGCATTTTGGGCATCCATTGTCATGGCATCAGCTTCATCAAGAATAATCAGCTTAAATCCTGACTTGAAAATCGTTCTTGTACTTGCAAAAGTTAAAATTTGTCCTCTAACAATTCCAATACCTCTATCATCAGAAGCATTCAATTCTAGAACCTTGAAAAAATATAGGTTAATAAATTAAGTTTCAATGGAAATTTAAATTTATTTATGAGAAATATTTTCAATACAGTTTCAACTTTTCAACTTAGACTATATTTTAACTAGTATCTTATAATTTATATAACAACTTCTAGCAGAAGCATAAAAAATGTTGAACAATCAATCCAATCAAACTTGTATTTTTAGTCGCTCAAAAATAGCTATCAAAACATGCTATCATTCAATCTCTATGCTGGTACTAGTAAGCATTGTATCTCAAACTATTGTAGAACATTGTATGTACTAGTCCAACTGATGAAGCTACCGAGTAGTGAAACGAGTCTTAATAGAATTTATATGTGAACATAGTATAATTATTATCATGGATGGAGATATTGGACAAAAAACCATGTACCGTGTTCCTCCAATTCTGGAATAATTATGGGAAAGCTGAGCATTTAATCTTTCTTTTCAGATGTTCTAACAAGTTTTATAGTAGTACGGAATTTTATAATTTCTGACTAATTTTAATGCAACATTTAAAAAAGGCAATGCATGTAATCAAACTATCAACATATGGCTTCAACTTTGGGAGAATGAGCCCCTTTACTAGCCATATAAGTTCTCGAAGAAATTTAGAAACATTTCTAAGTCTCTTCAAGACATGATGAAGATTGTATGACCAAGCATTTCACTATCTTTCACTAGGAAAGAAATATGATTTTTTCAATATTTATTAATTGATAGGGCGAATCTTTAGTGTTACAGCTACCAAAACTAGCACTTTTGCCAATCACCAGAAATGCAATACTCTTCTCAATGCGCGTTTCACCATTCAAGTTGGTGTCTTCAAAAGATGATGAAAATTAGTGAAACATGTATGATTGGGAAAAGTGCCTGTTTCGGATTTATTCTATGCCAGCGGTTCCAGTTTTATATTTTATTACAGCTACCAGTGAAACAGGCATAGTAAATATTAAGACATGAACAAATATGATCTGGAAATATATAATTGTAGTATACTCACCATTGATGGAAACTGAGCTGGTGTATAAAGTTGCCTGGCACATGCTAAGATTGTGCTCGTTTTCCCTGTGCCAGGAGGACCATAGAAAAGCAAGTGAGGTACTTGGTCCTCTTTTATGAATTTACTCACTATAAATAAACGAGATTGAAAGATAAATGAACTATTGCAATAAATAATATATATATAATTTACCTGTTTTTATAATATCTTCATGTGATACCAGATCGTCCAAAGTACTAGGTCTGTATTTCTCAACCCTGAAAAAAGAGAAGAAACTAAATATATTATATTTTTATCAAGATCGGCGACACTTACCATGGTAAATTCACTCTCTGCTGAGCTTTAACCATGTTTTTTTGAAAAAATAAATGTGGAAATAAAATAAGTGAATAGAAGACTTCAAAATTTCAAAATAAAAGCGGCTATGTAATGTCAATATTTTCAGTATCAAACTGTCAGTGTCAACATGTCAACAATCAACATGTCAACAATCAACAAGTTGGGAAATAGCGCGAAAATCTAAAGGTACGTTTCATTGGAAGAGTATACTGAGGTTATAACTCAAAAACGCCTTTGTATCAACTAAACTGTAATGCTTGAAAGGTATACCTGAATTCGAACTATAAATTCAATGCAGCGACTGACATTAATATTAGTAAATAAAAAAACTTATTGCCTTTTATCTTTGTTCATTGTTCCATTGTTCATTGTAGGTGAAACACTGGAAACAACGAGAGACTATATATAATTGTATTGCAAAAGACATATTGGAAAAAGGAGTATTTTTGGACTGGATGGGCAAAAACTCATAAATTATGAGTACATTCATAAAATATTACCTGATCTAGACATAAACCTGGAAAACTATCTTAGAAAATTATTAAATTATATCATAATTGATTAATCCTTCCTTTCTTTAGAAGATTCTCTCATCCATTTTTTTGTATCAGATGGAGTAGTAGAAAGCCAAAAACTTTCTTTCCCAAAAAATTAATCACTCCTAAAAAATATAACCCTTTCAAATCAGATATCATAATATCTCAGATGTCTGACCTGGATGATATCCATTGCAGAAAAGATGAGACATGACCTGAATGAGATGATACTAAAGTTCAATTTGACACGATGCATTTCCATTTTGAGGTAAGCTTAGAATCTAGAAACTGCCGGAAAGGGAAATTATTATAACTTGTGTATGAATTCCTATTATGTAATACAAAATTTATAACTTTTGTTACTTATTGCACAAGTGCATATTGCTTGTCATTTCTGCATTCCATCAAGGCCTGAATATACACTTCCACAACTATCAATTCAACACGAAATCGCCAAAAAAACATCTCGCTACCGCCTCTGATTAGTAACTTTGCTTTCAAGGAAATAAGAGAGAGACGGAGTATTTACTGGTTACCAATGGAAAACAAATTTTTTCAAGGAGATTGCAAACGGTTCACGTAGATAGAAATGATTGATCTAGTTATGTCACAGATTAAATATCTGTGGTTATGTGGCATCATTGGATTAACTCAAAAAATAATAATATTGACATTTCAGTTCTTTCAATACATTTCAAAAAGTTGAAATATGATATGAAGTAACCATATCTTTTATGAGTCATATTATAAAGCCATTGTTATTAGATCTTTTATTGTAATTTGAAACACACAATGAATACACCACATGAAAGTATAAATAATGGTGACAGTGAAACAGAAAGTATTTATGAAGATGAAGATGAATCAACTATAATCCTTCCACCTGAAGGTACAACTATAAATCATCAAAATACTTTTCTGAACTATTGTTTTTTCAGTGGAAGACACAACGAAGTTTCTGAAATCCAGGCACATTCTAGGAATTCTTGGTTTTTTAGGTTTTGCTAATGTATATGCCATGAGAGTAAATCTATCTGTAGCGATTGTGGCTATGGTTAATACTACTCAACCTTCCTTTAGCAACAATACTTTTGACCACTGTCCTATAAATATAACAAATTCCACTGTTCCAGAAGATGTGAGTGATTCATGTCTGTGTGTTGAAACTCATTTCAATTAATTAATTGAAATTGTAACAATGTAAAACAAGAATTGAATATTTTAATGGTAAAACAAAACTTAGCTCAAGAGATACCTTATTTAAATTTTTCATGGACACCATGGAAATTCAACTTGGTTTTATTTACAATATCAGACATATTGAGTGATGTTGAACATGTTTCATGTGTATGTCAGAATAAATGAAAAATAATACAGATATCGAATTGTGGAACAATTTCGATTGCAAAAACAAGAAAAGCTTTGAAGAACAAACTTCTTAGGGTATAAAAGTATCTGATTGACATTATTCTAAAATGAACTTTGCTAATTCTAAGAAATGGGGCAGTAATAATCCTACAATACTTTGTTCAATGATTGTGATCAATATGTACATGAAGAATTTAGAATTTTCAAAGTAAACATTATCATCAAAATTATGGTTTTGAAAAAGAAAATTCAATATACGTCCGATAAAAAATATATCTTGATTTACAGTACCTATCTCATTAAGATGAAAGTTCTTTTCAGGAAGGTGATTCAATGACAATAGTGCAAAATGGGTAGGTATGGTCAAGACCATCCCCCTGATATAGTAAATAAGATGTTAGATAGCAAAGAAACATGGACTGCAATTAGCTACCTGGCAGAATATTTCATTGAAGAAGTGGGATACTATCTAGTAAAAAAATTGACCAGGGTGAAATCAGTTCAATGTACACTCTCTCAAGTAATGTATTGAAGCCGTTTCAGAATTAGCCACCTAAGTGCAGGAGAGATATTTAGGTAGATAGACTAGATGCAGTGTCCCGCTATATTATCTGTGAAGTAAGCACAATGATCAGAAAGACTCACAAGAAAAAAAAATAGCTTTGAATGATTCTGGAGGAAATACAGTTCAAATTACTTTTATCACAGTATTCAGATTATGATGAAGTTGCAAGGACAATCAGTTTTAGTTCAGACACTGCGAGTCAAACAACAACTAGCAAAGTGGAAATAATTTTGTAGAATAATTGAATCAGTTGTTAAAGGTGGTATTGAAATATGAATACAAGTAATACAATATTTTTGATTACATTAACGAAACAATACTAAGAGAACACAAGACAAACAAAACCTGTAGGGACAGTGTACTGTAAAATGAAAATGCTCCAGAGAGTCATAAAAAAAAACTTATAAAAGTTGTGATTTCAGAATTTTTTCGAAATATAGTACTTACAAGAATCATGAAAAACAAGGCAGGCAGTTTATTAATAACGTCAATTAATGGATCAATTCAACAAGAGGAGACAAAATTTTTGGGTTTGAAGATAACAGAAAATCTCAAATGGAACAAGCATATTGATACAACTTGCAAAAAGATATCCTTAATATCTGATTGTTCCAGAATACTCAAAATTCAAAAAAGAACCATAAGGTATATAGCAGGAGTTACAAGAAGGACAAGTTGCAAACTCATCTTCCAAAGTCTCAGAATATTGACTATTACAAATATATACATTTATAAATCGCACATAACGAGTTTTCCTACTCTTAATGGTAATAACAATTATAATACTAGGAATTTCCTACAGTTGGAAGTGTCAACACACAGATTAGTTGTATCGGAATCATATCCAAGGCTTTTGGCCATTAAATTTTACAATAAACTTCCAAGTACAATAAAAAATCCGGCTCTAAAACAGTATAACTATCAAATCAAAGAGTTGCTCCTGGATAAATCCTATTATTCTCTCAAAGAATATATGGATGATAACTTATGATCATGTACATGTGTAACATTTTAGGAAGATTTTAATAATGATGCTGTTACATAAATAACAGATTATTTTTGGTTTTGACTTTTATATAGTATGTACATGTCCAACATTTTAGGCTGATTTTGATAAAGATGCTGTTGCATAAATAGCGGATTATTTTAGGTTTTGACTATTATATATTGTATTATATCGTCTATGTAAATTGTATATTGTGCCACTAAGTGCAAGGAGTTTGTATTTTAATTTTTGTACAAGTTTTGACATACTCAATGTCATCTATAGATGACCCAACTGAATAAATATTATTATTATTAAAACACGGAGACAGCTTCTCTTTGACAGCATGCATCAGTTTTCAACATCGGAGACCGACATAATAAAAAACTAATAATACCAGTTGTTAATATAATGTTATTATTTTCTGAAATATAAAGACGAATGACTGCATCTAGAACATCCATCCAATGAAATTTGTTTTACAATAAACCATTCAGTTCTTGAATTATGTTATGTTGTATTTTTGGCATCGTATTGAACTGCCTGAATAATTGTCAATAGCTTGAATTCATCATCACCCGGCAAAAATTTTGCTGTGATGGATGTCATTGATATAAACTGTGAGAAACATATTAATTAATTTTTTTATTCATTTATGGCATTGCCTTTTTTTTCACAAAATAATTAACAAATTTACACATGTTATGTTATAATAATCTATAACTATCAGCTAAATGTCAGGAAAAAATATATAAAATAGGCAAAAATAAGCTAATCAATTACAATCTTTTCACAGTTTTTCGAATGATCTCATAGAAGAATTAAAAGGTATTAAATTGAAAGGGGTATATTTTCAATTAAAAATTACTAGATCCCTGGGCTCTTTTTCACCTAACTGTATAAGATTAGCCTAAAGACGGATTTCTTCTAAACGGACTCGTTTGCGACTGGCTTCGTTTTCAAAAACAGAAACAAAAAAATTGTTTCAGTCTCAGAAACAAAAAAATTGTTTCAGTCTCAGAAACAAAAAAATTGTTTCAGTCTCGGAAACAAACTCGAATTCCACCAAACAAACTAGTCCGAATCGCGTATTTTGTTGTGAATTGTTTTCTATTGTTTTCACTATATGAACATCAATTAAATTGCTGCATTTTTCAACTGTCCATTGGTTTTTTTCATGTTCAACTTGTTTGTAGTAAACAACAATACAACAAATCAATACAAATAGCTTGCCTAGTGCAGGTGATCAAAATTCATACCCGCCACAAATTAACACTTTAAATGAAGTAATAATGTCTCCGGCCTTTTCCACATAGGGAACTGGGTTTAAAAAAACACCGAAACATTTTGATATTTCCGCTTACCGACGGGACATTTCATTGTTGACAAAAACCGTCGCCCACGACACAAAGTTTTTGTTTTGTCGAAATCGACACAGTTGCTGTTTTGTTGTGGTTTTTTCCATTTGGTGGAAATCCGCCATAATATTATGTTCAAGTTTCTTTTTCTGTATGAAATATTAATTTTATATCCAGATCATCAGGGTTCATCAGTTGGGTAGGTATCCGGTCAACACTGTAAATGGTTCACAGAATATTATTTTCTAAATAATTTCAAATAAAATGAAACATTTTAATATATAATATAATAATAATATTTATCAATTTCATTTTTATTGGAAAGGAGAATTACATTACAACTGTTTTTAACAGAATTTATTTTTCAGACCTCTGGTGAATTTAATTGGGATGAACATACTCAAAGTATAGTCTTGGGGTCGTTTTTTTATGGATATGTAATAACACAAATACCAGGGGGTAGGTTAGCAGAGATATTTGGAAGTAAACGAGTATATGGAATAGGAGTTCTTGTAACATCTATATTTACACTCTTGACTCCAATCGCTGCCAGAATAAATTTTCCACTTTTCATTATCGTGAGGATTATTGAAGGAATGGGTGAAGTAAGTATGAAAATAGAGAAAATCTGTACAAGCATTATGGCTGCATTGGGTGATTCTAAGAAGTGGTTCAGTTAGTTTTAATAATAATAATAACCATTTATTTTCCTAAAAAACACACATATTCATAGTAGGGAAAAAAATAATTCAAAACTATAACATAACTAAGTATAAAGAGAGCAAAAAATCAGAACTGGAACTTGAAAAAATAAATTATTGTACTTTGAGAGTCTAAAAAAATACTATTCGATATTTTCATTGTGGAATATAATTGGATCTTTCACTCATTGAGTAAATATTCCATATATTTGCCTCCACAAAATTTATTCCTAATTATTCCTCCCTGGGTTCGACAATAATTGACCACACTGTACTAAACCCAACTTTATTTCACTACTATACTGCCAATACCGCACTTTCAACTAGACTAGCCTTACTCTGCTTGTTGATAGTGCTTATATTTCTCGATGGAAGTCACTAGAAATGTTTTTAAAGTGGTACGTAGAAGGATCCAGAATAATAGGATTAGGCGCTATCTTGGCCAAGTCACAGTCAACCGGTTAAGACCAGCGGCGGCCGGCGTTATTTTTTTCATCATAATATAGTTTAGTTAAAAAACTTATCTAAAAAAATACATTGGGATTCGGTCTAACTACATAAAATAATGAAAATACCATTTATGAAAGTTTATTATTTTCAATATTTAGCAAAAATTATCATTAACTTTATGTAATTAATCGAATTTTGCTATATATATTATTGTATGTCTGTGTTATTCAGTAACAATTTGAAAATCAGATTTGAATGTTTTATTATTAATAATCACTTTAAAGAACGTGAATAATTTGAATTTATATAAGGATGGATATCTATTAGGTTTATGAGTTTCACAAGTTAACTTTCGTCTCCTCTTATAGTTTGGCTTGAACATGAACTTGACTTGAACTATTTCTACAATTTACCAAATAAGCACTGCAAATTAGACACTATCCACGGAATAACAAAAACTCATTTTTATTTTTAGAATCATATTAATAGTTTCTTTGATAATGGTAATACATTATAATATCATTTCATGCTTTATTCATTGTGGAATTTGAATATGGTTTTACTATTCAAAGGTGGTTTAAAAGAATATTCCTTATACTTCTAGGGTGTCACTTTTCCTTCTATGCATGCCATGTTGGCAAAGTGGATCCCACCATTGGAAAGGAGCAAATTTGCTGCATATGTATATGCTGGTATGTATTTTATCAGAAACATTCATAGGAAAGTCATTGAGAAAATAGGAGTAATTTATAATTGTAGTTTAAGGAAAGTAAACAGTATGCATATTTGAATTATGGCCATAGTTTCTATTTTCAGGTACTAATTTTGGCACAATAGTATCTCTTCCACTATCAGGTTGGCTGTGCTCATTGGAACTGGATAGAGGATGGCCTTTGAGTTTTTACCTTTTTGGAATGTTAGGCATAATATGGTTTGGTTTCTGGATGTATTTCATTTATGATTCGCCATCAACTCACCCAAGAATTGATAGACAGGAACTTGCTTATATTGTAGCTAGTGTTGGGCCCCAGGTATGATCATTTTTGTATGAGAACTAAAAAAAACATATTCAAAGACATGAATATAACTCTACTGGAGTGATATAAATATACTCAAAAATGAAAGTCATTTTATGCCTAATGCAACATAAAATGGCTGTATGAATTATTGTTTTAATTTTATCCAGCGGTTGGTTTCAGCAATTGTTTCCTATCACATCAAATGCTATAGAAGCCTTAACTACTGGAAGCTGGTAGATGCCTGTAGTATTGCTGAATTCAATTCTTGCACCATCTATCAATAAATGTACAAAGTTGGGTTAATCTATTTTAAATTGCATCGGGAGATTTTGACAAAAAAAAGTGAATCAGTGATAACATCGGGGTTTTCATCTTGGAAAATTCCGCTTTCTGCTTCGATAAGTTTGTTGGGGGTTAGGTTAAGTCCAAAGTAAGTGGGTCTATTCGACCCTCAACCTCAACCCGCAAGGGTTTATTGTGGCTCACACCTATTCGCACTCGACCAAATAAACCCAGCTTCTCAACGAAGCCGATTAGTTTGTATGGTGAGTGGTCTTTCAGGTCAGATGGTAAGAGTACGACTCTGCCGAACTCTTAAAACCTGATTAGGTCCCCGGCGGGGCAGGCACAAAGTATATGTCCTGCTGTTTCATCGTTAGTGAGGTAGTCGGATAGTCAAAGTGCAAGATTCCCATCTTGATACCCGCGACAACCTTTCCATATGAGAGTTTTTGCACGTCAGCTGCATCAGACGATGCCTTAGATTCAACCGTGCAGGGCTTTTTCGCCTCTGGTTTATGTGAATCATCACTTGAACGCAAACGTTTGCTATCCTGCTCATGGGGGGTTTGTTCCCCCACCTGAGACAGATTCTGCGTTCGCCGCTCAAGAACTTGGTGCAATGCGGTTTTATAAGGTATCCCGCTCTTGAGGAGACGACTCAGTCGTTTCCTGGCTGCACCACCAAACCTTTTTTTTAGGTTCAGTTATTGGATCAGGAGTTGGAGTCGTAAACTCGACATCCATCTCCTCTGTAGACTCGCTCCTGATCTAATTACAGGGAGGTCAGTTGGAGTCGTAAGCTCGACATCCATCTTCCTCTATAGACTCAGCGTCAGAAATAATTTTTAAGTTTACTCTGTCCATAAAAGTTACACGAGTAGCTAGGGAAAGAAGGTCAATCACGGCAGAGCCCCGCATTATCGTGACAAGGCGATGCTATGACGAAAGGGCGCCCGGTATCGAAGGTTCCGTAGAAACAGCTGATAGGCTCAGTGTCATTCATCCTCTCGGCACGGATATACACACCTTAGGATAAAGCCATCGTTGGGATGCCATTCTGTCATTCCTGTATCCAGCGGGGCTACGTGGAAACAGGCATCCGATGGCTGGTTTGGCACATCCCAAGCCAATGCACACGCCAAAAACAGCATGCACAGTGGTTCAGGCAGTGAAAGATGAACAAGGACAGCGAACCCGCCTTGTTGGGGGTTAAAATGGACACCAATATGTCTTGGCACAATCATGTCGCTGGAATTGCAAAGGCTGCTTCTCAAAAGCTTGAAGCACTGTAACGAACCAGAAAACTGTACACACCTCAGCAACATTTGATGCTTTATAAAGTTCAGATCATATCAGATCTTTGGAGTATTGTTCTCATTTATGGAGCTTCACCCCCAAACATACCCTGAAGTTGCTGGATTCCATCCAGAAAAGAACCATTCGCCTGATTGGAGACGCGAACATCACTAGCAACCTTGATAGTTTGGAACATCGAAGAAAGGTTGGAGATTTGTCTCTCTTCTATAGATACTTTCACGGAAAGTGTTTAAGTGACTTGGCACATTTGATTCTACCAAGAGCGGTATACCGGGTGTCAACGAATCTATTAGACAAGTCATAATTTCTAGACTATTAGGAGAATTGAAATGAGATTTTGTATAGTTGAATGGTATGTGGAGAGGAATGTTTTCACATATTTTTCACTTTCCGGTCACTTCCGGTTTCAGCGGAAATGGCTCCGGTTCTGAATTTTTAAATGGAACACCCTGTATATTGTAACATTTTTGGATTTCTGAGACAATTCTGGATCAGAAACTGACATTTCCGGAAGTTTTTCAGCCTACTTGATTTTTTCAGAGTCACTTTTAAAATTGCATCTAGGTGGCCATGATCGGACGTAAACTAATCTATGGACCTCAGGTGATATCAGAAAATTGCAATAGCGGAGTTTTAGTGACTAGTGTGTTGAATATGAATGAGACAAGTTTACAAAATAACATTTTCGTGNGATATCACCTGAGGTCCATAGATTAGTTTACGTCCGATCATGGCCACCTAGATGCAATTTTAAAAGTGACTCTGAAAAAATCAAGTAGGCTGAAAAACTTCCGGAAATGTCAGTTTCTGATCCAGAATTGTCTCAGAAATCCAAAAATGTTACAATATACAGGGTGTTCCATTTAAAAATTCAGAACCGGAGCCATTTCCGCTGAAACCGGAAGTGACCGGAAAGTGAAAAATATGTGAAAACTCTCCTCTCCACATACCATTTATCTGTACCAAATCTCGTTTTGATACACCTAATAGTCTAGAAGTTATGACTTGTCTAATAGATTCGTTGACACCCGGTATATCAGAAATACGCGACGAACTGTGGCTGCTCATCGTTTTGAGGACCAACTTAGTACACCTCGAACTTCACTGTTTAAGATTTCTTTCATTTGGTGAACGGCGTTTATGTGGAATAAACTTCCTGAAAACGTTTTTCCAAATGGATTCCTCCAGTGATTCAAATCCAATGTGAATCACTACTTTTGCACAGACACTGCTCTAAGAGCGCCTTAAGGATTTTCCTGTAGTGCTTGTGTTGAATATTGTCAATAAAATGTACTCCATGCAATCTCTTATATCATATTCTTCTCATCAGTAATACAACATATTTTATTAAAATTATTTTTTATGGAATATTCTTTTTTTATTAGTGTGGATGTTATGATGATTTGATGATATGATTTGATGATGATTTATCAACTCATGATTTCTGATACTCATGTTGATCTCCTAAAAAAAACAAAAAACATTTATTTCCCTGTACAGTCATATATTTCAGTAAAACGAAAATCAAAATATTTTAAAATGTTTCATCACAACGGTAATTTAGTTCATCTTAGAGAAAATTGCAGGAAAACATTTTTGCTATAATTTATTCCTTTATAACACAAGCAAAATTTTTCATGTTCTGTTCAATAAATTTTTAATTTTTTCTTTAAAATACATAATTAATGACTTTATAATATCGATGGAAATATGAAATATTATTGAAAATAATTATTGGAACATCTCTCTCCAGAAGGATACGATTAGATTAACAGTATGAACGATACTCTACCTAAATTAAAAACACCCAACCGAATGGAAATCATAATCGTTATAAACATGTCAGATAACCAAGTTTGTTACATCAATTTTACATACTATCTGAATTTCGAAGTCATACTCAATTTATCCATTTGAGAAATGCTTTATATTCTTTATTTTTCAAGGATGAAAATGATAAATCGCCAGTGCCTTGGTGTAGTCTTCTGAAATGTGTACCTCTCTGGGCAATTTTAGTTACTCAATGTGGAGGGTCATGGGCATTTTACACCCTACTAACGGAACTTCCAACTTACATGTCACAAATTTTACATTTTGACATTCAAGCTGTAAGTATAAACAAACTTTAATTAAGTATCATCCTATATCATCAGCATTAAGAGTAAATAATATACTAAATATTGCAGTATGAATAAATTTGAATGTGTAGTAAGGTATAGATAAGAATATAAAATTAATATTGTATTTAATAACACATTCTTGTGAGGTTATCACAAAACGGTTCACAAAACCAGAACACGTATTTCACTATAGCTTTTTCAGACATGTTTAATACTAAATACATTTCCATGAAGCATAAGCCAGGTCAATCATATATAAAATTAATGAAATACGTCATAGTTTTCTCAATTGAAACTTCTAATTATAACTTTAAACATCATAAAGTCTGTGGTAAATGGCTAAACACTACGACAATTTTCATCTATATGTTGCATACAAAAACTGAACCATAAGAGTCACAAAAGTTTACTTTTGCACAAACATCTCATAGATGGCATATCTTTAGGGTTGGTTTCAAATATGTGGTAAAATTGTTGAGATCGTGAAAGTTCAAAACTAACATTCAGAACATTTTATTTTTAGAAACTATACTAAAACCAATAATGATTGAGAGTAGAAGTAAGCCCAGTGCTTATTAATTTTTGAGAGGGTTAAGAATGAAAGAAAAATTCTTAGTACAATTAGTTAAAATATTCATACACATTTTTTATTTATTTCATTAAAACTTTGCAATATCGTAATATACCTGATCGTTGTAGTCATTAGGTGGGCCTTATGAAAACGGAGTAATAATCGTGGTAATTATAGTAGGTACCAAATAAATTAACAATATTAATAAAAAACACAATATATATATATACA